TAGCTTTATTGAAAAATTAGATTCTCGAAAATAATTACTCCAGAAATTTATAATATAAAAGTGGAGACTAAAATACGAGAATTTGTTCCCCAAAAATTCACCAATTTTGGGACTCAACATCGGAGAAATATCAGGGAAATTCTGGGGAATAGGTCCTCAGATGGTTCCATGGAAAAAAGTTCCCAACTATGTTTACTGGGGTACGGACACTTGCTTGTAACTAGCAATGCCAAACCAATGGACACAATCTTGTAAGCTATCAATGTCAACCAGACACTAGCTCGTTACTAGCAATGCCAAACCAACGGGCATGATATCGTAAGCTATCGATGCATTCTAAACACTAGCTCGTAACTATCAATGCCAAACCAATGGGCATGATCTCGTAAGCTATCAATGTACTATGGGGCCTCTGTATTTATTACATGTCTATATGTTAATGTGTTTATATATATATATGTGTCTATGTGTCTATGTGTCTATGTGTCCATGTGTCCATGTGTCCATGTGTCCATGTGTCCATGTGTCTATGTGTCTATGTGTCTATGTGTCTATGTGTCTATGTGTCTATGTTTCTATGTGTCTATGTGTCTATGTGTATATATGTCTATGTGCCTATGTGTCTATAAGTTTATTTTTTAATGTGAACTTATATGTATCTACGTGTTTGTCTATGTTTGTAAACATCTCTCTCTCTCTCTCTCAGGTATAGAGGATTGGATGAGAAGGATGGGACGGAGGGAGAAGATTATTAGCTCCTGATGAATATAAACCGTCAGTCTAGGTTTACTCCTTGATACAACCAAACCTAGGACCTACGCTCCAAACCTTACCGCGTAGAGTGATGACTCTGATATATACTCTACGCAGTGATATGGGTGTTGCATGTAGACTTTAATCAGAATATTTGTAAACATGATTGATGTCAGTTCTAAGTGAAAATGTGTTGTGAAAGATACACTGTACATTGTACAATTTTTATCATTTAGACAAATATAAATGATGAATATATCAGATCTTGAATTTAGCTGGTATAAATTATTGAAAGAAAGGAACTGTCATCCTGATTTAAAACCTTTGATTTAATCGCCTCTTTTTCATAAGAACATCCTTCACCCTGTGAATGCTAAGCGCAGATCAGCAAGAAAATATTCGAAATTTGTCGCTTTCATCTAAGAAAAAAGGTTTGACCAAAATTTCTCAAATAAAGGTTTAGATTCAATTCTATTAAAGATTCTACTGTTGTGGTAACCCATTTTTGATCAAATAACACGGTCTATTTTAAACTTTCAATACCATAGATTATAAATATTTGGTTTATTGATACTGTAATTATTGTTGTAATTACAATAATTACCCTGATTTGCTTCGGTAATTATGTTTTAATTAATTGGAAACTAGATCCAAGTTACAAACAAGGAAAAAGTAAACTGAAAAAAAGAAAAATTTTACAGCTTCTTCTTTAGTTCTCCTCTAGTTCTCCTTTAGTTCTCATCTAGTTCTCCTCTAGTTCTCCTGTAGTTATCCTCTAGTTTTCCTCTAGTTCTCCTTTAGTTCTCATCTAGTTCTCCTCTAGTTCTCATCTAGTTCTCCTCTAGTTTTCCTCTAGTTCTCCTTTAGTTCTCCTCTAGTTTTCCTCCAGTTCTCCTTTAGTTCTCATCTAGTTCTCCTCTAGTTCTCCTCTAGTTCTCCTCTAGTTCTCCTCTAGTTCTACTATATTTATAACGGCTTGTTTAGACTACACCCTACACCCTTGTAAAATGCAAATGTCTGAAAATCAGTTGATAAAAGAAGTAGAAGTTTATGAGTAGTATAAACTTATTTATAAAAGGGGTTTTTGAGTGCCAAAATGTCTTAAAGGATTAAATTCAAGGATAATCGCTATTTAGGTGTAAATTACATTTATTTTTAATGCATTTTTATTTAGTTTATCAAACAAAAAAAGGGGTTACTACCCTCCTTTCGTAAGTTTGAAACTATGATTCATTCTAAGGAAAAACTTTAAAATGCTAGGTTTCCTAAGATTTGATAAAACTGCCAGTGCGTGCAATATCATAAATAAGTTGATACATACTTTTTAGTAAAATGAAACAGTTTACTTAATGTAAGAAGGAGACGGATAATAAATGCTATTTTTAATTTAAAGTAAATCTGTTTTTTCTAAAAAAGATGAAAAAGGTTGAAATTTAGAAATGAGTTTAAAAAGATGGCTAACCCTTAAAAAATGGTACAGTGGAGCCCATACAAATATGGAATATAAAAAGCGAATTTAAGCCAATTTTTTGTGTATTTGATGTTGTAAGAAACCAAACTGTGTAATAGTTCTGTCTACACTGCATAAGTACTGTGTTTCATGTTCTTCAAATTATTTGAAATTGTAAATAGATTCTAACAGTCGTCATTCTATTTCACTCTTGTATGGGTCCTACTGTGGAAACATTTGGAAATTTTCCTTTAAAAAGCTGTATCTTTGCGATTTTTTACTTTTCTTTACTGAAATATTTCCTGATATTCCTAAGTTCCTTATGTGCATATTTCCTGATATTATTGAGTTCCTTATGTGCATATTTCCTGATATTCTCGGGTTCCTTACGTGCACATTTCCTGGTATTTCCTGATATTCTTGGGTTCCTTATGTGCATATTTCCTTATTGTTTCAATATATCTGACGATCTTTGTTTGCTGGTATCTCGTGCGTGTACGCGCAGAGATGCGTAATATTCACGTATTGTTTATCCATATCCATTATGCATATCCATTAGTGGTGTATCCAAATATAGACTTTTCTCTTCTCTATCTTCAATCAATCAATGAATCAATAACACTTCAAAGCCCCAGAAAATGTAAATACGTATGAAAACTCTCAACAATCTTTTGTCTCAAATAATAATTGTTGCAATACGACATCACTAAGTCGTACCAAGGATTAAAATGATCTTTTTCTGTATGTTAAAGGGACTGTAAGCGTAATTTCAGTGACCCTTCATACAAAGATGACAACGTCTTTTTTAAAACGGTATCATTGAAAACTTTGTCTGATCAAGTATGAATTAGATATCCATGTTTTTGTTTCTTTAAACTAATTATTTTCATTTGTGGTTTCTCTGCGCATTGCGCATTTATTGTTTATATAGAAGCAATTGAGAAACTCACAGAAACACTTTTTGAGACAGAAAAGGTTTATCATTGGCGTTATCTAACAATATCCCATTAACCAATTGAACGATTGTCTGTTATTTAATTGTAATGGTGAATTTTTTAATATGGTTTGGAACCTTTAAAAACAACTTTATAAAGGTTAATTGGAGGTAATAGATCAGGGGGGGGAGGGAAGGATGGGGAAGGGGGGGATGGAGGGAGAATATATATTAGGAAGGCAAGGAAAGAAAAAATAGGGAAAAGTGAAATGGGGTAAGAACACGAATAGAAGTAGAATAAAGAAGAGATAGGAAAGAGGGGAAAAGAAGGGAGAGGGGGAGGGAACTGAAATATTGAGGTTGAGAAGAGGGGAGGGGAAGAGAAGGAATGAAAAAGTAGTAGGGGAGGCATTGGAATTGAGGAAAAAAAATTAAACATTGGTAAATGAGGGGGAGGGAAGAGAAAGATGGATAGAGGGAGGGGATAAGGGAAGAAAAGGAAGGGAAGAGGTTTTCCTATCTCTTTCCTTCCTTCCTTTTATATTCCTTTCCTATCTTTTTCTTTCCTTCCTTCTTTTTATATTATTTTCCTTTATCTTTCCTTCCTTTCTTTTATATTATTTTCTTTTCTCTTTTCTTCCTTTCTTTTATATTCTTTCCTTTTCTCTTTTCTTCCATCCTTTTATATTCTTTTCCTATCTCTTTCATTCCATCCTTTTATATTCTTTTCCTATCTTTTTCCTTCCTTCCTTTTATATTATTTCCTATCTCTTTCCTTCCTTCCTTTTATATTCTTTTCCTATCTCTTTCCTTCCTTCCTTTTATATTATTTCCTATCTGTTTCCTTCCTTCCTTTTATATTATTTGCCTATCTCTTTCCTTCCTTCCTTTTATATTATTTTCCTATCTCTTTCCTTCCTTCCTTTTATATTATTTGCCTATCTCTTTCCTTCCTTTCTTTTATATTATTTTCTTATCTCTTTCCTTCCTTCCTTTTATATTCCTTTCCTATCTCTTTCCTTCCTCCCTTTTATATTATTTCCTATATCTTTCCTTCCTTCCTTTTATATTCCTTTCCTATCTCTTTCCTTCCTCCCTTTTATATTATTTTCCTATCTCTTTCCTTCCTTCCTTTTATATTCTTTTCCTATCTTTTTCCTTCCTTCCTTTCTTTTATATTCTTTTCATTTCTCTTTTCTTCCTTCCACATTCAATTCTTTTAACTGTTTAGTTTATCGCAAGTTGTATATTATTTATTTTTATATATTCCACTTTTATATATTCTCTTTTTTCTTCTCACTTCTACGAGATATTGCCAAGTATATTGTGTACCATCTGCCGTCAATTAAGTAAAAAAGATAAAAAGCTAAATATTTATGATTAATTGAAAAAATGAGCAAAACTGAAAGTTTGTTAATTCCTCAAATTCAACTTATTTTTCCTTGAATAACCTTCATAGCCCACCTTCTATCATCATTATAAATAAATTATTAAATTACATCCTGTGCATCCTTCTTATCTACAGGGTGTCCCAATAAACATGGAAATGAAATGACGACTTTTATATCGTCTTTGTTTCTTAGTGGGGATTTTTCGTAAATATAATTTTCTAACATCGCAGTTAAAAGACCGAAAACTACTAGTTAAAATGAACGGAGATATTTTAAAGAAATATCTGCAAACACGTCAATCCGACCAAGCTTTTTTGATCAAATTTCTGATTTTTTTTATTCATTAAAGAACAAACTACTGCTGTTTGAATTAAAAAGTTGCAGTTATTACAATCAAAGGGACGCGAAGCGCCTTAAAAGCCTGGTTCAAAGCATCCAACCCATCCTACTAATCCTGCTCATCCAAGCCATCCTTCCCATCCTTCCCATCCTTCCCATCCTTGCTCAATAATTGTTTGCAGGTGCAGATCAACAATAATGGGATCATTATCTCTTAATTAGCTTTTAAGTAGTTTTAAATAGTTTTAGAATATTTATGCCAAGATTCTAAGCTTTCGAACAGAAAAAAGTGAAAATTTTAAGAAGTTTTAAAGAGCTTCGAGGGGAAAATTATAATTTACACAGAAAAAACTTTTGCGCTGTACAAAATTCTGAGTTTTGTAGTTTTATCAAAATTAGAAATATAATACTCTGCTTATCTCATCATATCCTTTATATATTTATAAATACTGTACATTACACAGGGGTAGATTGTTTTTAAAATTATTTTTTTACAGATTTTTAACCAACATTTTACCGACCCGTGATGCCCCTAAGAGAGAGACGTTAAATAACTTAACCTCCTTCGGGAATATTATTTTTTTTGCAAAAATTCGCTTATTTTTATCTCAAAAGGCAATACAGTTGTGCACAACTACTGTTTCAAAAAATTAAGAAATTCACCCAAGACCAATTTTGTTTACAAAACATCCTGAGCGCAGAATTTTCACAGAATATCTTGTATTGTACTATTTACAAAAAAAGTTAATTTTTTTCTTTCTAAATGAAAATATTTTTTTGGGAGGATATCGGTAGGAGATGGGAGGAAGGGGGAGGGGGCAGGGATATTTTTAACTTCAAAATATATTTAATATTTCAGTTTAAGTTCATGATACCCGCTGCAGGATTAGTTTTCATCCAACTTTTAATCATTTTAAGAAAATGTGAATTTTGCCTTTATTTCTATATCATCTCTGCTCTGATGAGAAAAAATTCTGATTAAAAAAGATAATATTTCGTTGCTGTTTTTTTCAAGTGGTGCAAACCTAGATAAAACAGTTTAAACGAAAATCTAAAACTAGTTTTTTTACTCCTTTATTTCTTTAGATATCTGTTTCTCATAAAGAAAAATTGTTTTTAATCTTTATTCTATTTGCTTGACTGGATATCTCTATATTACAAGTAATTATCTCTGTTTGTTTGTGTGTCCGATCATAACTCATGAACAAAATATAAAAATGAATAAATATGGATAAATAATATATAAATATATTATAATCCCCCCACACTCCCCTAATATCCCCCACTCCCCTTATTCCCCCCGCTTCCCCGAATTCTCTTCCATTCTATTTAATTGCACCTCCTTTTTATTTCTTTATCTCCTACCTACCTTTTTTACCCCTTTACACCTTCCCCTCCCTCCACTCAGGGGCGTACACAGGAATTTGTCCACAGGGGGGGGGGGTCTTAATTTTTTCTTTTCAGCACTCGTTTGGGTCTGAAAACCCCATAGCCCCCCCTATGTGTACGCCTCTTTCTCTACTTCTCCATCCCCCTGCACACGGGAAAACTGATGACACCACGTGAATAATACAGGAAAACTACGGGAAAACACGTTACGATTTACGAGTCGAAAACTAATAAGTCACTATGTGATGTGATTATAGTCCAAGAAAACTGATAAATATCACGTGACTATAGTGCAAGAAAGCTAATGAACACCGCGGGACTAGTCCAAGAAACTGATGTCATCACGTAACTAGTCCAGGAAAACCACTGTATACCACGTGACTAGTTCAAGAAAACTGATAAACACCACGTGACTAGTTCAAGAAAACTGATGAATACCAAGTACTAGTCCTAGAAAACTGATGAATACCACGTGACTAGTCCAAGAAAACTCATTAATACTACGTACTAGTCCAAGAAGACTGATGAACACTTCATGACTAGTCCAAGAAGACTGATAAACACCACGTGACTAGTCCAAGAAAACCTATAATCACCACGTGACTAGTCCAAGAAAACTGATGAATACCACGTGACTAGTCCAAGAAAACTGACGAATACCACTTGAATAGTCTAGGAAACTGTTGAGACCAATCAACGGAAATTATGCTTAAATATTGAAAAGTATTATTGTTATTATTGAAATTGGTCAGCGTGCAATCATGACATCGGTGTATACAGACATTTCTTCCTCTATGTCCCCCATGTCATCCATGACCTCCATGTCCTCCATGTCCTCCACGTCCTCCATGTCCTCCATATCTTCCATGTCCTCCATGTCCTGCATGTCCTTCATGTCCTTCATGTCCTCCATGTCCTTCATGTCATCCATGTCCTCCATGTCCTCCATGTCCTCCATGTCCTCCATATCCTCCATGTCCTCCATGTCCTCCATGTACTCTATGGCCTCCATGTCCTCCATATCCTCCATGTCCTCAATGTCCTCCATGTCCTCCATGTCCTCTATGCCCTCTATGTATCTCCACTCTCCAGGCTATGAAAGGATCAGGAGCTGATTTAGAATTTGAAAAATGTCCAGATCGTGAGGAAAATATTTCAAGCTGTAAATTAGATTTTATAATTCCTGGAGGGGGGGGGTGTTCAATTTCTCCCCCCCCCCTCCACCTCCCACAAACTCACATGTATTTCTTCATCCTTACACTCATCCGTGATGAGGAACCCATCCCTCATTAAACTGTCCATCACAAGCTCTCTCTGCACCCTCTTTCTTCCAATTTAACATTCGATCCCCTTCCATACTCTTAATTTGCCAAACTTCCATCCTCTACTGTACCAGAACCAAAGTCAGATCCCCCCCCCCACATACCCCCTGACATATACAAACACTATCTTTGAGTTTAATTTTATTTAATTCATATTGTTGATATTTGATCCGGAAATTATAAATTAATACCGAATGCAAGATTCGTTTCATGTTCAGTAAACTATGCAAAGATATCATATAGTTTACATGACTATAGATAGAGCCCAAAACTCTACATCCACTCTAGACAATACTAACTCTATGGCAAAGAGCCCTGATTAGCAGATTTGAAAGGTTTGAAGGTTTTGAAGGTTAAATTGAAAATTAATTCATCCAAGTCATGTTTTTAAATTCATTCAACTCTTTCCACCTCATTTCACAGCAGTGGTTTATCAAATAGATAAAATATATAAAATTCCTATATTTGGGAATTTGAATCTTGAAAAATTCGTGTCATCTTAGTCTAGGACAAAACCGTGTAAACGTTAAACTTCCTTTAACAATCAGAGTTTGATGGTTAGAGAGATAAAGAAATATAAATTAAATTGAGCACTATTGTCAAATATGTCCCAACAGTATGTAAAGGGACTGTTAGATGTGTCCCAACAGTATGTAAAGGGACTGTTAGATGTGTCCCAACAATATATAAAGGGACTGTGAGATGTGTCCCAACAATATATAAAGGGACTGTGAGATGTGTACCAACAGTATGTAAAGGGACTGTTAGATATGTCCCAACAGTATGTAAAGGGACTGTTAGATGTGTCCCAACAGTATGTAAAGGGACTGTTCGATGTGTACCAACAGTATGTAAATGGACTGTTCGATGTGTACCAACAGTATGTAAATGGACTGTTAGATGTGTCCCAACAATATATAAAGGGACTGTTAGATGTGTACCAACAGTATATAAAGGGACTGTTAGATGTGTCCCAACAGTATATAAAGGGACTGTTCGATGTGTACCAACAGTATGTAAATGGACTGTTCGATGTGTACCAACAGTATGTAAATGGACTGTTCGATGTGTACCAACAGTATAAAAGGACTGTTAGATATTTACCAACAGTATGTAAAGGGACTGTTAGATGTGTCCCAACAGTATGTAAAGGGACTGTTAGATGTGTACCAACAGTATGTAAAGGGACTGTTTGATGTGTACCAACAGTATGTATGTCCAACAGTATGTAAAGGGACTGTTAGATGTGTCCCAACAGTATGTAAAGGGACTGTTAGATGTGTACCAACAGTATGTAAAGGGACTGTTTGATGTGTACCAACAGTATGTATGTGTACCAACAGTATGTAAAGGGACTGTTAGATGTGTACCAACAGTGTGTAAAGGGACTGTTAGATGTGTCCCAACAGTATAAAGGGACTCCAGAGTTCTCTAGATTTTAGTAACGATGAGTAGAATATCGTTGTTTTCCAGTCTTCCATGTTAAATTATGACAATTTCAGTCACATGTACAGAAAACCTGCAAATGGAAATGAACAGTTTGAAGGAACAAAAACATGGGAATTGTCATCTTTGCAAGGAAACTCACTTGAAATTACGCTTACAGTTTCTTTAAAGACTGGATAATAAAATTTAAGCTTTGTTGTCTTTACTTTATTTTAAGATGCAAAAATTAATAAAAAAAACTGATTTAGTTTTTTTTAGTTCTATCTTGTAAATAAATCCTTTTTATTTTCAGATTTGAAATATGAATTGTTGACATGAATCAAATAATGGGAGGATTAATAGAGGAGTTTGAATGTCGTCTTTCTCTAGACCCAGAAACCAGTAGCATCTTTAGTTTAGACGGGAGCAGCAGATCAAACATGAGCAGCGGATCAGTTAGAAGTTCTATTGGGAGCTCCACAGGCAGCTCAGATAGTGGAGGCAGATTAGCAGACGAAACATCAGGGTATTATTAATATTCATTTTTGTTATAAGTATCATTATTATCACTGTTATTATTCATTATCATCATTAGTATTCCAATATCTTTCATTTTTAATCATTATCACCGTTAATAGCATTTTAATTATCACTATCAGTATTAGCATAATTAGTATTATCATTTTTGTATCATTATTATCACTATTATCATTCAGGGATGAGCGAAGAAAGATTGAGAATCGATTGTTTCAACTTCTCCGGGAAATGATTCAAACAGAGCGGAAGTATGTTCAGGATCTTGATGAGGTAATTATTCAATCAATCAAGCAATTCAATCAATTAATTAATCAAACACTAAATCGACCAATCGATTTATCAACAATTAAACTAATTAAGTAATCAATTTATCAACCAATCAGTCAACCAACAAATTAATCAACCAACCAATCATTTAATCAATCAATTAATTAATTATTTAATTAATCAATAAACCAATAAATCAATAAATCAAAGAAATCAATAAATCAATCAATCAATAAATCAATAAATCAATTAATCAATTAATCAATAAATCAATAAATCAATAAATCAGTAAATCAATAAATCAATAAATCAATAAACCAATAAATCAATAAATCAATAAATCAATTAATCGATTAATCAATAAATCAATAAATCAATAAATCGATTATTCGATTAACCTATAAATCAACAAACCAATAAATTAATTAATCAATAAATCAATAAATCAATAAATCAATTAATCGATTAATCAATAAATCAATCATTAAATCAATTTATTAATAAATCAGCCCATAAATCTTTTCCAGTTTATTATTAATTCAGAAACCTAAAAATTTATTTTGACCAATTCATTTTGTAATAAGAACTGTTAGTTCTATTGTTGAAAAAATCAATAATTCTAAGAAAAAAAGTTTTAAATTGTTTTCAGACAGCCCTTAGAATAATTTATTATCAATTGTTGTAAACTAACTTGAGATGGTAACTTTTGACTATATTGGCGAAACTAACTCTTTTAAAAAAGTTTTTCATTAAAAAAAATCTCATCGATTGATCCTGCAAAATATCTAATAAGCAATGAGTATTTCTTTTATTAAAATCAGTTTGATCCCTTCAAAAGTTACCATCTCTCTGTGCTCTGGTAATAGTAAATATAATGCAAAGATTTCTAATTGATAAATATATTGGAATACAATGCCTTTGTTTCAATAACTAAAAAAAACCCCCCTTNTTAAGAATTGACCAAGATATTGAGAAATTTGTTTAAAATTCAAAATATTAAATATTAGCAAGGTTGTTTAAATCTTTAATATCTCCAACAATTTTTATAATACAAAGAAGGAGGCTAAATCTTATCAAGTTTTAAAGACTTACAATGTTTTTCTATACTCCTTTGACATCTATTAACTTTTCCAGAGTCCAATGTCTAACGTACTGCATAACACCCCAGCGAAAAAAATACACCAAACCTTGACTATGATATATCCAATGGATAGATCAGTGATCCTAGATGTGCACACTCTCATTCAAAAATCTATTATCATTATTTTCCCAGGGCTACAATAAAGTTTAAATAGATGAGTTAAACCAAAAACTAATTAATGCAAAATTAGATTTGTAAAGATAGATACAGTAAAACCCATAAAACCGTGGAATAGCAAAGTAAGAATTAATGAATGAATGAGTAAAGGTATGGATGAAAGAAGAAGATATCAATGAAAGAAGAAGATATTAATGAAAGAAGAAGATATGAATGAATGGGTGTCTGAATGGAAGAAAGTATGAATGAAAAGTCAGATAAAAACAGCTGAGCTTTATCAAGATTTGGAAAGAAGAAGTGAAAGAAGGAACTAAGGAAGATGGAATGAAGGAGTGAATGTATTTATAAATAATGAAAGTATGAATGAAAGGAGGAATGAAAGTAAAAATAATGAAGCTTTAAATGGAAGAAAGTATAAATGAAAGGAGAAATGAAAGTAAAAATAATGAAGGTATGAATGAAGGTCTGAATGGAAGAAAGTATGAATGAAAGGAGAAATGAAAGTAAAAATAATGAAGGTATAAATGAAGGTATGAATGGAAGAAAGTATGAATGAAAAGAGGAAAGAAAGTAAAAATAATGATGTTATGAATGAAGGTCTGAATGGAAGAAAGTATGAATGAAAAGTCAGATAAAAACAGCTAAGCTGCATCAAGATTTGGAATCAAAATTTTAAAATTTTCTTTGAAGATGTTTAACTTGAATCTAACTTATTATACATTTGCATATATAAGATAAAGAGTTATATATAATACATTTATTACATAGTCAGTCAACGAAGAAATCAATGAAAGAATCAATGAATAATTCAATTAATAAATCAATGAAAGAATCAGTCAGCGAATCAATGAAAGAATCAATGAAAGAATCAACGAAAGAATCAATGAAAGAATCAATGAAAGAATCAATGAAAGAATCAATTAACGAATCAATGAAAGAATCAATGAATGAATCAATGAATGAATCAATGAAAGAATCAGTCAGCAAATCAATGTAAGAATCAATGTAAGAATCAATGTAAGAATCAATGTAAGAATCAATGTAAGAATCAATGTAAGAATCAATGAAAGAATCAATGAAAGAATCAATGAAAGAATCAATGAAAGAATCAATGAAAGAATCAATGAAAGAATCAATACATGAATCAATGAACAAAGAATCAATAAATGAATTATTGAAAGAATAAATAAATGAATCATTGAAAGAATAGATGAATGAATCATTGAAAGAATCAATAAATGAATCAATGAAAGAATCAATGAAAGAATCAATGAAAGAATCAATGAATGAATCAATGAATAAATCAATTAATAGATGACTCAAAAAATCAATTAGCGAATCAATGAAAGAATTAATGAAAGAATCAATGAATGAATCAATGAATAAATCAATGAAAGAATCAATGAAAGAATAAATGAATGAATCAGTGAAAGAATCAATGAAAGAATAAATGAAAGAATAGGTGAAAGCATAAATGAATGAATCAATGAATGAATCAATGAAAGAATAAATGAAAGAATAAATGAAAGAATAAATGAATCAATCAATTAATGAATCAATGAAAGAATCAATGAAAGAATCAATGAAAGAATCAATGAAAAAATCAATGAATGAATCAATGTAAGAATCAATGAAAGAATAAATGAAAGAATAAATGAATCAATGAATGAATCAATGACAGAATCGATTAACGAATCAATGAAAGAATCAATGAACGAATCAATGAATAAATCAATGAAAAAATCAATCAAATAATGAATGAATGAATAAAAAAATCAATGCAAGTATCAATGAAAGAATCAATGAATCAATCAATGAAAGAATCAATGAATGAATCAATGAAAGAATAAATGAATGAATCAATGAAAGAATCAATAAATGAATCATTGAAAGAATAAATGAATGAATCAATGAAAGAATCAATGAATGAATCATTGAAAGAATCAGTGAAAGAATCAATGAAAGAATCAATGAAACAATCAATGAAACAATCAATGAAACATTCAATGAAACAATCAATGAAACAATAAGTGAAATATTAATGAAAGAATTAATTAGATAACCGAAAGAAACAATAAAAGAATCAATGAATGAATCAATGAAAGAATAAATGAATGAATCAAGAAAGAATCAATGAATGAATCAATCAAAGAATCAATAAATGAATTATTGAAAGAATAAATAAATGAATCATTGAAAGAATAGATGAATGAATCATTGAAAGAATCAATAAATGAATCAATGAAAGAATCAATGAAAGAATCAATAAAAGAATCAATGAAAGAATCAATAAAAGAATCAATGAAACAATCAATGAAACAATTAATGAAAGAATCAATGAAACAATCAATGAAAGAATCAATGAAACAATCAATGAAACAATCAATGAAAGAATCAATGAAACAATCAATGAAACAATCAATGAAAGAATCAATGAAACAATCAATGAAACAATCAATTAAACAATCAATGAAACAATAAGTGAAATAATCAATGAAAGAATCAATTAGACAAGCGAAAGAATCAATAAAAGAATCAATGAATGAATCAATTAAAGAATCAATCAATGACACAATCAATGACACAATCAACAAACGAAGCAATGAAAGAGTATGAATGAATCAATAAATGATCAAAAATAAGAAGCAATGAAAGAAAGAATGAATGAATAAATGAATGAATAAATGAATACTATCGTATTAAGATATCAAAATAAGTAATGTGTTAAACAATACAATCTAGAAAATGAATGAATGAATGAATGAATGAATGATTGCAGTTTAACAAGAAATTTTGTGAAATTATACAACTCTAGCCGATTGGGTAGGGGTGTAGGGGGTGTATATGTTTTCAATGAAAGAGTGGGTTACTTGTAAAAATAGTTGCCTAGAAAGGAGTGGAAGCGCAAATGTTTTCCCATCATGATATTCTTTGGTCGACAGTATTAACCCCCCCCCCCCTCTCTCCATCTAAACATGAATCTAATTGCCCCTGTAGTTGATAATTATGAACTACTCTGAATTCTATTGTTCAATTTTGTAACATGTAACCAACTTGTTAAATAACTCAAGGGTTATGTATATTTTACAACATTCTCTAGAAAACTGAATTTTTAATATCATCATTTTAAATATTTTTGCGTTTTAACTGGAAATAAAATAATATTTTTAACAGATAATTTTTTTCTCACAGTATCGTGCTAAATTATGTAATCATTGAACTAACCTGCAGCCGGGGGGGGGGGGAATTTATTTTGAAATACAAATACAAAGTTTCTAGTCAAGTTGTTAAACTATTACATACCGTGTTTTGGTTATTGAAAAATAACAGAATAGTTGTTTTCAAGATTATATTTTTGATAAAAAATATCCAATAACTTAATGGATATTGCATATTTTATCAGATTTATGACATAAAACATACATCAGTATGGAGATGAACAAGGGGAATGAGAAAAAGTAGAAAAGGGGAGAAAGCGTCGAGAATAAAGGAGATTAAGACGGAGAAGAAAGGGGAACAATGAGAAAGAAGAAATAGGCGAAGGAGAATAAGACGGAGAAGAAAGGGGAGAATGGGGAATAAGAAAGAGGAAAAAGGGGAACGATGAGAAAGGAGAATAAGAAGGAGNCCCACCCCCCACAAAAGTGCTAGATGCGCTACTGCCCAGAGAAAGGGGAGAAAGGAGAAAAAGCAACTGAGAAAATATAGAAAAGGGAAGAAAACCTGGAGAAAGGGATTGAGAAAGAGCAAAATGAATGAGAGAGGGTAGAAAAGGCTCGAAAAAAACGAGTGGAAAATTAAAGAAGAAAACGGAGAAAAGGGGAAGAAAAAATGAGAAAAAAGGGAAAAGATAGAAATAATTGTTAAAGGAAGAAGGAAGAAACAATAATACATTGTCATGGAATAGTCTTCATGCACTAATACACAAACAAATAAATAAAATCTCTCTACCCCAACCCTTTTCCCTGGCACCCCCACTTACCCCCATTTATATAATTTAAGCGTCTTGTTGATATCTTTTTTAGCTTAAATAAAACTCTTCCAATTTCATCAACTAAAACTTAATTTTTTGAAATTATAATAACAATAATAATTCATGAAATACCAGCGTAACTTAACTAAACTTTTAATAAATATCGTGTAATTGTAATAAATATCATGTAATTGTAATAAATGTCGTATAATTGTAGTAAATATTGTCTAATTGTAATAAATATATAGTAATTGTAATAAATATCGTGTAATTGTATTGAAGATTGTGTAACACGATATTGGTAAATCTGACATACGCAGCATGATCAGAACATGTATTATGATTAGATTAACTACGTTTATATCTATCCTTCCTAATCTTTTAAATACATACATTAAACCTAAACTATGCTGTATATATATCAATGTAAAACTTGTAATTACGTTGATTAATGTTAACTTGTAACAAAGATCTTTAAATACAAACTAGTTGTTGTAAGTAGACTCCTCTTTGATTATAGTGATAGAGTAATTTGGTCCTTGTTGCAACATACGAGCTGAGCTTGTGTCCATGTTGACTTTGATGGCTGACAAGAGCGTGCCCATTGACTGCTTAAGAGCTTGTGTCCGTTTTGACATAGATAGCTGAGCTTGTGTCCATGTTGACATTGATAGCTGATAAGATTGTGTCTGTTGGTTTGGCATTGATCGCTTATAGATTGTGTCTGTATTGACATTGATAGCTGACTAGTTGCACCTGGATTGATACAGTTCAGAAAGCAGTTTTACAAGTACGGCATTTACTACAAACTTAGCTCTGATATATATAGTAATCATAATGAAAAAAATGATAATGATAATGATAACAATAATAATAATAATAATAATAATAATAATAATAATATGAATGAATGAATGAATGAATATCTAGGAGAAGATCTAGTGTAGATACAACCTGTATCTCTAGTATAAGTCTAGAGCAAGAAGAAGAAGATGAGGAGGAAAAGGAGATAATTAAAGAGCCGAGTAAACAAGAGTAAGTTTTTTAATACATTTCATATATTAACATTTTTTAATCCAATTTAAAGGGGACTTATGATCAAGCTTGATTCATAACTTCATATGTTTATTCTTGAAAAATGTTTATTTTGAGTTGTTCAAAAGCGACTTGTGCATTTCAAAAATTACTGAAGAAATTATCGGAATTCTAATCAGAAAAACGGCGCTTTTTTCACAGTTTCAAATTCTTCTTAATCTTTTCCTCGTTCTCAGCTTTTTTATCTAATCATTTTCTAATTTTTATATCTTGGCAACCTGACATCGTGGGCCTATTATATTTAAAACTGAGAATTCTGATAGATCAACTTATTAAAGTTTAAAATATAAAAGTTTCATATCATCAGAGATCAGAACTTTTGTATATTTTTAATCTTTAAAACTTAATCTTGATATCCAATGTAGAAACTTTTAAATCTGAGGATCAATGCTTGATCCCTCAATTAAACTTACATCTACAGCGTATGACCACCACAGGAAATCGAAAAGGAATAAAATGTATCCGTAGATCTGCTTAAAATCAATTTTTCATCCTGAGATTCACAACATAACAGTTCATGTTGACTGACTGACTTCATGTTGCAAAAATTTAGGAACTATATAATTATATTTTTTGTTTAGTATTTAATTATTCAGACCAGGGTTATATATTCAGGGTTGAAATATTCTGACCAGGTTTATAAATTCAGGGTTAAATTATTCAGACCAGGGTTATATATTGAGGGTTGAAATATCCTGACCAGGATTATATATTCCGGGTTAAAATATTCTGACCAGGGTTATATATTCAGGGTTAAAATATTCTGACCAGGGTCATATATTCAGGGTTGAAATATTCTGACCAGGGTTATATATTCAGGGTTAAAATATTCTGATCATGGTTATATATTCAGGGTTAAAATATTCTGATCAGGGTTACATATTCAGGGTTAAAATGTTCTGACCAGGGTTATATTTTCAAGGTTGAAATATTCTGACTAGGGTTATATTTTCAGGGTTAAAATATTCTGACCATGGTTATATATTCAGGGTTAAAATATTCTGATCAGGGTTATATATTTAGGGTTAAAATATTCTGACCAGGGTTATATATTCAGGGTTAAAATATTCTGACCAGGGTTATATATTCAGGGTTAAAATATTCTGACCAGGGTCATATATTCAGGGTTGAAATATTCTGACCAGGGTTATATATTCAGGGTTAAAATATTCTGACCATGGTTATATATTCAGGGTTAAACTATTCTGATCAGGGTTATATATTCAGGATTAAAATATTCTGACCAGGGTTATATATTCAGGGATTCTGACAAGGGTTATATTTTCAGGGTTCGGCAAATGCTCGGGAATATGGACGAGGTTAGGGATTATCATACCAGGTATTTATAGAGGCGGCAATATATATAGAGCAGTCAAAGAGAAGGCAATATTTTTAGAGGAGGCATTTTATGTTTTTTTATATTTATAGAGCAGTCATAGAGGAGGCAATATATATATTTATTTATATAGAGCAGTCAATGTTTAAAGAGAAGTCTATAAGCATAGAGCAGTCAATATACATAGAGTAGGCCAAATACATAGAGCAGTCAATATACATAGAGCAGTCAATATACATAGAGCTGTCAATATACATAGAGCAGTCAATATACATAGAGCAGTCCAAATACATAGAGCAGTCAATATACACTGAGCAGTCAATATACATAGAGCAATCAATAAACATAGAGCAGTAAATATACATAGAGCAGTCAATATATATAGACCAGTCAATATACATAGAGCAGTCAATATACATAGAGCAGTCAATAAACGTAGAGCAGTCGATATACATATAGCAGTCAATGTATATAGGGCAGTCAATATACATATAGCAGTCAATATATGTAGAGGAATCAATAATCAATAACATAGAGCAGTCAATTTACATAGAGCAGTCAATATACATAGAGCAGTCATTATCATAGAGCAGTCAATATACAAATGCAGTCAATATACATAGAGCAGTCAATAAGCATAGAGCAGTCAATATACATAGAGCAGTCAATATACATAGAGCAGTCATTATCATAGAGCAGTCAATATACAAAGAGCAGTCAATATACATAGAGCAGTCAATATACATAGAGCAGTCAATAACATAGAGAGCAGTCACTAAACCAAAAATACTAAATAAAAAATCATCAAAATAATTTTAATGAATTCAGAACTAAAGAGAACAATCAGTAAAAATTGAAAATTTAAAAATTTGAAAATTTGAAAAACTAAATTATTAAAATATTGAAACCAAGGATTTCTTTTATTTCATTCAAATTCAACAGAGCAAATAGATTAGAAGTTTTTACAATTGAAAAGGTTATACAGCCTTATATATAGCAGACCTAGTTTAGAATATAGTGTAGCAGACCCAGTTTAGAATACTGTGTAGCAGACCCAGTTTAGAATACTGTGTAGCAGACCCAGTTTGGAATATTGTGTAGCAGACCCAGTTTAGAATATGGTGTAGCAGACCCAGTTAAGAATATAGTGTAGCAGACCCAGTTTAGAATATAGTGTAGCAGACCCAGTTTAGAATATGGTGTAGTAGACCCAGTTTAGAATATAGTGTAGCAGACCCAGTCTAGAATAAAGTGTAGCTGACCCAGTTTAGAGAATAGTGTAGCAGACTCAGTTTAGAATCAAGTGTAGCAGACCCAGCTAGTTTAAAATAATGTGTATGAGATAATTAAACATTATATTATTATATTATTATTATATAAAAACAGCACACAATTAACTTCTTATATATTATAAGTTCTTCTGTTCCAATGATTCTTTCCAGTTTCTCATTTCATTTTTAATGATGTTACAGTTCTGATTCGATTCTTTAAAAAAAAAACTTTTATTCCAAATTAAATTTGAAAAATTGTAGCTAAGGAAGATCTTGTAAATCTTGTATAATGTATATCTCATAGGCATTCTAGATTCTAGATAATGAATCATCTAAACCCAGTTTAAAATCCATGAACACTCCCTTTCTAATCTAAATCTAGGGTTATGCTGCCAAAACTTGAAGAAGCCGTTCTTAATGGAGACTCACAAGCTATCAGGTAACTTTAGTTTGAAATACCATTAAAGGGACTGTTCAACTATCTGAACATATTAAAGAGACTGTTCAACTATCTGAACATGCTAAAGAGACTGTTCAACTATCTGAACATATTAAAGAGACTGTTCAACTATCTGAACATGCAAAAGAGACTGTTAAACTATCTGAACATATTAAAGAGACTGTTCAACTATCTGAGCAAAAACAATTTACAAAATTTAAAAACATAATTAAAATGACCTTACTCCTGAAAAATGTCTCTGACAGGCGATTTTCCCAACTTAAAGATAAGAAACTATATTTTCTTCTAGATGCTGGCAAAACTCTAACGGATATTTTGTTATAAAATTGTATCATTCTGGTATTTAGCCATATTTTTGAGCCTAGGAAATGTTATATTCACGTGCTTTATATCGAGTACTTTTATATAGTTACACTCTGTTCATGCATAGCATATGTTGGATATATTTGTATGCTTTATACTGAGTACTTTTAAATAGTTACATTGCACTTCGGACAAACCCAGCAAATGTTAGATCCACGTGCTTTTTATCGAGTACTTGTATCCAATTACACATACACTCCATATAAACCTAGAAAATGTTAGATCTTCATGCTTTATATCAAGTACTTTAAAATAGTTACACACCGTACAAACCCATCAAATGTTTGATCTGCATGCTTTATATCGACAGTTACATTCTTGACAAACCTGCAATATGTTAGATCTGCGAGTTTTATATCGAGTACTTTTAAATAGTTACATTCCGTACAAACCTAGCAATTGTTAGATCCACGTACTGTATATCGCGAACCTTTTTTGCAGTTAGTTAGATGAACACAGATCTCAGTAATGACTGTAAGCAAATAATAATATGCATAGGATAAGGATGAATATGGTGAAGGGTTGGAATATATTAGGGTTTATGAAAGAGTAAAGATGATAAATGTTGAAGCAAATAAATCATATATGGAGGTTTAACACTCATTTTCAAACCTTAAAAGGGTTGCAGAGATTCCTTAATAAAAATTTGTTGCTGAAAGGAGACAAAATAGCTTTTTGTAAACGATATTAAGAACAATTCAGGGATTACTGATAATTCTACAGTAAATTGTAGAATCCATAAAACTATGCTATAGAAAGACGACTTTTAGACTCATATGATTTCAAATAATCTAATAAAATTTTACCACAGAAATGGTGCAGTGCACACAGGCCCATTTAATTTCATAGGTTGATTTTCAATTCACTGGAAAACTATTCGCTTATGACAATGTCAAATTCACATAAGACTGCTGAAATCTTACTAAGCCACAGTTTTATGGGAATCTCTGTATTTGTTACACTTTCCGATTATGGTTATTTGTTCTCTGTTCGTTGTGGTTTTTAGCTCGNGGGTTTCAGGTCCAATTAGAAAATGACGTGATGCAACATTTCTATAATTTGTCCCATTACTATTAGTGCAGAGAGTGCATTTTCTATTTTCAACGGATTCTAATTTCTAATAAAGATCTATACAGACAAATAATTTTATTTTTTATGATCCAAGAGTTACTTTGGAAAACATTCATTCCTGTTTCGAGGAATTTTGATAATGAAGACGACATGTTCATAATTTCCAGGGAATGTTCGAAAATCCAGCACCAGTCGTGAAAACAAGTTGTAAGCGAAATATTAGTTAAAAAAAATATTATGAAATATCAGCAAAATACGATGCGTCGAAGAAAATCGATGATTATAGATGTTGTAATGTCTGAATGATTTGTTTGGAATTAAATTGATTATTTTGTTATCCGATTCGAAGAATTCGAATATTGCAACTTTCTGAATTTGTATTGACGCAACGTTCTTCGGTATAAGACGTCTTTAACAATTTTCTCCTTATAGACGCAACAGATAGAAGTAAGATTAGTAGATATCACATCGAACATTTTTCGAACCCTCCCTGTAAGAGTTCAGATAGTAAATTGGTCCAAAATGGCGTCCAAAAAGTACAAGAATTTTATATTTTTATTAAGTAATTATGTAATTTTTAAAAAAAATTTTTATGTAATATAATAAACTGCAGTGAGAAGTACAAGAAAAGGAATTCTGTTGATGATTTCAAGTGACCCTTCGTTTTAGGACCGGCATGGCCGAATCACAATGGTATCTAATCATTTTTAAAAGGCATCACCGTTTCCTTTCTTAAAGCTTTGCCTATATTCAACAGTTTAGGGTCTGCAATTAGCACTTTGTGTGCACCCAAACTACCCGGCAAGACAAATAACGTTCTCAGAACGTAAGATAACGTTTCTTTTAGGACTCATTTACGTTAATTAACGTCACTCTTTTATGTTCCAGGAACGTAAAAACGAACCTACTTTTACTAACGTAAAAATGTTACGTTATTAACAGTACATTTAATGTTATTTGACGTTCATGAATCTAACTAGCAATACCCAAACTACTTTTTAAATGTTTTACTTTAACGAAACAGCACGTCACAGAATCACTCCAAGAATCAAAAGAAAGGCGCCAAGTTTCAGATTATCTCTTAGCCTTAAGTTTCTTTGCATTGTATAATGTATATACTCCAAGAAACAAAAGACAATTAAAACAAAGGCTATAGGAGCGTGAAGATTAAATGGTGTGAAATACGAAATCCGAAAACTTGATTTAATTAGTGGCATCCGTGCCACTTAACTAGGTTAGTGAGCTCTCCAGGATTCTAGAAAGATAGTTACTCTTCACCGGGTTAAAGGGACTGTAAGCATAATTTCAAGTGATCCTCCATGCAAAGACACAATTCACAACAGTACCCTTGCAACCTTTCCCTTCTTCTAGCTTTATGAATTATGTTTTCTATATGTTTTCATTCAGTAGAAATGCGCAAGTCACTTTTGTAGAGAACCCACAATTGAAAATAATCTGTTATGTAAGGTAGTTGAACTGAGTATGCAGTGTTGTGGACAAATTCTTTCGGATTCATTTGAGACATATAGAACTTTTAAAGATCTGTAAATCCTGAGTTTGAGCGCAAATTCGACGTTCAAAACACCTACTTTGGGGGTGGATACGTTTTCAGAATTAGTTTTTAAAAATTATTAAATAACGATGACAAAAATGTAAACAAAATTCCACAGTAAACTAATTAGTTGTTTAGGAACCAGTTGAGAAAATAAAAATTAATCTTATCATCGAAAATAAGCAATCTTGTTCAATTATTAGTTTCTATTTTCTCATTATTCTAGTTTCACATTATTCACAAAGATTTTCTACAGATTCTATAAAGCTCTCGTTACAAATATTCTGAATTTCTAATTACAATATCTTTGCACCCTGATTTCGTAGACCTTTGATATTTCAATCTAAACTTTTAAAGGTTATAGGGATAAAAAAAATTTTAAGTGTTTAGTTCTTTTATGTATTTTTTATTGTAAGAAACCGCATTTGTATCATAATGATTTTTCTGTAATTGGTTCACTTTAATTTCACTTTATTTTGGCGCAAAAAAGGGTGCAGTGTAGCTTATATTTTTTTATTATGATTCGCACAATATTGTTGCGCTGTATTTTTTGCTGATTTTTTGCACAATATTGTTGCAGAAGTGTTGAAATTAATTGTATACATTTGCTATTATAATAAATCCACCCTTTCCTCATGTTGAATACATTTTAGTAGATTTTAGTAAATATACAAAATAAACAAATAGATTTCGAGATAAAGATAGATAGATAGATGGATAGATAGATAGATAGATAGATAGATAGATAGATAGATAGATAGATAGATATATGGATAGATAGATAGATTAACAGATGATAAGATAAAAAACTGAAAAGAATGGGAAGTTAGAGAAGAATTAGATCTAATCAGCAGAATATTGTTTCAGTTTGGTCAATGTAGTTCATTGCAATCATTGTAATTATAAACAATCAGAGGCCGAATTTAAAGAATTAGAGCGGCGGTTTAAATTTAAGCCACGGTTTAAATATGGTTGGTTCCACTTAAAATTATATCAAATGTTTCAAGATTTAAGCCGGCGCTTAATTTAAACCGGGTTTTGGCGGATTTAAACCGCGGCTCAAATTCTTTAAATTCCATCTCTGATATGTAAACAAATTCATGGGAGGGCTTTTTTAGGATCAAGATCAGGATCAGGATCAGGAACAGGATCAGGATCAGGATCAGGATCAGGATCAGGATCAAGATCAGGATCAGGATCAGGATCAGGATCAGGATCAGAATCAGGATTAGGATCAGGATCAGGATCATTAAAAGCATAAATAAATAAAAATACAAATAAGTAAAAACAAAAACTCAAAACTTTGTCTGTTTTTGAAACTTTTATTTTTCGAAACTTTTTCTTTGTAACAGTAGTTTTCAACACAAAGTACATCTGTCTCTGTCTCTGTCCATCTTTCTATCTGTTGTTTAGTATAGTTATGCACGTGTGTCTTCATGTTTTTCAACTTTTTTTCCGAGCTTATTCGAAATTAAATCGTCCTTGAAGACAATTTTGAATCAAATATTTTTTAATTGAATTTTTATTTTAGCCCATCTTTTTAAAAAACATCATCATTCGTAGAACTTTCTTAAAGTGAGACCCTTTTAATTTGAGACACTTTGAAACTTTTTTAGTGACAACCCCCCCCCCCCCTTTAAAAATTGTGCTTTTGCAAATTGTAGAGAAAATAATGTGAAAGGAAATCACTTTTCAGGTCGTCGTTGGTCGTTGATGAATATATTCGATATTTTGCGCAGTTCCAGCGGAAAAAGAAGTTGATGTTAAGGTAAATAAGGGAAACCGGTTTTGGGAGTACGGGCAGGACATTTCTTAAACAGGACGTTTCGTAGACAGGACATTTCGTAGACAGGACATTTTAAAGACAGGACATTTCGTTGACAGGACATTTCATAGAAAGGACATTTTATAGACAGGACATTTCATAGAAAGTACATTTAATAGACAAACGTTTATAAATTGCATTTTCTATGAAATTCCTCTCTATGATTCTTTTACCTATGATATGTCCCAATGCATAAAAAAATTCAAAATTATATTTTTAAATTTATTTATTTTTTAGATACATATATAAATATAGATATAAATATAATTATAATAATATATAAATATAATAATAAATAAATGAAGATACATATACAAATGAAGATATATATATATATAATTAAAATAATATATAAATGAAGATACATATTTAAATGAAAATATATTATTTTGAAAAATAATCCAATTTTTTCACTTATCAGACATATAAATCTACTAGCTGAAGGGCCCGGCGTTGCCCGTGAAAAAAATTTGAAAAAATATCTTTAAAAAGAATATTTAAGATAAAAAAATTCGAATCTTTATAGCCTATAACACCCCCCGGCCACGCATGAATTTCAACAAAAAAATTCAGCCCAATCGGTCCAGTCGTTTGGCCGGCTATACGCAACATATGGCTTGCTTTATTATAAAGATATATAATATGAAAAACTTAGACTGCTCTGATTAATATAATAAATATATAGATGGATATGAACGTATAGATAGTTATTGATAAAAATAGACAAACATACCTTTGGATAGAAAGATAAATAGATATATATGGATAATAGATTTTTATTAATATTTTTTTAGTTTTCTCAGAAATAAAATGATACGGGAAAAGAATTTATTAGAAAATAGAGTTTCCTAGAAAATTTATTGTTTGATTAAAGAGCGTAAATAAATGGTTTAATTTTTTATAATATTTCCTATTTTCATTTAGATTTCTCTTTCAAGTGTCATTTCTTAGCCAAAATTCCCAATATAAAAGGGGGAAGGGGGAGGGGGATTATAAGATATACAAGAGGGCCAGGGGGGCCTGAGGGGGGGGGATTAAAAACCAACCAAGCAAAGCAAAGAAAACAAGGCGAAGCATCATTAATTGTGCATGAGACAAGTAAACACAGGTTTAAGGAATATAAACACAGTTTTAGGATTTTTATCTATTTGCTCTTTTCTACGTTGTGAAATATTGACTTTAAAGGGACTGTTACGGTAAAATGAAGCCTAAACATTTTTGGAGTTTATCGTTAATCGTTGAATTGATTGGTATAACTTTGACACAGTTTTATATTAATTTCTCGAGACAGGGACATAAAATAGAACTAATATTGGTCGCGATCAACTTAGGCTTAGGCTTCAGTTTATACCCCCTTTCATTTTACCTTAACAGTCCCTTTAAAGTCAATATTTCACAACGTAGAAAAGAGCAAATAGATAAAAATCCTAAAACTGTGTTTATATTCCTTAAACCTGTGTTTACTTGTCTCATGCACAATTAATGATGCTTTTTGATAAAATTTGTTCGTCAAACTTCTGAATCTTTTGAGGTTCATTTTAAAAAACTAAACAAAAACAAAAATACAAAGAAAAAAACTAATCTAATACCAGATTGATATTTGATATAATAATCAGGAAGTTTTGACATTAATGAAAAATGTTTAATATAAGGATATATTAGAGACAAGAAAGTAGGAAAATTGTAAAAAGAAAAGAAAGTCAGAAAAAAAAGTATAAAAAGAAAAAGAAAGCCAGAAAAAAAAGAAAAAAATATGAAAAGAAAAAGATTTTTTTATTTTCCCCTTAGAGTTGAGATAGGGGCGTACGTGATATACATGTCACATAGTCCAATTTATCAAGAAAGTAATTTTTTACTTTAGATGCTTACTTTGGATGTTTTGGGGAGGTTTAAGAACTTTTTAAGTATGTCGAAAAAAATACTTAATATATTTTTTGAAAAGTCAACGTCAATTTTGTATGGCTTCATAATTATTTAAACAGTATATTTGCAGTATAAATATTAAAAGTTATGGGATATTGCTCATTTTTTTAACACCGACTGCACTTTTGACCGTGAAGAACCGTGTCTCACATCATATTAGATCGTTTATAGCTCAACATTGTGATTTTAGAGACTAATTAGACAATTAAAAACAATGAATCATTTTTTTAGATGTAAAATGTTTTACTTTAAAAGTTTTTTGCAGGAAATACTAGGTTTTTCCAGTATTATGTGCGTATTTTGGCGTTAAAGCTTAATTGAAGATTATCCAATATTATTATTAAAGTTTATTTCGCACACAAAAAATGGTACAATAAATTAAGACAAAGACATGATTTAAACGAGGAACATAAGTAAATATAGAATATCACTTGTTAGTCAGTACATAAAAAACAAAGTATATCCTTAAATTCATGATAGATAAAATCGTTAAAAGAAAAATTGTTTGATCTTAGATCCAGGAGTTCATAAATTAGAGGTATTTTCAAATTCTGATCATCTGGTAACTTTGAAAACGTTAAACAAATTTTTGGACAAATTGTCCACTAACACATTACAATCATCTGCAATTGTATTCAGATTTTTACATAAAACTAATTGATCGTTGATCCTATTTCTAAAAAAAATCATAAAGTAAACGAATGCTTGACTTATTTGTACTGTTCATTCATTCAGAAAAGGCAACAAATCTGCTCGCTCAGTTTTAATGATATGGGACGCTCTGTAGAAACACCACAGGACGGTTTCCTACATGTTGTTTGTTTTAGGTATCACATGTTTCTAAGTTCTTTGTCAAAAACTGCTTTAGAACTTGGCTTGGATCAGGCAGCACAGGACTTTTCAATAGCATTAGGTAAATAAAGCTTTAACACTTTTTAAAATTTAAATTTTATGAATACCAAGAAGTAATTGAACTACGTTGTTCAAGTTTCACTTATAATCAACTTATACCGGCGTAAAAAAAGAAGCGGTTTAACTGTTGCTCGCTATTTATTAAATTTGGATTTTAGATTAATTTTTCAAACTGAAAACGCATTCAGTGCAACAAAAAGACGAACTTAAGCTATTTTAGCTCTTCAACAAAAAGAGTTATGATTTAAAACATAAGATTTTTATTTAACGTAAAATTTACTTTAATTGGCCGATATTACACAATAAACTAAGCTAGTGGGGTGGGTCTAATAGGCCGGGTAATGTAAAAAGTCTTGCCGCTCCATCAAAGTTTTGAAAACCGGCCAAGGTTGGGCCTGTTTATGCGCTCGTCACTATGACCGGTACAAGAAGTCGGTCCGGTTCGAATTTAAATTGACCCTTGATGCCAGTAATAAGCCATGATGAAATAAACAATAATCAATCAATCAATCAAATTGGCCCTAGTCCACTGTGATTATGCTCACATCAGCTTTTATTGTAGAGGCTATTTTGGAGGCTGCTAATCATACAAATACAATGATGTGGATTGGGAGGATGGAGGATTGTCCTCTAGAGTTAGCTAGTCAGGTACAATTATTCCTTCAGAATATTCAAACTCAAAAAAAAATTTCAAGTTTTTTTTGAGAGATCAATTCACCAACACATTCTAGAGAAAGTTTCGTCTTAAAGGGAGTGACTTGCTAGACATTGTAGTTGAACTGTAAGTGCAGTATTGTAGAGAAAACTTTAGGATTTATTTAATACCAATGAGACATTTTTGACATGTACATTTTTTAAATAAGAGCTTAAAGTCGTTTGTAATATTCCACCAGTTGTTTCAGTCAAACATTTAAGATTCCATATCTAGATAGAAATAACATTAATGATATTTGTATTTAAGGGTCAACTGTTGAAACAAGGAAGAATGTTGTCAAAAATGATGAAAGCAAGAAGAAGGTCATTTTCAGGTATATTCATTTTTATTCCACCTTTCCTGTATTTATAAAAAAGTATTGATGGGACGAAATTAAAACTTTTAATTTAATTTTGCATCTAATCATAATTTAGTTATTTTTATCAATCCTGCTCGAGTTTAGAAGTTCTAATTTTTGATGATTTTCTTTATACATACAGTGATAACCAAAAAACAACGGAATAGCAAGTAATATTATAGCCATACTAAAGTGTATTTGATGTTGTAAAAAAGCAAATAGTTTTGCTTGACTCTTATTAAACCACTAATTTACTGAAATAGGTCTGTTTACACTGTGCAATCGATGTGTCTCATGCTGATTAGTCGAATTATTAAGTACTCACTTGATTCTAAAAGTCGTCTTCCTATTTCAGAGTTTTCTGGTTCTCACTGTATATAAAGATATGTTTATTTTCTGCATCAAGTAGTATTACGTAAAGCTGTAAAAAAAGCAATAAAATTTATGATTCAAACTTCTAGTTTTATTTTCCAGACGTGGCGGTTTTAAAACACAGGCAATACAGCCTTACTATATATGTACATATTTATAATAGATGGTAGAATAAAATAGTTTGGATGTCAGATCATTTGCATTAAATTTTGTTTGGGGAACTCGATAAACCCACGGGAATTTTCTTCCAGAATTCTAAATTGAGTGATTCGACTTTGATAATGAAAGTTTAGTTACCAGGCAAAACTGGGTTCCCACAAGCTAATGTTGCAAATAAAAATACTTTGGTTTTTTAAATCTTGGTTTTTGTATTAACTTAATAATTGACGCATACAAAAATTACTTCACTGGTTATCTATATATAAATTTGGCTTGACTGTCTGTTTGTCTGTCAGTCTGTTTGTATCCAATAAATGTCAAAACGGCTGAACCGATCGGGCCCAAATTTTTTGTGGGACATCTAGGGACCCCAGGGAAGGTTTATGAATGATCAAAATTTCAAAGATAGGCGCGAAGCGCCCTCAAAGGCTAGTCTATATATACTTTGCTTGTGTTTGTTTGTCTGTCTGTTTGTTTGTATCCAATAAACGTCAAAACGGATGAACCGATTGGGCCCAAATTTTTTGTAAGACCTCACGTAACCACAAGGAAGGTTTATGGATGATCGAATTTTCAAAATTTGCTTCTAACAAAGTTCGTTTTTTAAAATTTGAAAATCCACAAAAATTTTTTTTATTTTTATAAAATCGGCAAAAAATTTTTTGTTTTTGTTTTACTTACTTAGTTACTTAGTTATTTACTTACTTACACTTATTGTCTTATTGTATACTCTATATGTTTTTTTAAATTCTGTTTTAAACTTTATTCTGACCAAAAAATTGATATTTTTGGTCAGAATAAATTTTTGAATTTTTGTCAATATCTTTGTCCAGAGAAAAAATTGTGCATAATGTATAAAAAACAAACTTATTGAAAATATTTTAGAGCACCTTTAAACCCCCAAAAATATTAATATGAACCTCAAATTTATATATATATAAATATATATTTGTATTCAAACGACAGAGCAGAGGTGAAATTCTTGGACCGTTTGAAGACAAAATACTGCTAAAGCATTTGCCAAGAATGTTTTAATTAATTAAGAACGAAAGTTAGAGGCTCGTAGGCGATTAGATACCGCCCTAGTTCTAACCATAAATGATGCCAGCTAGCGATCTGTCGGTGTTTGATTTTCTGACTCGGCAGGTAGCTTCCAGGGGAAGTATGGTTGCAAAGCTGAAACTTAAAGAAACTGGCGAAGGCCACCACCAGGAGTGGAGCCTATGGCTTAATTTGACTCAACACGGGAAATCTCACCAGGCCTTGACACCAGAAGGAATGATAGATTGATAGCTCTTTCTTGATTTGGTGGGTGGTGGTGTATGGCCGTTCTTAGTTGGTGATTTGTCTGGTTAATTCTGATAACGAACGAGACTCTGTCCTGTTAAATAGATCTAACCTAGTTATAGGATTGGAACTTCTGCTTATAGGGACTGGTGATATATATACACTATACAGATAGATGTCTGTGAATTTTTTTTAGAAACATTAATTTTTTTTAAGGATTGCGATCCAAAACTACCCCTGGAGTTCCGAGCTTTATCTTGCTTTTTCAGCATTCAGTCATAATCTGCAGGTACTAAACAAGGGAAATATTTACAGGTATACAGGGGGAATATTTACAGGTATATAGGGGGAATATTTACAGGTATACAGGGGGAATATTTTCAGGTATACAGGGGGAATATTTTCAGCTATACAGGGGGAATATTTACAGGAATACAGGGGGAATATTTACAGGTATACAGGGGGAATATTTACAGGTATACAGGGGGAATATTTACAGGTATACAGGGGAAATATTACAGGTATACAAGGGAAATATTTACATGTTTACAGGTATAGAGGTACGTGAATATTTACCGGTTTACAGGTATTGCACGGGGAATATTTACCGGTTTACAGGTACACAAGGGGAATATTTACAGGTATACAGGGGGAATATTACAGGTATTCAAGGGAAATATTTACATGTTTACAGGTATACAGTGGAAATATTTGCAGGTATACAGGGTAATATTTACAGTTATACAGGGGGAATATTACAGGTATACAGGGGGAACATATACAGATACACAGGAGTAATATTTACAGGTAAACTGGGGTATATATTCACAGGGGGAATATATACAGGTGTAAAGAGGGAATATTTACTGAGAAAAGGGGGAATATTTATAAGTATTCATGGGTGAGTATTCACAGGTATACAAGGGGAATCTTTATAGGTATACTGGGGGAATATTACAGGTATACAGGGGAAATATTACAGGTATACAGGGGGAATATTACAGGTATACAGGGGGAATATTACTACAGATACACAGGAGTAATATTTACAGGTAAACTGGGGTATATATTCATACAGGGGGAATATTACAGGTATACAGGGGGAATATTACAGGTATACAGGGGGAATATTACAGGTATACAGGGGGAATATTACAGGTATACAGGGGGAATCTTTATAGGTATACAGGGGGAATATTACAGGTATACAGGGGAAATATTACAGGTATACAGGGGGAATATTACTGGTATACAGGGGAAATATTTATAGTTATACAGGGGAAATATTTATAGGTATATATGGGGAGTATTTACAGGTATACAGGGTATTTTCACATGATTCATTAATTTTAGGGAACTTGGAAGTTTGGAGGAATCCTGTGATCCAAGATTAATTTACTGCACACATGTCAGGTACAGATTTTATGTACTCTAGTGTACAGTTCAAATGTCAGGCACAGTGTTTATGTACTCTAGTATACTTTGCACATGTCAAGTACAGTGTTTATGTACTCTAGTGTACTTTACACACGTCAAGTACAATGTTTATGTACTCTAGTCTACTTTACACATGTCAGGTACAGTGTTTATGTACTCTAGTGTTCTGTGCACATCAGGTACAGTGTTTATGTACTCTAGTGTACTGTACACATGTCAGCTACAGTGTTTATATACTCTAGTGTAATGTACACATGTCAGGTACAGTCTTTATGTACTCTAGTTTACTGTACACATGTCAGGTACAGTGTTTATATACTCTAGTTTACTGTACACATGTCTGCAGGTGCAGTGTTTCTGTACTCTAGTTTACTGTCCACATGTCAGGTACAGTGTTTATATACTCTAGTTTACTGTACACATGTCAGGTACAGTGTTTATGTACTATAGTTTACTGTACACATGCCTGCAGGTGCAGTGTTTATGTACTCTAGTGTAATGTACACATGTCAGGTACAGTCTTTATGTACTCTAGTGTACTTCACTTTACTGCAGTACCTATTTCCGTATCGGTGAAAGTTGAAATTGTATTATATTTGCGTGCAGATATTTCATAATTTGTTTATTTAATTCTTTGTTTGATGTTTCCTCTGTTTTGTTTGATTTGGGTTCAGGGTTTCATATTTATATACTCTAACCTTGCATGCTGGTTTTTCAATAGATTTATACATACCTGGGAAAACATTCTTTTTTTATGACGTATTTATGATTGAAACTTCAGGAAAATATAAATGTTTCTTGTTTCAAATCTTAGACTAAAGGTTAGTTTATAATAAATTTTGATAAAGTTTATCAAAGTCGAGCAATTTTTACAAAATGTATCTACATGACTTAAATCTCAATAGAAGGGGGTCATTCATTTGGCGTTCAGTACCGGTTTGCCTTATATAGTCCGTATTTGTACTGTACTGCTTGCCCTGGCTAGTTGAAATTCGGCCCGGTACATGATATGAACTGAAATGTACCGTGACATGGTACAAATGAATTTCCCTAGAAGCTCATTTGGTGTACTGTCCCGTTTTGCCTGGTATAATCTGTATGTGTACCGTACAGCTTTCACTAGCTGGTAAGATGCCGGCCGTTCTTAAAATGAACCGGACTGAACCATGAGTACAATTTATTTGATCAAGATTACAAAAACTAGGAAATGTTAAATTTTAATAAAATTCAAATGGAAATTATTATGAGACAACATTTTTATCCTGACCGGGCATAAAACTTTTCGGGGCCGCTCATGTTTGTTTTCATAAAAAATTTAATTTCTTTATAATTATTTCTTATTTTTATTGTTAATCAATATAAATGATAAAATTAAAACCTGAATAGAGGCGCGAATTACCCTGGAATTCTAGTAAACAATACGTATGATAAAACTTTTATATCCGCCGGAAAATTTATTTTATTTATTATGTCTATAAGCCCTCCTTCCTGAGATTTCTGTGGCTTTGAATAGTAGGGTTGGGAGGGAGAGGGCGTATTATTACGCATTAAAACACATGTTAACGGCTTAAAGGGGGTATCATTAGCACGCTTTACGCACCTGAGCTACGCAAAGAAATTAACATATAACGCGACCACATAAATGCCACCATATGTTAGATGTCGTCAACTCAAATTATTGTAAAAACAAATTATTTTCATTTATTTTTTGTTACTAACTAAATCAGTATTTTTAAACAACAATCAGAATTTGCTGTCTTATTTTTAAAGAGGAGAAGAAGTTTTTAGTTTTTAGTTTAACTCAAGGTTATAATGCAAGGAAAGTTATTTGCAGTAGCGTATACTCTGCGTACATATTGAAACCAGTTCTCTCTTGGCGGAATTTGTAAACAAGAATAGATGCCTCAGTGTTCGTTTAGTATCCGAGGAGGTTAAAAGCATTAAATTTAGATATTTTTGATAATTCACATAATAGTTTAATGTGACCAGAATATTTCAGACTTCGACATCCGTCGTGTGTTTACATTACCGCCCAGAGACAGTACACTATAGTATAAAAGATATGTACACTTCTGAAATAACATTCCTTGCATTATAACCTTGGTTTACATTATCACACACCTTGAATATCTAATCGTTGTAGAATAAATTGATTTCATATTTTTATTAGAACGCCATTTTTTAATGGGCAAAACTGTGAATATTCAAGACCAATTATACTTAAGTTTTACTCCAAAATTGAATAAAATGGCATCAAATTACAATTTGCCCCGAAAAGGACATTTTCTGTGAATATTTTACAAATTGGAATTCTGAAATACATGGAATTGCATCTTTTACAACGTTTGTGTCGTCTGCGACAATTTAAATACAAAATGAATGGTATAAATTAATTGAAAATGCTAAGTTTTCTTGATCCACTCCATACTTATTCGGAAGTTTTTGAAATATTTGTTTGTAAAGAATTTGTTTCCCACTCTTTGGAATGTTGTATAATGTCTAAAACCTGTCAGAAAGTGCAGAATATAAAGATATTCTGGACACATTTTTTACATCTCTGTACATTCTTGAAGGAATAAAATTTGTACCACATTTAAGAAAACCCATGGATTAGAGTGTTTGAAACCCATGTACTTTGCACACAAAAAAAATCGCTTCAAAGAAACACGTTTTTTATGTTACTTTATTCCTATGTTTATCCACTTAATACAAGTGTGGAATATACGAAGACGACTGTTAAACTCAAGTTATGATTTTGAAAAGCCACTGAGCATGAAACACGGCAATAGTGCAGTGTACTGTACACAGTCCCATTTAACCAAGGTTACAATGCAAGGAAAGTTAATTGCAGTTGCGTATACTCTGCGTACATATTGAAACCAGTTCTCTCTGGGCGGAATTTGTAAACAAGAATAGATGCATCAGTGTTCGTTTAGTTTCCAAGGAGAATAAAAGCATTAAATTTTGATAATTTTGAAAATTCACATAATAGTTTCCTATGGCCAGAATATTTCACTGATTTCCACAATTGTCTGGTTCTCTTTGTATGTTTAAAAGTTCCGAATGTCCATCCGTAGTTTAAAATAAAAAATATATTCTTGTTTAGTGTGAACCAAGTGCGAATACGTGACACATGCGCAGATGACGCGCTCACATTCGAGTTGCAGCGCGTGGAGGGGATAAAGGGTGTTCACCTCGGGACCAGTCAGGAGGGCGCTGTGGCTAGAATCACCTGCGCTACTGAACAGGTATAGAAAATACAATGATACATTTTTTATTCAAAATATTATTAATATATATGAAGTTCTCCTTTTTTTCGGTCGAAATTTGAAACATTTCAACATAGGTTCTGATTTTAAGATGAAAAATGGCGACAACGTAACTCTTTGTTTGATATGGAAACTTGAAAATACGTCGACAGTCTCTTTAAAATCTGATTTTTTTCAGGAAAAGAACTGCTGGGTTGGAGCCATCAATTCGGAAGTTAAAACCATACGCAGTGTAGCTAAATCATTGTCAAGTAGTTACCTACTACAATCTATACTGTAAACTAGATTCTACGCAGCTTACCTAAATCATTGTTAATCAGCTACCTACTCCCATCTATACTGTAAACTAGATTCTACGCAGTGTAGCTAAATCATTGCCAAGCAGCTACCTACTACCATCTATACCGTAAACTAGATTCTACGCAGCTTAGCTAAATCATCGTCAAGCAGCTACCTTCTACCAACTATACTGTAAACTAGATTCTACGCAGTGTAGCTAAATCATTGTCAAGCAGCTACCTTCTACCATTTTTACTGTAAACTAGATTCTACGCAGTGTATCTAAATCATTGTCAAGCAGCTACCTTCCACCAACTATACTGTAAACTAGATTCTACGCAGTGTAGCTGCTACCTACTACCATCTATACCGTAAACTAGATTCTACGCAGCTTAGCTAAATCATTGTCAAGCAGCTACCTTCCACCAACTATACTGTAAACTAGATTCTACGCAGTGTAGCTAAATCATTGTCAAGCAGCTACCTTCTACCAGCTACACTGTAAACTAGATTCTACGCAGTGTAGCTAAATCATTGTCAAGTAGTTACTTTCTACCATCTATACTGTAAACTATACTAAACTGTGGCTACATTCTACCGTCAATTTTGTAAACTATACTCATTACTCAATGCAGTTAAATATTTTCAATTACAGTGATAACCAGAAAACTGTGGAAAAGGAAGACGACTTATATACATGAATAGTTTTTTAAGGGGTATTTCAGGTTCCAACGGGTGCTGAGCCCTCCTGGAAAGAAAATAAAATTAAGACCCTGAAATTCCTGAATACGCCCCTGACTGTAATCACTGTAACCTGTGTCATGTATGTCGTCTTTAATGTAAAGTCAATATTTATAAAGTTAATGACAAATCTTAATTTTTATATATTATAAAGCCACCAGGGCTCTCACAAATCTCAAATTAATATTTTTATAAAGAAAAAAAAATTGGATTACAAAATTTTACAATGTCCGTCACATTGTCCCTCGGTAAGACATATATCGTGATTTCCAAAAATAGATTGTTGTTATCAATATATATATATTATTGATATATAATTATACATCAAAAGAGAAAAAATTATTGTACAATATATAATATATATATATATGTCTATATTTATTTTAAATACATGTTTGTAAACTTAATGTCAACCAAGATAAATATTCAAAAGTTGAAATAAAAAATGAATAGTGCCAAACTAATCTATAGAGTTGAACAGATTAAATAGTAGTTACTTAAATTACGCTTACACCTCCTTTAATCTAGCAGAATTTATAAATTTGATCTACGATATAAGTTAAAAAAATAAAAGAATCAGAGAATATTTCTTTAAAATTGCAGAATTTATAAATTTGGTCTACGATATAAGTTAAAAAAATAAAAGGATCAGAGAAGATTTCTTGCTTAAATTTGCATACTTTATAAATTTTATCTACGATATAAATTTAAAAAATAAAAGGGTCAGAGAAGATTTCTTGTTTAAAATTGCAGAATTTATAAATTTGGTCTACAATATAAGTTTAAAAAGATGAAAGGATCAGAGAGATTCTTGTTTGAAATTGCAGAATTTATAAATTTGGTCTACGATATAAGTTAAAACAAATAAAAGGATCAGAGAAGATTTCTTGTTTAAAATTGCAGAATTTATAAATTTGGTCTACAATATAAGTTAAAAAAAATAAAAGGATCAGAGAAGATTTCTTGCTTAAATTTGCATACTTTATAAATTTTATCTACGATATAAATTTAAAAAATAAAAGGATCAGAGAAGATTTCTTGTTTAAAATTGCAGAATTTATAAAGTTGGTCTATGATATAAAGTTTAAAAAATAAAAGATCAGAGAAGATTTCTTGTTTAAAATTGCAGAATTATAAATATTATCAACGATATAAGTTTAAAAAAATAAAAGGATCAGAGAAGATTTCTTGTTTAAAATTGCAGAATTTATAAATTTAATCTACGATATAAGTTAAAAAAAATATAAGGATCAGAGAAGATTTCATGTTTAAAATTGCAGAATTTATAAATTTTATCTACAATATAAGTTTAAAAAAATATAAGGATCAGAGAAGATTTCTTACCTTTTTAAGAATTGGTAATAAACAATACTCTTTTTAAAAAAAATTCTGAATTACCGTTTACAATTTAAAAAAAACTATTTTTTTCTGTTCATTCCTGTGAGTTCAATCATAAAATCTCTAATGTATTTAGATTCTCACAAGCTTCTTTGTGACAATCAAAATACAGGGTGTCCCTCGAAACATGACAATTGGTAAATAGTTTTGAATGTCGTCTTCTATATAATGTATTAAATATTAAAGCCGTTTTTGCAGTTTGTTTTGTTAAAAAATCTTTTGCTTAAATATATTTTACTTTGATATAAAATATGACTCCCATTATAATATTTTTGCTATTGTCTTAGGTATCAAACATCTTAACAAATTATGGAAGAAGACATTCTAAACTATTCACAAATTGTTATGTTTCGTGGGACACCCATTAATCAATAAATAATGATTTTTTTATCTAGTCGTGGTTTGATTTGAAACCCTCAAAACTATAATAATAAATAGATAATTTAAAAATTTAACTGCAGTCTTACCCCGAACAATTTCATTTTAATTTTAATAAAAATAAACATAATTTACCTGACGTTTTCTACAAAAAAAAATCACCTTTTCAGGTGCAAGCATACATGAAAACTTAGTCATGAGTTATTGTAGACATGAACCAATTTTCACTACTAAGCATGCCAACTTGCATTTTTGGTTACGCAGCATGTACATTTGTATTCAAGATCACCCTGACTTAGCATGCATAAATGTAAGGTTTCCCTCACCCACAATGCACACTTGTATTCTGTGTATGTCACGCAGCATGCCCCCTTGTATTCTAGGCAACCTTCACCCAGCATACGTAATTGTATTTTGAATGCCAACTAGTTTTCTTGGTAATCCTCGTCCAGCATACCAACAAGTTATCTGGGTAATCCTTGTCCCGCATGTCAACTAGTTTTCTTGGTAATCCTCGTCCAGCATACCAACTTGTTATCTGGGTATATTCGTCCAGCAGCCAATAGTGTACTGGGTAATCTTGGTCCAGCATGCCAACCAGTTTACTGGGTAATCCTTGTCCAGCATGCAACCAGTTATCTGGGTAAACATCACCCAGCATGCAGCATGCTAAATTCTTACAATTAAATATGGGTTTAGTGCAGATGCTGTTAATTGCCCTTCAGTGCTTCGCCCCTGGAGCTGGAAACACTTAAGCACTCAATTTTAAGATATTTAAACATAAGGTTAGGACTTAAGAGGTGTAATCCCTCCCTTCCCCTCACACCCCTCCTAACAACGCAGAACTCCCTCCTCCCAAGTCCCAAACCCACCTCCCAATCCCAACTCCCTAACTCCCCCTCCTTACTCCCCAACTCTACCCTCTTCACAACCCCTCCTTACTCCCCAACTCTCATCACAAGTCACAACTCCCCAACCTCCCCAACTATACCCTCCTCACAACCCCTCAGAACTCCCCAACCCTCATCACAAGTCACAACTCCCCAACCCTCCTCATCCTACGAATTGGAACTGCTAAGTGCTACTACTGCTGATGGTGTAAAGTAAAGTAGAGCCCGGGGTAAATAATTTATCCGGTGGAATTAGCATCTTTCAACCAATGTAATTATTCAACTACAACATTTATAAGGCATTAGCGAAACATCTGACCATAGATAAATAGAAATACAGATAAAACACTAGATGTCGTCTTTTATAGATTTTCGTTCACAATAACCCTGGGGTAGAGGCCCAAGGGAATTACGGGAGCGCATGCTCTCTCTTTGTCTTGTAATCCAACGCTGTCTGCGCGGAACGCCTTTGGGTTTCTTTTCTGCCTCAGAGTTATTGTGTACGAAAAACCCTTAAATCCTGAAAAGACGACATCTAGTATTCTATCTGTATTGTTACTACTCTATGCATCTGACAATCAAAGGAAATTAACAGAATTGCATACATCTTTTATAAAGTTAAAAAACAGACGAAATCTTCCTCATAATTAGAGGTTTAGAAGTCCCTGTTGTGAATCGGACATGACACTCTTTCTATATATATTTCTACTTAACATCCGACTACCCTACAATAAATAACTTGACACAAATTAGCGTGCAGAGCAGAAGGGCTTTTTACTACATATCTAAATAGTAAAAGCGCGGCCAGATCACTATGTTCGGTCGTAAATTATATTAAGCGACATATAGATTATAAAAGCTCGTAAGATACAGGGTGTCTGGGTCCACATCATTGCGGATAATTTATGGCTCTAAATTTAGATTTTCGGGACTAATCATAAAAATCAAAAAGAAAAACACTAGGTTTCTTTGAATATTATATATTATGTGAGTATTTCAGTGTTCAATCTTGAAGATCAGACAACATGATATTGTGGGACGCTCTGTATAGAATCAGCCACAAATTCCATTTTAGTAAGAACGCTTGAATATAAACCTACCTTTTACCGAGAAAAAGTGTACAGGGGTGGGGGGAGTTGAGTAGCCCCTCCTGGAAGAATTATTAATTCGCCTTGTGTCCAAAAATACTAGACTACGAAATCATCAACCAAAATCTTCTGAAATATGTATACTTAAACATAACGAATTGCAAGATTACTAAAAAATCATAAATGTTGTTATTTGCAGTATTTTTAACATGAATAGAAACAAAGTATACAATATGTACTTAGAAGTAACTTTTAACCAAAATAAACTTAAATGCAGAAATACGTTTATTATTCAAACATATTTCGATTGAACTAATTAATTTGAATCAGAGTACAAAAGAATTTTCAATTTTTTTACACAGCTAGAAAACAAACTAGGATTTAAACAGGCTTGTTTAGAGAGGTTGGAAGTCTATATCTGGAGTATATTTGGAACTGTTTAGAGAGGTTGGGAGTCTATATCTGGATTATATTTAGAACTTAAAATTTGAAAAAGTGCTGCTGATCGTCCCTTGCTCAATCTACCCTTCTCCTCTAATACCTGAAAAAAATTAATATTTGAACAAATTTTCAAACAACTTTTTTCAACTCAATTTTAAGTCATAAACAATTGACAACAGAACCCTTGAAACTTTTAACTTTAAAACATGGAGGTGTCTACGCCACCAAATAAAGGTTAATGTTAATCGATAACGGCTCAAGCTCAAATGTTATTGGGTAAAATATAAAATTAAAGTACCTGTCTTGTAGCTAAAACTATACTTCTAATAGTACTAAATGCAAACACTAGATGGAGTCCGCTTCCTAATCCTAAAAATATTTAAATTATTAACTTTTGAGCTATTTAAAGAGGTTGTATGCGTAATTTCAAGCGATCCTTTATGCAAATATGAATGTGCCCGATTCATTACAGTACCAGTGAACTATTTAATTAAAATGTGAAAAATTGTCGTTTTTCTAGGTTAAAAGTATTTTTTTTCTATATCTTTTAGTACAGTAGATATATGGCCTATCTCTTAAATATAAACCAGATCCCTCAAAATGATATTTAACAAGTTTTCCCTTGAAACAATCCACAAGGTTTGTTGCTAAATACCAGAATTTTAACATTTAAGTTTAAATTCTAGAAAACAGAAAATAAGGAAGTTGTTTTATAACAATTAAGAGATGTATTATCATACAGCTCAGAAAATATTTAACTATTTGAATATTTTATGCATGAGGTAATATTTAATGAAGGAGCAACTTTTAAACTAAAAACCATTAGGATTCGAACAGAGTCACCACAGGATACATTTTACACTTTTTACTCATTTTTTCACGGATATATAAACAGGGTGTCTCAAAAAAAGGGTATACAGACTCGTTTGTAATCAAATTTTCTAGATTGAGACCATTTTAAAAATCTATTTACAATTCCCGATTCAATGAACCCAATTTTAGGCGTAGACCTAACAATAACAATTTTAAAGTTTCCAAGCGGAGTGAGCAAACTGGTAAAAAAATAAGATTATCACCGTTTGCACAATTTAGTGTAAAACTTGCTTGTAATCGAATTTTCAAGATTGAGACCATTTTTGATATCTACGAACAATTTCAAATTCAATGAGTCTAATTTTAAGCGTGTAGATGTAAAAATAATAATTTTATAGGCTCCTATAGTTTCGACTGTCCAGCAAAGTTAAAAGTAAAATATAATCTCTGTTTGCACAATTTTATATTCAATGTTAGGTTACAGTTTATTACAATACAATTGTTAATTTTAGATCTACAAGCCTAATATTGGGCTCATTTAATCGGAACGTAGATATAAAAAATGGTCTCAATCTTGAAAATCCGATTAGAAACGAGTTTGTAGACCCTTACTCCCCGTTTATTTGACACCCTGTATATACTTTGTTTGTTTGTTTATTCGTGTCCAATAAACGTCATAATGACTGAATCAATCAGGTCCAAATTGTGTGTGATACCTCACATGACCCCAGGAAAGGTTTATAATTGAAATTTGTAAATCCACGACATTTTTTTTTTATAAAATCCGCCCATTTTTTTTCTTCGTTTTGTTCTACAATGTATGCAAATTTTACATTTTTACAATTGAAATAAATTAAGGACGCGAAGCGCCCGAAAAGCCTAGTTTATTAAAAAGGGCTTTGTTTAATTGGTTGTATGAGGTGCACACTTACCAATAAACGGAAGATTTAGAATCCATTTAAGCATCTCCTCCTGGGACACAGTTAATCGGAGGGCTCTAAAAATAAAAACAAAATATCTTTCCTTAATCACTAATCAGTCTATACTGTCCTTACAGTGTACAATGTAAAGAATCATACTGTCCGTGCATAATACACAAACATTTCAAGGTCTGTACATAAATTACACTGTCTGTACAGTGTACATACATTACACGGCCCGGAATGTACAGTGTACATACAACTGATCTTTTAAAGGTATTAACAAGGTACCTAAAACTATACATAACTCCTAGCCATACTGTTTAATATTATCAAATTTTTCTCTTTTCCAAAAACACCTAAATTTCCGGAAATATAGGATTATATTAGATTGAAAACAGGATTTATAAGACGTGGAAAATAACTTTCTTATCAACCCCATTGTGCTTGCACTTGTGCACTAAATTTTACTGGACGTACATAGAAGTATTTCAAATAAGTATTTAAAATAAACCAATATTTTTATCAAAATAACTAAATATCTTTGAAATCATCTAATGGATTCTCTCCCCATTTGAGTTTTAAATACCTTTACAATTATAGTTTGTAAGATATACATGGTGGCCAAAATTTTTTTGAACAAATCCGTACATTTTCAGAAGAAATCCGTACAATCCGTACAATTTTCGAAAAAAAATCCGTACAATCTGTACAATTTTTTTAAAAAAATCCGTACAATCCGTACATTTTTTTAAAACCAATCCGTACATTTTTTTTAAAAATCTGTAAAATCAGTACAATTTTCGAAAAAAATCCCATTTTTGAAAAAAACGTTCAAATTCAATTTTTCATTCATTGTCTTTTGTGTTCAGTTCATGTAAGAGGGTTTAAACTTCTTCAGCAAGAATCAATCTGTAAAAAATTGGCTTCATACATATATACAAACTAAATACTGGGTACATAATACTAGGTGCATGATACTGGATACTGGGTACATGATACAGGATACTGGATACTGGATACTGGATACTGGATACAGGACACAGGATACTGGATACTGGATACTGGATACTGGATACTGGATACGGGATACTACATCTTCTTGAATAAGCAATCAAATAAGTACTTATGGAACATATTCTCAAATAAACACTTCTTGGACATATCTCGAAAATTATGAATGAATTTTGATTGTCAATTGAAACATTAGTCAATCTAATGTTATTTAGAATGCAGAAAATAAGTTAAACTAACTTCATTTTGACGAGATTTTTTTTTTAATTTTCATGAAAAATTTTCTGAAATGAGTGAAAATTTAAAAAAACGGTGTATTTTCCGGGATAAAAATCCGTACAATCCGTACAATTTGAAAACAAATCCGTACAATCCGTACAATTTTAGGGTTAAAAAAAACAATCCGTACAATCCGTACATTTTGGCCACCCTGGATATAGAAAAAATCTTTAAAAATATTTTTTTTAACAGTAAGGTCAAAATTGTTTTCTTACAGTTTCTTTCTTAGGTTTATGAAAAATTGTTCACTTGAATGTTTGTACTATAGTGCAGTACAATAAGCTCTATGCACTCTACAGTTCACAGTGCAGTACAGTCATGGACTACACTACATGCTTAACTTGCACAGTAAGGTACAACGTGTACAGTACTGTACAATATGAACTGTACAACACTATTTACCTGGGTAAGCCCATCCCTTTGTTGTTTTCTCTGTGAACCAGCTCGGAGAGAATTCTGCCTGTACACTCCTTGTTTCTGCTGTACAGTACTGCATATTATGTTCCAATAACTTTAAATCTTTTCCTCGTGATAGCAATGCTTAGAATCCGGATCCACAACACATAGAGAATCCGGATCCGGGGTCATTAAAATATATGGGGATCCACGTAGGAGAATTTCAAATAGAGAAAAAACTTATTTTGGCTCTCAAAACAGATGCCCGAGGTATGAACTAATGAGCGATTTTAATGCCTTCTAATTTCTACATCACTGAAAACTTCAGAAATTTGATTGTCAAAAGAGAATATCCAAATTTTGAAAAAAATACAGGATTACTAACATAGAAGGAGACATCAGAGACGACTGTTCGGAATTTATACTGTCTATTTTCTCATAATCACGGTTTCTGCAGTTGTGAACTTGTTTTTACTTTCCCAAATCATTAAATTAAACATTAAAAGACTATATTGAATATATTGAAGGCAGAAGACTTAATTTAATCTCAGGATTGTCTTATTATTTCAGTTTTAGGTCGTCTTTTTACTATAATCCGTTACTGATAATCCTGAATAAAGGATCCGGATCCATTTTATTAAAAGACGAATCCAGGATCCGGATCCGAAACAAAATGAAATGAATACTTAACACTGCCACTTAGTCCGATGTTCTAATTGTTCCATGAATTCTATATTCCGTAGTTCTCTATTCAATATAAATTCAATTAATTGGATTAAAATAAGTTTAAGCTTCCCCTCGGGAGAGTAGTAGAGAAACCAAAATAGAAAATCTGGAATTCAAGCTTTTAACAAGAAATAGAACTTCAATCTAATTTGGTTAGTTCTGAATAAATGAAACAAATATATGTAATATTGATAAAATAAAAGATATAAAAAATTCAGATCTTTTTTACTTCCTTAATATGGAGGAAAATGAAAGCCACAAGTTTCAAAGAGTCACGCCATATCTTCTAAGGGGTTTATTCGGTGAATTTGGGAAAGTAAATTAAGTTTTGGGTTAAAAAAAATCAAGGTTGGGGGGAAGGGGTTAAATCTTGAAAATTTATACCCCTGTATTTAATAAAAAAGGTCTAAATGTTTGTAAATGATTTATTGGTTTAAACTCCTTGAATTTGAGTTGCTGCAAGCTGCGCTATTGCTAGATCAGAAACCTTAGTTCTAGCTCTAGTTCTACTCCGTTCTCCAGGTTTAACCTTAAAGAGACAGTAGGCGTAATTTCAAGTCACCTTACATTAAAAAAATAAAGAGACATGTTAAATTTACAACGGTACCCATTAAAAAACACTATAAAAAGTAACCAATTTTCAAGAAAACATTATGGATATCTCATACAAACTTGATCAAACCAGACAATACTTTAAAGGGTACCGTTGTGAATCGGATCTGCCCCCCTATATATGTAAGGTCACTTAAAATTAGGTCTTCAGTCCAACAAACAAGAATGTTATCAAGCTCAGGCCTCAGGGGTTCTCTAGGTAAACCACTGGTATTGTTTTATTTTTTAAGAGAACTGCAATTTAAAACAATCAATTTTAGGATAGAAAAAAAGGTTAACATGACATCCAGATAAACCAATGAAAACTTTTCGTCACTCATTAGTAAAATGTTACCTTCTCTGATTCCACAATAACAACACATTTATCATAATTCTCTCTCATTCCTTAAAAATAGATGACAATGATAATAATTTCCCTAACTTCAAATTAAGCCATGGATTTAACTTTATGAGACCTTAGTCCGAATTTAAAGAATTTAAACCGCGTTGCTGAACTGCATAAAAACCGGTTCCGATCGAGAGCAGGCTCAAATCTCGAAACGACTGAACACAATTTCAAGTGGAACCAATCATGTTTGAGACGTGGCTCAAATTCTTTAAATTCTGTCTCTTGACCCCTCTTTATGTATATTTCAATATTTGGGTTGTCTGTGTGTTTGTCTATGTATTTGTCTATTTGAGTGTCTGTGTGTTTGTCTGTTAATTTGTCTGTGTGTTTATCTGTGTATTTGTCTGTTTGTTTATCTGTGTATTTGTCTGTTTGTTTATCTGTGTATTTGTCTGTTTGGGTGTCTGTGTGTTTATTTCCAATAACCAACAAAAAGTCTGCATAATTCAGGTCTAAATTATAACTGTAAATTTCATTTCATTTTTGCAACCTGATGGTGAAGAACTTTGATATTTCAAAATATTAATTCTGCTAGATTAAATACTCAATGTTGTTCAAAATGTCAAAGGTTTACAACATCAGGTTACAAAGATATAGAATTAAAAACAAATAAAATAAAGCACCCTTATTCCCTAAATATTACAGGGATACAAGGATGAGGCAGAATGCCTTGGGTCTTTTTTCTTAGATTCCTTATACCCTGCAGATACAAACTTGTTTCTATCTTTGCCATTTCAGTTAATATAACTTATAAACTTCAAGTCTAAATTCATCCTTTATATCATCATATTTTAAGAGTTTAAGGTCGTCATTATAGTCCTGTATAACCCTGTATTTAAACTGTATGTAGTTTACCTCCTAGTTTCTCATCAAGTTTCTTCCTATTGGTGCCAAGTATAAACTCAGGTTCCATAATCCTAGAAATACAAATATTAAATTGAAAAATTTCTTTAAACATTTGATTATTTATATTTGTTTACGAATATACCTTTCACTCCATTTTGCTAGGGAATAGATTATTAAAGGCGTTAAACACAAAATCTACTCTGTGACACAAAAAAGTCTACTGCAGAGATTATTTCTATTACACCGCGTAGACTGAGCTGAACCACTTCTCTTGTGAGCCGGGTCAAGCTAAAGTGAGTCCCGATTTTTGTTGGTTTCAACTTTAATATATATCATTAAATATACTTCAAATTATATTAAAAGAGCATTTACATAAAAAATATAATAATACAAGGGGAATACATTAAAGAAAATGATTACAACATCGAGTTAAAAAGGGCTTAAAAATCAAAGTTTGAGACAATTGATCTGTTCCTTATATCTTATTCTCTCTCTCTATATATATTTATGTTAGCTATAGCTGGCAAAACGGCTGAACCAAATTGGCGGACATTTTTTTATGGAACCCTTGAGTATAGGGTTTCCAATCGAGATTCCGTTGCGCGGAATTGAGCTATATTTGCGAAAAAGGAAGCAACTAAATATTCGCAGAATTGTGCGGAATTGCAAGGAACTACGTACACCGGAATTACTTGCAACAGAATTGAGAGCAACGGATTTGCTTTTCCATCTAAAAATCAATAATCTAAACTGTGACTTACAAGTTTATGCAGCAGATACAAGAATGAAAATATCTCTGTAGATTTTAAAAAATCACTTGTTTCAACAGTTTTAAAATCTTAAAGTGTCTTGTGGTTAAACTACTATTTAACAATCTAATATGCATTTGCATTTGTTTACATTGGATGAACATTAAAATTGAAACTTTTTTGGTTTAAATTGGTTCGTTTAATCAAAATTAAATATTTTGCTCTAGTGAGAACCAGAAAACTATGGTACAGAAAGACAAAATTACAGTGGACTTAATGACGTTACAAAGCAAAAAAATTTTAAGAGTAACTTATTAAATCACTTATTCAGTTAAATGCAACGAGGTTGTTAAATGGGTCTGCTTGAGTCTAAAATGTCGTCTTCATATGCTACAGTTTTCTGATTATCATGCTGCATACGCATATTAATAAATACAAGATAAGTTTAAATCTAATTTTCTTAGCATTTGAGACTGAAATGTTAGTTAAGTTTAGTTTATTGTGTCCCAGTACCAAGGTTTAAATTGATTTTTTAGTTGTTGAACGGAAATGCGCAATAATTAATTGCATTTATTCCGTGCCATAAGGTTTAAATTACATTTGATAAAAAATTGAAACAAAACGCGAAAAAATTGGACGGAATTGCGCGCTATAGCGCGCAATTACGTTGCGTTTCTCGCGCGCAACTATTACGGAATTGCGCGCAATTAAATTCAAACCCTACCCGGGGGTAACATAAGCTAAAATTATATTTTTTTCAAAAACATTAAAATATTTTTCAAGTGTTTTTAAAATTCCACGGGCAACACCGTGCATATTGGCTAGTATATACAAATGAATAAAAAAAGAAAAAGAAATAATGAATATTACCTCAATACAGCCATCCGTGTACTCACTATAAATGGAACTTCACTCTGCCGCACAACCACATTCAACTGTACAAAATAATATTTCCACAGCAGGGACGGTATGACGTAATTTCAAATGTACCCTTAAAACCTATCAAGAATGTGAAGGATATCGTTGTTGTTTCTGAGGCAGACATGCGCAAGTTACCACATAAAAAAAAACATTCTTTCTCCTTTCTAAAATTCTGACCGGCATTTAAACGTTTTTCTGTTCCTTTTGCCCCCAAAACAAATTGATTTTCCCTTGAAGGGAGAGACCGACTAGACATGGTAGTTGAGCTGAAAGTGCAGTATTATAGAGAAAAACTTCAGGTTTCATTTAATACAAATAAGACATTTTTGCGGAGTACAATTTTTAAATAAGAGTGAAAAGTCGTTCATAATATTTCACTGGTTGTTTCAGCCAGCAGAAGAAACGCTTTTAACAATTCTTAAATAAAATTGACAAAACTATTCTTCAACATGGATACGAAAAGTTTGAGAAAAATAATAAACTTTTACCATTGGAAATATCGCATTCTTTCAGATAGGGTTGCTTGTTGAAGGATTTCTTAATTTTGATTGTGAAGACAACATTTTAAGAAATTTGTGAGAAAAAAATTATAGAAACAATCAGCAAAGGTTTCTAAACAGCAAATTAATTTATAAATAATATTTTTAAAATGTTTTACACCATAAAAATGTCTCATTGGTATCAAATGCATACTAAAGTTATTCTCTACAATACTGCAATTTCAGCTCAAATATGTTACAAAGCCGATCTCTCCCTTTTAAGCAATATGTTTCTCTCCCACAAAAAAATTAAGTTACAAAAGTTGTCTCTATTCCCTAAGAAGATATTTTTAAACAGCTTGGATTACATATGCCTATATTTTCCCATGAAGTACATGAAACCAATCTACTTTTAGAGTACAAATCTGACACATTCCATCATTGAATATTGTGGAGAAATGTCATAGAACTATAGTGGGTATTCTGAGAGCAATGGGAAGAGAGATGCAGGATGAATGGGATCTGGGTGTAAAGGTGGCCTGTCTGGCCTACAATACCACCGTGCATACCAGCACGGGTAAGACCCCTTACTTTGCCATGTTCAGACAGGAAGCTACACTACCTGTTAATTGGATATATCTTGTACCTAAAGCTAACAGGGCAATGGATTTATCAGACTGGACAGAAGTGATGCAAGAAAGGTTCCAGAGAGCTTATGCTGGTATAAGGGAGAAACAACAAGCCACAGTATGCCAGGATGATCAATACTACAAACCAATGATGTCAAGGTTTGAAGTTAGGGAGTGGGTCTGGTTTTATATCCGAAGATTAAACCTGGAAGTTGTGACAAGTTAAGATCCTTTTGGACTGGATCATACCAGATTTAGCGGAAATAATGGAAGTGTACGAGTCAGGAAATCTTAGATGTATCAAAAGAAGTAATGAAGCAGTTAAACCCGTTCCTGAAAACCAAGCAGAAGGTGACAGTGGAATTTTGGGGAACAATACATCTGTAGGTATAGAAGCACCCCCTTCCCCCCTATCTGTCTGGAAGACGATGGCGTAGATATGGAAATGCAGAATAAGTTCATGTAAACCCAAGACAGAGATGAAGTTGAGCGGTCAATCAGTTACACAGGTTCTGATATCATTCTAAAACCAGACATCAACATGGATACATCAGATGTTACCAGAACACAGAAATGACTGAGAAATCAGCAACAAAGAGTATCCAAGTAGAGACATAGGGAAGGGATCAAAAGGAGTCTATGAGATATCCCATTTGTATCCTATGAGGAACTATAGGATGATCTAGATGAATTGGATTAACCTATACGATGCAGATATAGCATCAATTGCCTGTTTGGACAATGCAACTGCGTGAAAGAGGAAGAAAAAAAAAACTCATGTTATCTAGGCACCATTGGACCTTGCCTCTATAGAAATGAAGTTCATGCATTCTCTGCTTGCAGCAGAGAAAGAAGAATGGAAACGAAAAAAAAACCTTGGAGTGGCTGAAGTGTAAGAAATAAGGGATAGAAAGCCCTATTTTTCAACATTCCCTTTCCCCCCCCCCCCCTTGTATCAAATATAGATTCCCATAGTAAATTACGTTGTACAATGTACATTGTCCATAAAGCTAAACATGCCCATTAGTAAATACATAAATCATGTATTGTGATTAATCCAATTAAATACGCAGATATATATAACTCCGTCAAACCCATAATGCGATTGCTTAACCAGGTTATATATATAACAGTGCCTAACTTGTAATTATGCTGTTAAGACACAATTCTAATCTAAACTGAAGTAATAGTTGATATAGCTAGTTGATATAGACTCCGTACGGTTTACTGCGAGAGAGTAATCGTTCCCTGTTTTGATAAACAGGTTGAGGATCATCTCCTAGTTGAGACAAGTTTAGGAGATTGCACCCAGTTGTAGTGGCATTGATAGTTCACAGGATTCTAGCTGTGTTGAGACAATAATCAATTAACTGCTAGTGTCCTTGTTGACATTGATAGCTAACAAGATTGCGCCCAGTGGTAGTGGTGTTGATAGTTCACAGGATTGTAGCTGTATGGATCCTGTCCTGGCTGAGGCATTGATAGTTTACAGGATTGTAGCTGTGTGTTGACATTGATAGTCAAGAGAATCTGAGTTGTACCTGGATAGATACTTGTTCGAGAAACTGTTATGGAGTAGGGCACTTACTACATTACAAACGAATTTTTGTAACAAATCTCTTAATTTAAATAATAAGATAAAGTTAGAACCAGAAAAATCTGGACTAAAAGAACGATTTTTAGCGTGCCTTAGTTATGACTTACAAAAGTCCAATGAACATAAATACAGCAATTGTGTCGGCCCAAATCTCAAAATATGTATTACAATTTCAAGTGGAACCATCCATGCGTCTCAAATTTGAGACGCAGCTCAAATGCTTTAAATGCTTCGGCCTCTGGTTTAAGTGTCACCTGATGGGAATGTTTGAGAAGACTGATAATGTCTGGTATTTTGTTAACTTCAGTTGAACCAATCACAATGCTTGCTTTCTCAGTACATCCTGCAACAAGATACTTATTTCATACTAGCTTGGGAACTCGACGCTGCCCAGGTTAAATATAGTTCTCGCCGTTTACCCGAACTTGGTAGATTTTACCAACAAATTGTTGCTTCAAAAGTCGACCCACTCAACTGTGAATATTAATGCAATCATGAAAATGCCCGATTCTCAACGGTACCCATCAATGCTTTATCTGATAGAGTGAATTAGATCAAAGTTTATAATTTTGAAAACTGCTTATTTTCAATGGTGCATTTTCTTAACAAAAGTGACGCGCATTTCTGCAGCAGAAAAAAAATAAATGAAGTCAGAAAAAAAATCACTTAAACCCAGAAAAATAAAAAACCCTTCCACATTATTGATCATATAAGGCTTTCAAGGGGTACAATTGTAAATCAGGCAGTGCCATCTGTGCATGGAGGACCACTGTGAAGTCTGGCTAAATTTTTAACCAAATTCACAAAATTTGTAATTTCCAAAAGAAGGGTTCTTGTTTTTTGATTACCTGAATCAGATACGTCTGGTTTTACATAATACAATGAATCATCCATAGTGTTATCAAGTCTGGTAGTGATGTCCCATATAGCCGAAGGACCTGGTTGAGGCTCTGACCTCCTTGAAGGAGGTCTTCTCGAGGATCCTTGGAGGTCAGATTCTTCATTATAATTCTTCAACAATGATTCAGATTGAGTTGATAGGTCCTCAGATGCTGGATTGATGGATTTAAATAAAAAAATAGAAAACTTAAATCTATAAATATTTTTAATGTTTGATTTTATGCTAGTTTGTTTGTTTGTGTTTGTATCCAATAATCATATAACTGGGCCCAATTTTTTTTGGTTCCTAAAAGTAATTAATATTGTTGCTTTACATTTTGAAAATGCAAACTGGAAAATCTTGAAAGGCAAACTGGAAAATCTAATAAATTTCTATTTTTAAACTGGTACAACTGGTACAAAGATCAGCACTTATAAGCTAAATTTGTGTTAGAATAAGGATTTCCAATCGTAATTCCTTTGCGCTGAATTGCGCTGAATTTCAGGGCTCGCAATTGCGTGCAAGTAAAATCCACGTGCAATGGAAAACACTGTCTTCTGATTACAAGTATTTTGAAGAGACGAAGTTGAAAATCTGTCTAATTGTTTCCAGAAGGTCTCAGTTTCTGGAAAATTTTATCTTTAAAATATTATATTGTGTAAATTTTCATTCTAAATTTTTAATATATGGTTTAATATACCAGTGAAACACCCACATTAGAAGTTTTGGACAGTAATGGTTTGAAATTAATGCCCCCAATTCCTAGAAAAATACTAGAAAAACAAATCTCTCTTGTTAGAAATAAAAACTTGTTAAATTATATTAAATCAATCCCTTCTAGGATAGAATCATTAACAGGTGCAATAATTCTTCTCCTGAAAAATAAAAATAACAATTACTAAAACTAAAACCAAAACCAAAACCAAAACCAAAACCAAAACCAAAACCAAAACCAAAACCAAAACCAAAACCAAAACCAAAACCAAAACCAAAACCAAAACCAAAACTGATAACGATAATGATAATGATAATGATAATTGATAATGATAATGATAATGATAATGATAATGATAACGATAACGAAATGAAAACTTGTGGATCAGTTTAATGACTAAAAAGAAATACATAATTCACCTCTTTCCACTGTTCTCAGTCGTCTTCTTTTTCGGTTTCTCTTCCTCTATATTTCGTTTCCGTTTGTTTCTGTACATTTCCATCTTCTTCTCCATCTCCTTCCTCCTGCTCAACCCCCTGATCTTCACCTTCTCCTCCAGGAGATCCAGGGTCTCCGGCTCGGAGATATATTCCACATGCTAACCATATATAAATTAGAGATAAAGAGATTTTACATTATATAAAAACTAGCTTGTGTACACTATGGTAGACTAGGGTCAATTTGAATTAGAACCGGACCGACCCTATCCAATGCCGACTTGGTTTCAACTTTGATGGCGTGGCCAGACTTTTTACAATACCCCGCCTATCATAGGCCTATTTAACCCATCCCACTAGCTTAGTTTAATGTGACACAGCTTTATTTAGTTTACCTACTCAACTGAGCTAAGAACATTCCCATGGTTCAAGAGATTTCAAATCGGTCAAAGGTTTCATGAGGTATGTTCGGAAATCCGAACAGAGAAGCAAAGATTACTACTTAATATATTTTCAATGATGGGGACATTTTTTTGGCAAGAAACCCCGAAATTTAAGGTAAAACTTAAGTTCAAACAGAAGGTTTTACAATGCAGTTTCTTAGATTTTAAACAAGGGTGTAAATAAACAAACTAGGGTAGATCCAAATAGATTCTAGTACAATGGACGGCAATGTAGAATTTGTACACTCTAAGTACAGCTGTATTCTGACATCAGTTTTTGTGTCCGACAAAATTATTAATATTAGTAATAATTTTAGAATGAAGTGCTTATCTTACGGTAAAATAAGTGCAATTTTATGTGTTCTTTATTTTCTGTTTTTAAACTTTTTTTTGGCGAGTGATCAATTATTTTCTTTGTGATATTTTAATAGTTTTTGTGTTTGCGACTATGGAAGCGTAGTGGAGAGGATATCAACCAGCATAGATCAACCTATCGACCCTTTACTGGGATTATCAACCAGCTTAGATCAACCTATCGACCCTTTACTGGGATTATCAACCAGCTTAGATCAACCTATCGACCCTTTACTGGGATTATCAACCAGCTTAGATTAACCTATTAGATCAACCTATCGACCCTTTACTGGGATTATCAACCAGCTTAGATCAACCTATCGACCCTTTACTGGGATTATCAACCAGCTTAGATTAACCTATTAACATATCGACCCTTCACTGGGATTATCAACCATAGATCAACCTATCGACCCTTCACTGGGATTACCAACCTAAGATAAACCAATCGACCCTTCACTGGGATTATCAACCTTAGATCAACCTATTAACATATCGACCCTTCACTGGGATTATCAACCATAGATCAACCTATCGACCCTTCACTGGGATTATCAACCTTAGATCAATCTATCGACCCTTCACTGGGATTACTTAGATCAACCTATCGACCCTTCACTGGGATTATCAACCTTAGATCAACAATCGACCCTTCACTGGGATTATCAACCTTACATCAACCTATCGACCCTTCACTGGGATTATCAACCTTACATCAACCTATCGACCTTTCACTGGGATTATCAACCTTATATCAACCTATCGACCCTTCACTGGAATTATCAACCTTAGATCAACCTCGAGGCCCCTTTGTTATTTTTACACATTTGTCTGAAATATTTCTGCTAGATGAACTGCAGTGAAGAGAGACGATTTTGTATTTGGTTTATTTACAAAATTCACTGATTTTATTGAGTACAATAATAAAATATTTGACAAACAAATTCTAAACAACCACCAATCGGATTACAGTTTTTCCTAATGTAGGCATCAAATACGATCTCGAATCCACAGGTGGATAGATAGACCTTGAATTCTCATGTTTATTGGAACACCCTGTGAATCCCTAGATGGATAGATATACCTTGAATTCTAGTGTTTATTGGAACACCCTGTGAATCCCCAGGTGGTAAATATACTTTGAATTATAGTGTTTATTGGAACACACTGTATATCCACAGGTGGTAAATATACCTTGAATTCTCATGTTTCTTGGAACACCCTGTATAACCTCAGGTGGTAGATAAACCATGAATTCTCATGTTTCTTGGAACACCCTGTATATCCCCAAATAGGTATACCTTGAATTTTCATGTATATTCGCACACCCTGTGTATCCCCAGGTGTTAGATATACCTTGAATTCTCATGTATATTGGGACACTCTATTAATCCCCAGGTGGTTAGAAAAACCTTGAATTCTCATGTATATTAGGACACCGGGTGGTTAGGTATACCTTGAATTCTCATGTATATTGGGACACCAGGCGGTTAGATAAACCTTCAATTCTCATGTATATTGGGACACCAGGTGGTTAGATAAACCTTCAATTCTCATGTATATTGGGACACCAGGCGGTTAGATAAAGCTTCAATTCTCATGTATATTGGGACACCGGGTGGTTAGGTATACCTTGAATTCTCATGTATATTGGGACACCAGGCGGTTAGATAAACCTTGAATCAACCTGTATATTGGGACACCAGGTGGTTAGATAAACCTTGAATTCGTTTGAAGAACATGAAGCCTGGTGATAAATTGTAGTTTTCTCAATTATCCAAGTTTAAAAAGACCGCTTAGCAGGACTCACTGTAATCTATACTTTTACTTATTATCCACACAAATCGGACAGGGGTAAATACCTTCTAGAAAAATCCCATTCACTCTGATATGGAGGGGAGGAGGGGGGGGGAGGGGTGTGCTGGAAAAAGAGTTCATCGTTAATTTTTTTGATTTCACTGTCGGTTATACGAAAAAATTATTTTTTTACTTAAAATATTTTCAAAAACTTGAATTTTCTAATCCTGCAATCTGTTGTCGTATACCTTAGACATTACAAACAATGAATTCAGTTGGATCAATTTGTCAAAGTACAGAAAATCATTTTAGAATAAAGTGTGAAAAATACTAGTTATCACAAAAATTATTTGGTCCACCAAGTTTTTATCAATAAATATCATTTTTCAAGGGATTGAAGTTTTTAATTGGCCTGTATATAAAAAGATCGTATCAATTTATAGATAAAACCAAATGATTCGTTTAAAGCAGACACAGCTAAAATATTTTTAGAGTGTTAAATAAGATGATAAAGAAGGTTTAGTTGATTAGACAGAGAGAGAGGTTGATTATTGTATTCAGCTGTTTTCACGATTAAACCACGCAAAAACTTCAAAAGGAATAATACTCTTTGATTATTTCCTCGCTTTTATAATATGCAATGGCATTTCATGGCATTTCATGGCATTTCATGGCATTTCATGGGATTTCATGGCATTTCATGGGATTTCATGGGATTTCATATGATTTCATGGGATTTCATGGGATTTCATATGATTTCATGGGATTTCATGGGATTTCATGGGATTTCATGGCATTTCATGGCATTTCATGGGATTTCATGGGATTTCATGGGATTTCATGGGATTTCATGGCAATTCATGGCATTTCATGGCATTTCATGACATTTCATGGCATTTCATTGGATTTTATGAGATTTTATTGGATTTCATGGCATTTTATGGCATATCATGTGATTTCATGGGATTTCATGGGATTTCATTAGATTTCATGTCGTTTCATGGGATTTCATGGCGTTTCATGACTATTCATGGAATGTCATGGCATGTCATGGCATGTCATGTACCGTTCCAAAAAATGCCTCCATCCTACCCCTTCCTTTCCCAAATAGCTTATCATCTGCCACCATTTATTTTCTGCTTTCAAATCACTAATCAGCAATGTAAAGATATAAAACTAAAATAATCAGCCTTTATCCGTCTGTTATCCATATGTTGCCATATTTTCATCCTATTATACCATCCTGGTTCAACCCTGCAGCCCATTCAAGATAGACATTATTTAATTATAGACAAACTAGAAGTCGAAATGGATATACAGGGTTACCCACAAAGGGTGGGACAGGAAAGACCTGTCACTTATTAAATCTGACGATTCTAAGATTGAGTTAAGATTAAATGTAGTCTTTATGTGTCTTATTCAATGGTTAGACCAAAACGAAACAAGTGAATCATAAATAAAAGGAAACAGACAGGTTAAATTCTGTACAGTCGTCTCTGAAGTCTCATCTTTTGTGGGTAACCCTGTAGTTAAATAAAGCAGATTTTATTAGAAGACATTAATAGTTAAATTCATCAAGAAAACAACTAATTTTTTTATGAATCATAAAAAAACTTTGATTTCAGAACAAATTTGTCTCCATCAAGTGCATGAAGCGAAAGTGAAAATATGAAATAAAAATTATAATAATTCTGACAGGTACTCGGCATGATATGACGCCCTGTGAGGGAGGTTCGTGTCAAAAAAATTTAAAAAATATTCTTTTCAATTGAAAATTTAATTTTCCTAAAAATGCGAAATGAGACAAAGAAAATCATTTCAAAGTAAGAAAATGAGGGGAAACAAAAAAGTAAAATAAAGTCAGTAACCTTAGGAAAAATTCAGAAAGCATTAAATGTGTGGTTAAGAATGAACCAACAGTAGAATGAGGGAGGGGTGATATGTAAAGGTATAATTGTTTTGAAAAACCATTTGGAAAATTCCCAATAAGGAGAAGGGGGAGGGGTGGGGTGGATTAACAAAAAAAGAGAATTTCAGTATTAACGTAATTGGTTAAATTAATCTATATAAAACCTGTACACTGAAAAAATGTTAACCGTGAAAATATATAATATCTAAATTGAGAATAAAAAAGACGGATTTACGTCTTCCATTTTATTTTTATGAAACTGTTTGAATGGAGTAAGCGGGGTTTTAGTTTTTTATTTAAAAATCACAGGAAGGTTGTCCTTTTCAGAAGGTGGTCATTAAATCGTACCAAAGAAACTGCAAATTATAAAATTTAAGATAATTTGAAAGTTTCCACCGACCCTCCCCCCGCTTTCCGACAAACCCCCAGTATACTAACTGTCAATTTAGGAGATCCGAAGATAATGTTTAAATATGTGAAATTATGAAAACATATTGAAAACAAATACTTCCATACATAAACAAATGGGACTTCCAAGGTTGTGATGGCGGGAGGTGTAGGGGGGGGGGGGGGTTAACTTGACCTATAGGGAGCTTCCCGTCCCCTTAAAATGTCGCTCAAGTCGCCATTTTGAAAGTTTTGAATTGGTGGATTTCAAAATTGTTCAAACAAACATAGGTGTCGTATCATTTGCACTAATGATTGATCGGATTAACGTATATTCGCACTTACGTTCATTCGGACTTACGTTTTATTTGAGGGTTAGGTTAGGTTAAGACAATTTCTGGGCCGAGCGCTGCGGCTAGGACAGGCTAGGGGGCCGAGCGCCGCGGCTAGGACAGGCTAGGGGGCCGGGCGCTGCGTCCACAAGTGTTACTGATCAGCTGACTTTAGTGCAAAAGTACGTTAGTTCAATCAGACATTAGTGCAAACGATATAGCATCCAAACATATAGACAAACAAGCAAAATTGATATATATATATATAGATGGCAAAAACATAATTTTGACCTTACTCAATAAAACTTTTGAAATGTACTTGCACACATAAGAATAAATAAAATTCGTACTTTCATTTTAGCTGTTAATTAAGTTATTTAACCTAGTTTTTTAAAATTAATTATGAAAAAAACACAATCTAGATTTCGCAGGTTTTCGGGGTTTATTGTAGGAACTTGTGTTTTGGTTACAAAATGTTCAGTTCAGTTTTAAATTAAATACAGTTAAGTGTACAGTGCACAGTTTGTGTGGTATACCCGTGGACAGGAGTGTACATTGCTAACGTGACCATTTGGCAATTAATAGTGAACCAATTTTGAAACAATAGTGTAAAAATTTCTAGATGATTTCGGTTAGTTCGATAAAGGATTTCCAACGAAATTTTCGTCAAACGAAATTCGCGATAATGAACGAACGAAACTGAACGAAATTCGTTCAAAACTTTCGAAAATTTCGATGTAATTTCGACGAAATTTTCCACCTCGACTTCGTTCGATAAAAATCCATATTTTTCCCCAATCGCATCAAGAAGATTGTCATATTTCAATAGGGGTGTCTGGTGAGGCCCCCCAGGGTAAATGTGTAGCACATTTTCATACCATTTAATATATAAGATAGCAAATGATCTTAGGAAAAAATGTATGAAAATTTAGAAAATAAATTGTTTATCAGCGATTTTCTGCATTTCTATTTTCACATCTAGTAAGGGTTTCCTGTTGAGTGTTGAACCTTGAATATACAGGGTTACGCACAAAGGATGAGACTATAATGACAACCCTGAAAATCTTTTACTATAAAGATCTGAAGGTTGAAGTTGGCTTTCTGTCTTGAATATAGTTCGTTTAGTTTGGCAAATAAAAAATAATTAATTAATTAATTTAATAACTGAACAAAGACTCAAAAAATTTTAACTGTTGATTCTTAAGTCTATTTCTTTGTGGGTAACGCTGCAGTATAATATGACTGATTTATGATTGTTGTTAAAAATATACAAGTGCAAGGGAGGATTTTAAAAAGATCAAAAAGTATGTCGGGCAAATGTAAAAAAAAATTGGTTTCTTAATTTTGAGAAATATTACCATGTGACACATCTTATTAAATCTATTTTTTAAGGGCTTTTTATACATACTTAGCCCTGCAGCTTCATTAATAAAAAATTTCTTTAGCATTTCGGATTTTTTTGAAAGTCCGAACCGCCGTTTGACTATCCTCCACCCTACCCTTTGCATAACAAATGTTTTTTTTCCGATCTATGATACTGAAAAAGTAAAGAAGTTAAAAATTTCAAATGTAAGTAGTTTATTAAGTTATTTAGAAAAAACCAAAAGGAGTGGGAACGCCCCCCCCCCCCCAGCCGTGATAGGGTTAATATGCAGACGAATTATCTAAGGTTGTTAGTATGCATGTGTAAATACTGTTCATCTACAGGGTGTCCCACGAAACATGACAGTATGCAGGACGACTTGAATGTCGTCTTGATTTTTGATATAATTTGCTGCGTTTATTTGTCAACCTAATTTTAGAAGTAAATTTCTAGAGATAATAATCACAAAATTTCCCTTGTCCTGCCATTTCCAAAATGTGGTCTGCCTTTTTTGTGCTTTCAATATTGCCCGAGATATGAAGAATTTCGTTCAGATTTCGACAATTTTGCTTTTATTTAACAAAATTGAAATCTGAACCAAACTCTTTATATCTCAGGTAATATTGAAAGCACAAAAAACGCAGACCACTTTTTGGAAATGCCAGGGCTAGGAGAACTATGTGATAATTGTTTCAAGAATCATACATGTTAAAGTAGATAGAAGACTAAATGTCACAAATAAATTCAAATACCAAAGACGACTTTCAAGTCGTCTTCCTATTGTCATGTTTCGTGGGACACCCTGTATTAAAGGGTGTTCAACTGAACATTGCGACTTAAAAATCACGACTTATCATGTTTGATATTAACAATCTTTAGTTAATAGTTTTCGGAGAGTAATTCTATTTAAATGTTTTTGCAACGACTGCTATGTGCAAGGGATGTTAAAATAAGCAAATTTAGTTGTCAACTTTGATTTCAATTAAACAAATCTTAAGCAAAATTAAAAATGACTGAGTATCATGTTTGATGTGAATCTTTGGTAAATAATCTCTGAGAGTTAAATTATATTTAAATATTTCTGCAACGAGCCAACGACTGCTATGTGTAAGGAATGTTAAAATAAACAAATTTACTTGTCAATTTTGACTTCAATTTAACGGCTCTTAAACAAAACGTTTTAAAGAAAATTCAAAATCTTTAATATCTTATCAAAATTGTTAGTAAAATAAGGTTAAAATGGGTTGATGACATTTTTTGCGAAAAAAAATACAATTTTGAACAAAAGGTAAAAAATTCGCGAATTTCACGAAAACTTTGAAATAAAAAAATATTAATAGTTTCTGTACAAAAAAAAACCATGTATATGAGCAAGAAAAATATACTATGTATAAGTGTACAGAGAACTATATGAATATATAAGTTGGGAGTAACACCTAACTGTTGCATAAATTAAAGTTAAGTTTGCACCTTGGAGTAGAGAACACATTAGTTTAATACATAGAGATAGTAAGTTCTCTTCATTTTTAACTACTTTTTAAAAAACCATTTTTATTCAAACGTTTAAAGTCAGTTTGTAAACGTTTTTTATCTCTTAATAATAATTATTAGTTTTAAGGATGGCTGCTTGTTAAATTCTAAAACGTAGATCTAATTGATATTAAAATTACCCTATCAATATTTTTGCAAACAAATTTCAAAAATTTTCTTGCTCTTTTTTGAGTGTGCAATTTTTAAATAAAAATCGTGTGCAAATTTTTAAGTAATACATATTTACCATTCATGATTAGGAAGGTTTTATTTATCTTTCTACAATTAAGAGCATAAATTGTTCCCCCTCCCCCCCATGTTCGAATGGTTGTCTCAAAACTTCTGTTCAGTATCTCTAACACTGTTCCCTACTCCAAAGAAAACCCCTGTACAACACCCAGCCATAAACCCACTAATGGACACTATAAATAATACTATAAACTCTTCTATTCAATATTTTATATAATGGATTTTAAGACTGAAGATAAGATAAAGTAGAATTGTAGGTAGACACTTAAACTGTATTCCAGTTCTAAACAGATGTTCCCGGTAACATAAAACAATATTTCTTTGTACATAGTACACTGTACACATCTACTACAGGGGTTCATCTACCGATGTGTGGCATGTACGTATAAGACTTACATTTGTGGTAGTTTGTTTGTACCAAATAGATTCTAGTACAATAAATGGAAACGTAGAATTTGTACACTTTCAGTTCAGTTGTATTCTGACATCAGAAGTGTCAATTCAGTTTAATAATCAATAATAGTGATAATTTTAGAATAAAATGATTTTCTTACAATAAAATAAGTGCAATTTTATGTGTTCTTTATTTTCTGTTTTTACACTTTTTTTATTTAATCTTGGAAAACATGTCAACTAATGTGAGAAAATGTTGTTTTCCTTGTTATATTTGACACTTGTGACGTTGTGTATAATTGGTTCATTTCTCTGTTGCCACCTATTGTACTTGATAATCTATTTGGTTTGTACTAAGATACTTTTCGTGGCAGATCTTAAAACTAAATATTGTTTTGTGGTATTTTTGGTTCATCATGGGTGTACATAGTACAATGTTCAGTCACTCAAATATATCTTAGATGAACCTCCGATCTACTGCAAGTAATATCGGTATTCTTTATAAAATGTCCATGACCAGGATCCGGATCAATTTTTTTCAGGGCAGATCCAGGATCCGGATCCAGGATCTGGATCAAACAGAAATGAATTCTATTTATTGGCAGTAATATATATTTTAAAAAACTTCTAATTGTCTTACTTATTCAAATAAAGGATAAAAAAAATATATCTTTTTGACAACTTTCCAGTTTTCAAATAACAAAAATATTTTTCTTGATATTCTTCTTATATTCAAACTAAAAAAAAAATATTTTCTGTAAAAAAGCTCCAGCTGCAATGCCCTTTTATATATCAAAATATTTGTAAATTAAGCATATCAGAGAGAAACGTTTCACAGAACCAAAAAATATAATTTAAGTATTTTAATAGATCTATAAATATAATGTATAAAAGGTTTACCTAAATAGTAAATACAAAAATACATATAAACCTTGCAGTTTATACAATTCAAATTAAATATAAAAACAAATTGTTCTATTATACTCGCCCGTGATTCACTTTGAATATTCTAATGCATGAATTTATTGGGGGTTCACCAATTTCTCCTTTAGAACTAAAACTGAGCACAACTTCACAAGTTCACCGTTTTTAAATCTTTAAATCTAAAACTGTAAAAAGATTGGGGGGTAGTTTCTACCTGAGATCCAACACAGAATGAGTCCTCAAGATAACTTCCTTCAGAATCCTCAGGCATCTAAAACACCATTGTCAGAAGAAACTCTAACACTTTGATCTAAATGTATAATGTTGTGATCGAACTATTTAATTTCAAGATTTCCCAAAATTATTTGTTTATGTAGTTTAATATTGAATTTAGACATTGTAGGCTAATCTCAATTAGAACAAATCGAGCATTTAAATTTTGTAGCTTAATATATGAAAAGTATAGCTGGAGTACCCGAAGTTGCCCAGGTTTATATTATTAGCTACTCCAGCCGTTTACCCGCACTTGGTATTGAATTAAAAAAAAATATGACAAACATATATATGAGCGAATAGCATTATTATATAATTCTGCATATATGAGCGATTAGCATTATTATATAATATACATAAATGAGTTGCAGGTTTGTAGATTGGATGGATTAATATGTTAATGGTGTATTAATACTCAAATCCAATGTAGTATGAATAGATTAATTATGCATGAGATGTCTAATATTATTTACTATGCAGTTTACACAATATTGGAGGTTGCGTGATTATTAATTTAGCTTAATGAATGGTAATTCGAGATATACTGATATTCAGAGATTCTTGGTAAATTGAGATACTTAAATACTAAGATACTAAGATACAGATGTTCAGAGATACTGAGATACTTATATTCAGAGATACTTGGTAAATTAAGATACTAAGATACAGATGTTCAGATACTGAGATACTGACATTCAGAGATACTGAGATACAGATATTCAGAGATACTGAGATACTGATATTCAGAGATTCTTAGTAAATTGAGATACTTTAATACATAGATATAGATGTTCAGAGATACTGATATTCAGAGATATTGAGATACAGATGTTCAGAGATACTGAGATACTGATATTCAGAGATTCATAGTAAATTGAGATACTTAAATAATAAGATGCAGATGTTCAGAGATACTGAGATACTGATACTTGGTAAATTGAGATACTAAGATAATAAGATGCAGATGTTCAGAGATACTAAGTTACTCAGATAAGAGTTACTATACTACAAAGATATTGACACACTTAGAAAAAGGAAACTATCAAAAGAAGATACTGAAGATACTGATATTTACAGATACTGATATTCTGAGATACTAAACTACTACGATAATAAGAAACTGGGAAAATCGCTCCATCAATGACTGACTGACTGACTGACTCACCCACGCCTGAAATTACCTGAGTGGGTAAAGATAAGGCTGTCAATTAACATGTTTAAAAGTTTAAAGTTTTGCAAAATAAATCCATTAAAAAGGGTGTATTCAGAATTTTTGAATACTTAAATAAATGTATTTTTAGTAGTTCCAACTACCGTGCAAATATCCCCGATGTCCCCCCCCCCCACCTTCTGCATTATTTTATAATAATAATGTTTGGTTAGAAAATAATCATGACGTTGGATTTAAATGCTTGATTGGCACGCTATGTAAAACTGTGGGAGTTCAACCAGGTTTAAGACTCAGGGGGAGGTAGGGGTTCTTTTCATATAAAAAATACTCCTACAATTCTAAACCATTGTGCCAGAAAAAAAATTATTAGTCCTTCTGTTAAAAATAAAAACTCTAAATGTCAATTCTTAAAGATGTTTCTTTATAATGAACTAAAATTTGAAATTTACAAAAAAAATGTGTGAAAATACTGAACATTTAAAATGGCTAAAGGAAGTTGCCACAAACTGAAATTTTCTAATCCCTAAATCTGTCCAACCTGATTGTGTAAACCTTTGATATAATTCCAACTAAGTCTAATTGATCCAACAGAATTTATAGTTTGAAAAATCTAAGGTCTACGTTATTGGATTGCAAAGATTATAAAGATTAGAAAACCAGAGTTTGTGAAAAAGACTCAATTCCTTAATTATATGTATTTTTAAATGGTGAATAATCCCATAAGAATTTTCATAATCTTATTTATGTGATTGTGTGTATCCCAACTTCTCAAGATTTACTTTCACTTACTAACAATTTCAAATCCCCAGATAGTGATTTTTAACAATGTGCACCTCACCTTACAAAATCTCTATTTGCATAAAGATCAAAGGATCTTGAGCTAATAATATTGTCAATAGATTCAATCCATGTCAAGAATAAATGATTTTGAACGAAATCAAGATCGAGAAACATAGTTCAACACTGTTTTATTCATCTCGTAGAGTAGGGAGGTTAGAAAATTGTTACCTAGAAAACTTTGAGTTTTTATTTTCTGTACCTGTACCTGTACCTGTACCTGTACCTGTACCTGTACCTGTACCTGTACCTGTACCTGTACCTGTACCTGTACCTGTACCTGTNATCTGTATCTGTATCTGTATCTGTATCTGTATCTGTATCTGTATCTGTATCTGTATCTGTATCTGTATCTGTATCTGTATCTGTATCTGTATCTGTATCTGTATCTGTATCTGTATCTGTATCTGTATTCGTGCCGTGTATAACTAAGCTTGATATAAAATATTGACTTGATATTACCTAAACACGATTAAATGTGAATACATGATCATCAAACATTTAGCCATACAGCCATATACATTATACCAGTACTCTATTCCGCCTTTTTTCTTACATTCATAGTTTTTGTAAGTTTATTTTTTGCCAAATTATTTGCAAACTTATACACTTTGTTAAAGACTATATACATATACATATACATATACATATACATATACATATACATATACATATACATATACATATACATATACATATACATATACATATACATATACATATACATATACATATACATATACATATACATATACATATACATATACATAACCAAATATTGTGAACTGGTTAATTTTCTAAATTTCAAAGCTGTATTCCAGAAAGATTGCTCATATTAAACTATGCAAAAATGTTATCCTAAGAAAAAACAAAAAGAAAAACCGAACCTCAGACAATCTTCTCAGGTTCGTTTTTCGCATTATCTAATCTCAGGATCAAAATTTGACATAGTACAAAGAGAGCAAATGCTTGAACATAGTTTCCCCCGGCTTTCCAAAAACTTAAGAACCCTATTCTTAAATTTAAGATTTTTCTAAAAAATGTTGCCAAAAATTATGACAAACTTAGGAACATTTTCCAAAATAAAGATTTTAAAGAGCATTTTTTGAAACAGTAAACATGGAACTATTGTACAGCACAGATAGTTTAAACGTTTAGTTATAATGTAACAAAATATTTTATCTTTTAAAATATGAGGTGACTTAAAAAATGGAAATCGTTTATATTTTTCCTAAATTAATCACCTGAAAATCAATTTTCATTAGTAAATTTCACTTTTTCTGACATATGTTAATAATTACATATCCCTTTTTCTCGCTGGGTTCCTCTTGAAAAAAAGTCTCAAAAACCCCCTATTTATCATTAATAAATAGAATTCTTATCTATCTTCTGAACCTGATATACTAAAATGTAAAAAGAAACATATGTACAGTAGGAGGTATGAAGATTGAAATCAAAACTTTTAATAAAATGTAAAAGGAACTTTCTTATGAGGTACAAACACAACAATTTTTCTTCATCATATTTTTAATGGGTTTACAAGACTTTTGTTGAAAATCTCGAACATATTTTTAAGGTGACATTTTTAAAATAACATTTGAAAAATTTAAAAACTCCCCCCCCCCCCCCGAAAATTAAGAACTTTAAGAACGAATTGCTGTTTTTAAGCCAAATTCTGAATTTAAGAACAGGGGGCAACTATGTTAGAATAAACAATATTGTAAGTAATACTTCTCAGATTTTTCTTAAACTTAAATATATAAATATATATAATATATATAATATATAAACATATATACATATATACATATAGATGTTTGAATGATTGATGATGTAGCTCATTACATCTCTTCTAACCACCGATATTTGAGGCAGTGAGGAATATTGGTAAAAACAAGGCCGGGGACACCACCCAACAGTTTATATTACAAATATCGAACTTAAGTTTGATTTTCATTGAGCTTGAGGCTCTGAAACCCGTTTTAAGGACTAAAATTCAAATCAAACTAATTCTGTTTGGTTCAAACTCTAAACCAGGGACCCACCACCATCATAGGTTGGGTTAGTTACAACTTTTCAAACTTGAATACAAACTTTTATAAAAATTCTAAATTTAGAAGATTCAACGAACATAAACAGACCAGAGACCAAATTCTATAAATAGCGAGAAGTAATTAAAACAGAAAGAGTTAGATGAACCACTTCTCTACGACTGCGTTAATGCGGTTCAACCACTTCACGTTATTTATTAAATCTGGTCTCAGATTACATTTTGTTGTCAATGTCTTACAACCCCCCCCCCATCCCTTTCATCTACTACGCCCCCGGCCCTTACCCTGTGGTGATACAAGACCAGAAACTGACCACACACATGCACGCCTTAACACGCAAACAAATACGCAATACGCAGAATATTTCACGCACAGATACGCAAAATACAACATGTGAGTTTTCAAATCTTCTCGTGACGGTAATTCGATTTCAAGTCAACATCTCTTGGAAAAGCTTTATATTTCCGCTTCAATCTATAGAAGGGATTAGGGTTAAGGGGGGGGGGGTTCTTGAGTTTACAAGTAATATGTTAACAACGCTTTAAAGGCATTTTTTATTTATATTTTTTATCCTGAAATACCACTGAAATTAAGCATGTTAAGTTGTTAACCAATATCTATAATAAAGCAAAGTGTCAAATATGTTTGTCAGTTAGGTTAAAATTAGAGAAAACATATCAAGCAATGGAACAACTCACGGTTTGAAATATCATCCCATCCCCAGCCCTATTTATTGGTAAACATTTGTTAAAAGAAATGTCGAAATTTAATAGTGTCAAAGTTAAAAGAATAAAACTGCTGACAAATCATTAATTTCTAAAGAAAAGTCCAATTATTTCCATTTTGTTTTCCTTGAGACGAAAAATATTTCAAATAGAATAAAAATTAAAAATACAACAATTACTAAAATTTTGTTTTATAATCGTACTAAGTGTAGGTCTCACTGAAAAAATTACAGAACCAATTAAAAAAAAATTGAACTACTGCTTAAAACTCTAACTTTCTAATCCCTAGCTATAATCGGATGCCGTTTTATTTCTGTAAATTTTAAAACACAAAATAATATTTCTTATTAAAATACCCAAAATAGTCCAAGATTACAATAAACATTTAATAAATTCATACTTGGCGCAGATAATTTTCCTTCGTAACTCTTATATATTTAACACTTGTTGGTTTATAATTGAAATAAATATTTAAGCTTATTTATTGTTATCATTGAGTACTGTAGTGAAATTTTAAACTTATTTTACTGAAAAAAGGGTATTAAATTTGATTTTACCAGCTTACTAGAAGCAAATGGATTGTTAAGTACAATAGATGGCAACGTAGTATTTGCACACTCTCACTACAGCTGTATTCTGTAAGTGTCAACTCAGTACTGTGCCCGACAAAATTATTAATAATAGTGATAATTTTAGAATAAAGAGCTTATCTTAAAGTGAAAAAGGTGCAATTTAGTGTCTTATTATTTTCTGTTTTTACACTTTTTTATTTAATCTTGAAAAACATGTCAAATAATGGGAGAAAATTTCGTTTTCCTTGTTATATTTGACACTTGTGACGTTGTGTATAATTGGTTCATTTCTCTGTTGCCACCTATTGAACTTGATAATCTATTTGACTAGAAATAATTAAACATTGAATTATCATATTTATGCCCCCCACCCCTTGAAGAGATATCCTTAATTTACCTGAGAAAAAAGGTCGTCTGTGATAGGTCTTAGTTTCCTGCCCATATCTGGGTGCTTGAAAACAGGACTTCTTATTGACCTAAAAGAAATAAAAGATTAACTTTGACATTACTATTAAAAACAAGATCTAAACCATTGTCCTCTAATTGCTAAAACAAAATGCCATGTTACAATTCTTACTTTCCGTTCCCGTTCCCGTTCCCGTTTCCGTTCCTGTTCCTGTTCCTGTTCCTGTTCCTGTTCCTGTTCCTGTTCCTGTTCCTGTTCCTGTTCCTGTTCCTGTTCCTGTTCCTGATTCCATTTCATATAACCCGTCCATGAACCCTTCGATCCAGACTGACTCAGTTAATAAAAAAATTACCCAAAAATAGTTAAAATATAAAATTAGTTAAAAAGAAAAACTCAGGGCGAAGGCATTGCAAATAATAAAAACAGATTTTAAAGATAACATGAATATAAACCAAAATTAGAAAACCTTTCATCCCTGATTTTTCCCTCTTATTCTTAAAAAGATCCAATTAAACCTCTCAATTCTCCAATTTCATTAATGAATAGAATCTTATTAATCTGTTAACTCTAATCTATTGAATTTTATTCCTATTAGAGCTAATAACTCCCACAAATTCAAGGATTCAGGAAAAATTTCCAGTTTTCGATTCTACAAAAGTTACTTTTAACCAGGAGCTTAATTTTGTGCATTCTGGGAACTTTTCATGAAAAATATTCATTTTTAAAGGGATTGATCAAACATTTAGATAATCTACATACAGTGATAACCAGAAAACTGTGAAATAGGAAGAGACACTTTTTAGTCTCAAGTTATGATTTTTATTTGTTAAATGAAGATGAAGATGTAGACAGAGACAGTTCAATTAATAAGTGATATTTAAGCTACGTGTAAATTGTTTGCTTTACCAACATCAAATACGTTTAAAGTTTGCTTATCGTCTTTCCTTTCAACAGTTTTATGGTTCGCACGGAAACATAACCCAAAAATCTGATAACCTTAAAAAAAAAATTCATCGAATTGCAAAGCCACAGACCTGTGATATTTTAAAATATAATTTCTGCTAACTAAAAGGAAAAGTTTTAAACATAAAAGTTTAAGATATCAGGTTGCAAAGATAAATTATTTTTAAAAATTCGAGTTTAAGAAAAGTATTCAAATTCTTTGGACAGACATCCAACCTAAACTAAAAAAATGCATTTTTAAATGATTGATTTTTTGAACTCAAAACCAACACAAACTTTATAAAAACGAGTTTGTTTAAGTTGACCCTTAGGGTTAAGATCTTCACGAAATCAACCTATACCTCAGATACATAGCAGTGTCCTCTCTCTGGGTGGCGTCGTCCACAAAGCTCTCCTCGAACCCGTCCTCGTCCACCCTCTCGTCCTCCGATACATCAGAGCCGGAAACCTCGGCCTCCACATCAAGGAACTCAGCACCTACTCAAATTAAAATAAACCTTTAGGATCCATAAAATTCCACTTCTGATTTATTTCATTTCCGTAAAAGTTTTGATTCTAACCTAATCTTTTTCTCTGCTTCTTTCTAACCAAAGGGCTGGAAGCTTCATGTTCAGATGAACTGTTCAGTCTGAAATAATTGTTTAAAGGGAGTGTTCACAAAAAAGGAATACACGTCTCTTGAATAAGAATCCAGCTTCCGACCGAATTTCATCAAGGTTTATATTCGATTCTCTTTACAGGAACATCAGCTAGAAATGACCGATGAATTATCAAAATATATTTTGTCCCCTCACCACCTTTCATTTTTCGCGCACACTTCCTTAATGCAAGTTTTCTTCAACATAAATATTTAGTTACTATTTATGTTCTATTACAATAGACTTCAAACCAACCAACCAAATAAAAGATGTCCTAGTTAGTGCCAGACCTCACATTAATTTTTTTATGATTCAAATTTGGAAATGACCCCTGAATATTCACTTAAACCTTATAAAAGATGATAACAGATTTTGTAAAAAGAATCTTTGCTTAGGGTTTCTGATCCTTTCTGGATCAATTTCATTCAATATAAAACTTTCAAAAACAAATTCGTAATTTGGTTGAGAACCTAGTATTTGAATTATCATATCAATAATTAATAGAAAGGGTTACATTCTTTGCGGAAAAAAATTGATCGCGAAAAATTTGAAAAACTACAATAATAATAACAATAAATCTACCATAACATAATTAAAATTTTTCAAGAGCATGCGTTACGATAGTCAGTAAAGTTAGTAAATAATAATAATAATAGTGATAATAATAATGATTATCTATAAAATAAAGCTCTTAGCTCATATAAGCATATTTGTATGTTTATATGTAAGCTATAGCTGGCCAAACGGCTGGACTGAATGGGCTGACATTTTTTTAGGAAACTGATGGGTGCCCGGGGAATAAAAAATACTAAAAGAATTCAATTTTCCCCACAAAAAAATTTTTAAAAAATTGTTTTTTCCCCATCAAACGTCGATTTATTGCAAAATTCGATAAAAAAATTTCACGGGCAACGCAGGGAACTTTAGCTAGTATATAAGGATAAAACAAAACTAATAAAGACGGTAATAAGGATGATAAAAATAGATAAAAAAATAAAAAAAATTTACCTCGTTAAACTTGAAATATGTTTGCATTCCTCGTTAATACTTGAAATTCTAGAAAATCCACAGATTACACAGATAATATTGATGATAATATTAATGATAAAATTAATGATAATAATTATGATAATAATAATGATAATAATAACGATAATCATAATGATCATATTAAAAAATAATTGCAGCCAACAAGCTTTCCTAGAAATCTGGCTTGAGCTTCCTTCCAAAATACTAAAAATTTGCACTACAGACTTAACAAATGCATTAGTTTTTCACTTTTCAGCCTTTGAATATAATGTTAATTGATCGTATATATCCTAGCACTCGACTCCCCCAGCTGTTTTCTAAGCCAAATAACCTATGAAGAAATACTTTGACACTTGTTTTAATTTTTCATCCAAGAATGAGAAAAAATTTCTGTGATTATACCTGTCATCCTCCGCCTCCTCCTCTTCGCTCTTTATAATTGGACTAGTCTGAGTACCAAGAAGGATTCCTAGAAAGATCACCAGTGGTTATTATTGATTTTAATAGATCATATATATAGAATTAATAAAAGTGATAGATTTATTTGGAAAATAATTTTGAAGCATGCCAGAACTGGAAATCTTGTATTGTGGATATTGGTATCAATGCCTGATCTTAATCTTGTGTTAGTATGGAGACTAACAATTCAATAATTTAATCTTTTTTCAACATCACGAATGGTAATAATCACCAGTCAGGAGTTTTGATTAGGAAGGAGGAATAACTGAAATGAAAATATGAAAAGAAACGAGTTCTTAATAGATCTTCAAGCGAAAAGTACAACAGTGGATATCAAGATCAAACAATCGGGATTAAGAGTATCAAAGTTCGCATCTCTGGATCAGTGGATGGGTAAAAACCCTGGAAACTTATTGAAAAAAAAAAAACATTACTTTTTAAGATTTTAAAACCGTCCATAAAACTTACAAAACTGACTATTCTTCCTTCTACCTATTCTTCCTACCCCTGAACACAGGACCAGGCCATCCCTCATACCCCTGAATACAGGACTATCCTCCCTCCTACCTAGTTTCTTCTTACCCCTGAATACAGGACTATCCTACCTCCTCCTTCCTACCTGGTTTCTCCCTACCCCTGAATACAGGACCAGGTCATCCCTCCTACCTGGTTTCTTCCTACCCTGAATACAGGACTATCCTTATCCCTCCTATCTGGTTTCTTCCTACCCTGAATACAGGACTATCCTTATCCCTCCTACCTGGTTTCTTCCTACCCTGAATACAGGACTATCCTCATCCCTCCTACCTGGTTTCTTCCTACCCCTGAATACAGGACTATCCTCCTCCCTCCTACCAGGTTTCTCCTTACCCCTGAATACAGGATTATCCTCCGTCCTCTCTCCTACCTGGTTTCTTCCTACCCCTGAATACAGGACTATCCTCATCACTTCTATCAGTCCTGGACGAATTCCTCAGGTCATCTTCGCTAGAACTCTCTACCAGGTTTCTTTTCAATCTAGGTCGAGCAGTCAACACTGGACTTGGGGAGTTTATTCGAGGCTTCTTGGACTGAGGACTATTAAAACTAAAACTGGTTCTTGAACTCATGCTCGCCTCAAAAACTCTTTTGTTTGATCTATCCGTCTGTTGATTATTTGATTGATCAGCTTCTGGTGGATGAACTTGTTGCTGTGAAAACTCATCGATCAACTGTTTACTAAAACAGAAAATTCTTTTACTTCAGATTTGTTTCGATTTATTAATTTTAAAAGTTGTTAATTAATTAAAATGAATGTCCATCTTGTTCTATATGTATACCAGACATTTTGTATTCAGAACTTAAGTTCATTGTAAGGTAAGCAATAGTCTAATTGGTCTGATGAAAGATCTAATGCAAAACACTGAACTCAGGCCAAACATGGTGATCAGTGTTACAGACCAGATTCCAGCTCTATACTTATACTAACCTGAGACATGTGTCAACATGGGCGTTTATTTCTGGTCCCCCTTCCTCTCCCTCAATCATCTGATTACAGATCGGACAAGCACTCATCCTCATCCCATCCACACCAGGGATATTATCTCTTCCAACAGATGTACTCATCCCACTTACACTTGGTTGATCCATTTCACTTATTTCAGGAGCTCTCATCCCAATACTCTGTCTTCTGTCAGTAGTCGTTCTGATCTCTTCCATGATTCTACTTTCCTCATTATGAACAATGTTTCCAGCGATTACATTAATTTCAGAAGCACCTTTCATTTCATCCACCTAAAATATTATTTAATCTATTTAAAACTATTTGAGTACTGTATAGTGTACAATGTAATCCACTTAATATATATTCTTTCAACTGTAAACTGTCAACCATAATATCTACTACTAAATAATTTATAGTGATCTAGAATATCTAGGTTCTACTACTTCTTAATCTAGAATTTCTATGTTCTACTACTACCTGATCTAGAGTTTCTAGTTTCTACTACTACCTGATCTAGAATATCTATGTACTACTATTATATGATCTAGAATATCTATGTTCTGCTACTCCCTGATCTATAATATCTAGGTTCTACTACTCCCTGATCTAGAATATCTAGGTTCTACTACTCCATGATCTAGAATATCTATGTTTTCACTACTCCCTGATCCATAATATCTATGTTCTACTACTCCCTGATCTAAAATATCTATTTTCTACTACTCCATGATCTATAATATCTATGTTCTACTACTCCCTGATCTAGAATCTCTGTGTTCTACTAATCCCTGATCTATAACATCTATGTTCTACTACTCCCTGATCTATAATATCTATGTTCTACTACTCCCTGATCTATAATATCTATGTTCTACTACTCCCTGATCTAGAATATCTAGGTTCTACTACTCCCTGATCTAGAATATCTAGGTTCTACTACTCCCTGATCTAGAATATCTAGGTTCTACTACTACCTGATCTAGAAAATCCTCTCCAAACATATCTTCAGACATATCAATAGACAGCTGGAAATTCGCCATATCTGTGACAGCTTCAGAATTGACAACGCCAGCAGTTAAAGAGCTAATAGTCTCTGAAGGTGTTGATCGTTGAACAACAGCTGCTGTTGGCTGTACCACAGCTGTAGGTTTATGATGAAATGATGAAAAATAAACTACATCATCTGGTTCTTTAATTACACTTAAATCTAAAAGTAGAAAATTATAAAATGTCTTCATCTATGTAATAATAATAATAATAATTATGTACATCTTTTTCTTCCAAAATTAACGTCTGAAGTGATGGAGCTCAAATTTTGTATGTAAGCATATCCCAAGAATGCAGGGGAGTATATTCTTACTAGAAGTTGAATTGTTTCCCCACCCCCTTGGCATTACTGTCCTGAATTTCCTTCCCCGGAGGAGAACGTTTTTTTTCGGTTTTTCATCACAAACTAGCTATTATTGCCACTAACTCACTTATTTTACCATATTTTGAGTCATTTTGTATCACCTTGATTGTTATCTTTAATTTACAGTCATTTAGTCATTTTGCAACATTTTTTCCCAGGGCTAGGGGTGTTTTTCCCCCAAAGTCACAACCAAAAAAAGTTTGCTTTGGGGGGAGGAAATTTTTTGTTTTTTGGGGGTAAAATGGAGAATTTTGGTGTCCAAAAAAGATCAAAAACCAAGTCCCCTTAGAGATTGTTTTGAAATATTTAAAGCTTTTTTAATGGGACACATGATGTTGATATTAAGGAAAAAAATATGATACATTTCCTATAGAAGGGTTAGCAGATAAAAAAAAATGATATTCAAAAAATTTGAAAAAGTCTTCTTTGACATTGCCATAATCTAACAATTTAGATTTTAATTTTCATAATACTAGTGATTATTTACCTTCAAAAATATCACTATCATCGAAAACATTGGAGAGTTTCTTTTTTACTTTTAGTCCACCACTCTTCCTTCTCTCATTAGGAACATCCTGATCTTTTTTAGATCTAAACAATCCAGGAGTAGCTGCCAGCATAGACGTAGATTTATCAGATTGTTCAGTTTTAACATTGTTGTCAGATTTACCAATCCCAGCTCCCATCATCCACTCCTCTGAATCCTGGTTCAGAACAGACACCAGCTGCAGATATAATAAAAATATAAATATTTATTTGGAAACCCTTCCCATTTCCCTCTCCTTGTCTTATTATTCAATAAGGTGTATCATTTAAAAATAAAATTTTAAATTCTGCTTATGTTTAAAATGTACAAAATTCGAAGGGAATCCAAATTAGAGAGTTGAAGCAAAATATTTTTTAAAAATATTTTGTCAACTGTTTAACTCTTAGGTTTAATCTTTATCTATCCCTGAGTAGCTCCCAGAATACTGGGCTCCCTCTGCTCTCCTGGGATGTGAAGATCTGTAAACAGATCATCATCAGAGTTTCCAAACATATCCTCACTCATAGTTCTAACAACAGATTTTACTCTGGGTTCAGGTTTCTTCAGAACTGGGGAATGATCCAATCCAACCCTCTCCTTAGCACAGTGCTTTATTTAATATATTTCATAGCGTTTTTTATCAATAAAGGAATAAGCTTTGCATAATCTTTTTTTTAGCAAAACTGTAATTTTTTAAGTTAAAAATTACGAAAAAAATAATCCTTCTGACCCATAGGATTAGTTTTTTGGTGAAATACAAATTATTTGAGAACGAAAAAAACGAACGATGAACGAATGACTTGGATAGTTCTAAGAAATAAAAATCTATCATTTAAAAAAACGATGACTGTAAATTGTTCAAACAAACATGAATTTTTTAATCGAACAACAAATTTTCCAACAATTTTGAAAAAAATGTTAGTTTTTTAATTAACAAACGATTTTTGGAACAAACTTTTAAAAAACGATAGATATTTTACTGAACGTACAATTTGTTGGAAAAAACTTTTGAAAAAAACTCAAGTTTTTTTTACTGAACGATTGTTCAGCGAGAAAATGAACGAAATAAATGGAAAATAAACGATAATTCTAAGAAAGAAGAAATTATTTTTTTGAACGATCAAAATAAACGAACAAAATAGGTAGTTTACGAACGATTAAAGAACAAAGTGAAAAAAACGCGCCCATCTCTTTTCACAGGAACATCTTCAAGTAGAAAAAAATAAAAATGTGTATCTAATTCTTAACAGATTAAAGTTTTAATTAAGTTTCAATCTTTCAATATTTCAGGAGAAGTAAGGGGACATAATATTTCAGCAGAAGTAAGAGGACACAATATTTCAGGAGAAGTAACAGGACTCAATATTTCAGGAGAAGTAAGGGGACACAATATTTCAGGAGAAGTAAGGGAACACAATATTTCAGGACAAGTTAGGGGACACAATATTTCAGGAGAAGTAAGGGGACACAATATTTCAGGAGAAGTAAGGGAACACAATATTTCAGGAGAAGTTAGGGGACACAATATTTGAGGAGAAGTAAGGGGACACAATATTTCAGGAGAAGTGAGGACACAATATTTCAGGAGAAGTGAGGTCACAATATTTCAGGCGGAGTTAGGGGACACAATATTTCAGGAGAAGTTAGGGGACACAATATTTCAGGTGAAGTTAGGGGACACAATATTTCAGGATAAGTGAGGGGACACAATATTTCAGGCGAAGTTAGGGGATACAATATTTCAGGTGAAGTTAGGGGACACAATATTTCAGGAGAAGTTAGGGAACGCAATATATCAGGTGAAGTTAGGGAACACAATATTTCAGGAGAAGTAAGGGAACACAATATTTCAGGAGAAGTAAGGGAACACAATATTTCAGAAGAAGTAAGAGGACACAATATTTCAGGAGAAGTAACAGGACTCAATATTTCAGGTGAAGTTAGGGGACACAATATTTCAGGAGAAGTTAGGGAACACAATATTTCAGGAGAAGTTACAAGAGGACACAATATTTCAGGAGAAGTAACAGGACTCAATATTTCAGGAGAAGTAAGGGGACACAATATTTCAGGAGAAGTAAGGGGACACAATATTTCAGGAGAAGTAAGGGAACACAATATTTCAGGAGAAGTAAGAGGACACAATATTTCAGGAGAAGTAAAAGGAAACAATTTTTGAACAAACTATTTGTTCAAATGAAGCCATGCCTTAACAGGGGTGAGACGTGTGACTGGAGATGAAAGGCTTGGAAAAGGTTTCTGTTGATGAGGATGAAGTGGAGTACTGGTTTCTATCTGCCTTTTTCTTTTCAGATCAGCAGGGAGAGATATTTCAGACACCTTAACATTGGTAATTGAGATAGTTTCCTTTCTAATTAAATAAATACTGATTCAGAACCCAGCTTTGCCTAAAAACTAAAGTCAACCCACTCAACTCAGAATTATTTCGTAGTTCTACCAAGTTGCTAAATCAAAACTTGATGAAAATCGGTTAAAGGGTTTGTAAGTTATGATCAGATATAGAAACAAACAAACAGACAAACTGTGACTACTACTTCTAAAGTAAGCTATGTTTGTTTATGTTTATGTCTGATCATTACTGATTTGCCGCTAATTTTGATTTGGAAACTTGGTAGCATAAAAATCTTCTTAGCTTGTTTTAGAAATTCTAAGTTTAGGTTGAAAAAGTTTAGGCAAAGCCTGGTTCCCAAGCTAGTTATTTATATAGAGATATAAGAACCTACTTGTGTGTTTAATTTGCTGATAATAGGAGAAGTAGGAAAGCCAATTTGATCAAACTCCTCTGTGTCTGTCACCATTTTGGATTTTTCTGACGCCATTTTAGATTTCTCCGGAGAAAGATTGAACTGAACTGGAGAGAGCTCCAAGATAGGAGAACCAATATCAAACTGTGTGGATATTCCTTCTCCTTCGTTAAACCCTCTTCCAAGTGCTGGAACATCTTTGTCTTCCTCTTCAAGAAGTTCTTCAACATTTTAAATTATTAATATATATCAAAGCTTGTGATGTTTTCGTTAAACATTAACAGTTCCATCTATAAAAACGATTCCAGTAAAAATAAATGATCATATTGTAACAGGGACCTGGGACAGTTAATTTAGAAACTATTTAGCAATGGGGACAGTTAATTTAGAAACTATTTGTAATGTTGCGCGGTACAGTTAAAATTCATATAACAGTATATACGGATGTATAAGAGAACTGATAAATTACCACACCCTCTAATCTTTGAGCCCTCATATCCTTGCAAATTGCAGATGTTGTAAAACTTTGATATTTTTAACATACAATTTTGCGTTATCAAAAGTTTTAAATATTAAGAGTTTACAAATCAGGTTGCAAAAATGTGCATATTAATACAGAAGAATTTGAGGCTAGTGTTTAATTAATTCCTTTGGAAATTGAAGAATGGGATGGAAAACACTTAAACGAGTTAATTAAAATTTAGATGAAAGATATTTAGTTCTACGAAAAATAAGAAAACAATATAAAACCTGGTTCTGGGGAGCCAAGTTCAAACTGACTCCACAACTCAGACTTATTCTCTTTCTCCTTCTCTCCTTTAGGTTTCTTCAAGACTGGGCTTGGTATTGGATCAGGTTCATTTTCCTCCTGGAACCCGAGATCCTCATCATCAGTCTGTTTTAAAAATGTATTTTTTTAGCATCAAAGGGACTGTAAAGGAAAAATGAAAAGGGGGTATAGGGATGCAAACTGAGAATCTCAGGCGTTAAACGATACATATAAAACATCTATCTGATGTTCCTGTCTCGAGAAATTGATATAAAACTGTGTCAAATTTATACGAAAATTCATATAAAAGCAATTTTGTATAAAAGTTGCAGTATTAAACAGATCATATTCAACAAATACGCAACCAATTTGAAAACGACGATATCCCACAGGAGTCTAAGAATCTCAGTTTTGCTCCTATTATAATTTTTAAAATTTTTTTTTTGCATTTTTAATAGATATAATTGATAATATAATTAATAATATAATTAAATATAGTCCGTACAGTCCGTATTACGTCACCAGAACTTCAGCCAATGGCAGTGCAGTATCGTTTTCACGTGATACAGACGGAAATCAAGTGACCAGTATACTGTCTGTATCTGTACTGTGTATGAAAGAATGTATGTATTGTGTATTGCTAGTATGACAAGAAGGCAAGTATAGAATTTACAAAAATGCAAAACAAAAACATGAAGTGCATTTGCACACTGCACAGTGCACAGTGATGAATTGGAACTTATAAATTAAGATTCACTTGAAATTTCGTGGACAGTCACTTTAATGTTTGTTTACCTGATAGAACATATCTAGAGAAGACGCATGAACTTCCTGATCTAGTTGAACAGGTTGCACAACAAGATCTCCCTGGAAGTTCTTTTCAGTCAACCTCTTTACAAGCATACTTCGTTACGTTGCAAGATGGTGAAATATTGAACAAAATATTAGCTATATAAGAAATAATGGTAACAAACTGGGAATGATATTTTTTGTCCAGTGGAACCTATAGAACTATGTAAAAGGAAGACGACTATTGACTTAAGTTAGGAATGAAATAAACCCATTTTTCTATTTAAAAAGAAATGAAGTATGTTCCTGTATGTACTCCGTGTACCGTGTACTTGAGTTCAAGTACAAGTTCTGGTATTTTAACTTTGCTGCCATCCATTCTTCAACACTCACCTACATTTAAGTAATTCAAAAATATTCGGAAATATATTTCTCTTGCAACATGTCCGCTGGGGGTAAGGAGGGGGGGGGAATTGACGGCTGTTACCCCTCCACCTAAATTTCCTCTTTGAAAGCTTTTTACACAATTATACAAAAGCGTAAGAAGCGTAAAGAAGCGTATAGAAGCGTAAAGAAGCGTACAGAAGCGTACAGAAGCGTAAAGAAGCGTATAGAAGCGTAAAGAGGCGTAAAGAAGCGTATAGAAGCGTAAAGAAGCGTATAGAAGCGTAAAGAAGCGTATAGAAGCATATAGAAGCGTAAAGAAGCGTATAGAAGCGTAAAAAGCATATAGAAGCGTAAAGAAGCGAAAAGAAGCGTAAAGAAGCGTATAGAAGCGTAAAGAAGCGTATAGACGCGTAAAGAGGCGCGAAGAAGCGTATAGAAGCGTGAAGAAGCATAAAGAACCGTAAAGAAGAATAAAGAAGCGTAAAGAAGCAAAAAGAAGCGTATAGAAGCGTAAAGAACCGTATAGAAGCGTAAAGAAGCGTTTAGAAGTGTAGAGAAGCGTGAAGGAGCGTTTAGAAGAGTGAAGAAGCATAAAGAACCGTAAAGAATCATAAAGAAGCGTATAGAAGCGTAAAGAAGCATATAGAAGCGTAAAGAATCGTATAGAAGCGTACAATCTAACAATAAACCGGCCAGGGATCAATGCAAAATTATTTAAAGATGAAAGTATAAAAAACCTATGTTTCTCTCGATAAACATTGTGTTATTACGTTTTTTATGCAGTGTGCAATTCCTAAGTTTTTACCAGTTCCACTTCGCTTTTAAATCAAATTGAAGGGAGTGACCGGCAATGTATGGTAGTTGAACTAAGATTGCAGTATTATTGAGATTTTATCTAAGATTCGTTTGCAATCTTTAAAATCCTCGTAGATTATCCATTTTGAGGGATGATTTTGAGAATCGGTTTTATTTAAATTATTCAACGACGATCACGAAAAGAATAACAAATTTTTTTTCAGTAAATTAGTTGTTAAGAAACATGTTGAGAAAATAAAAATGAACTCTTATCATCGAAATAAGTAATCTTTTTCAGTTATTGGTTTCTGTAATATCTCAATTTTAAAAACCATTTTTTGTAGATTTTCTGGAATTATTCATGAATAAACGACATTTTAGGAATTTAAAGAAATCTGCGAACAAATACACAAAGAATAAGGGAATCAATATAATGATGAAAAAGAAACAATTGATTCTAACATTGATTTATTGACACATTTCTAATAAGAAATATGTTCCTTATCATATGATTAGTTTACGGTAGAAATTTTGTTAATTTTTTTCCTCGTGTCGTTTTGATCATTTTTCATAAAACCGATTCTTAAAATGGACAATCGGTAGTTTTTAAATTTGGAATTGGTGCTCTTGCTGAACAAATGTGCACCGCAAAAACGACTGATAAGTCTCAAATTAATCCTAAATTTTTTTCTTAATAATACTGCAATCTCTGTTCAACTACCATACATTGCCGGTCACTCCCTTTAAATCAAATCCAGAATCGAAATGAAATCGTATCAGACTTTTAGAGAATTCTACATAATCCCAAAATGAATTTACTAAGAGAGGACTGAAATAAGCTTTAATAACAACAACAGATGTAGTTATTTTATCTTTTCTAAAACTAAATGCTTTTTAACATTTTTCAGAGAAAAGTACACAACTTATGACAAGTGCTGTACACTACAATTCTATATTAGATTAGTAGATAGACCCTAGAAGTTTTTTTTATCATCGCTCCGTAGACGGGATATTACTAGACATTTACTTCCGATCCGTAGACGGGATATTACTATACATTTACTTCCGGTTCGTAGACGGGATATTACTATACATTTACTTCCAATCCGTAGACGGGATATTACTATACATTTACTTCCGATCCGTAGACGGGATATTACTATACATTTACTTCCCAGATCTTTTTTGAAAGAAACATATGTAAATAAGGTTTCAAAGAAAGGATAAGAGGGTGCCTCACCTTTAGAATACTCGTTAGTATACCTATAATGATCATCCAAGAGTAGTGGAGGTTAATTATCGGGAGTAATAAAAGTGTGTTAATTTACCAAATTAATATATTTTAAAAATGAAATTAAAAATCAAAACTATAACATAAAAATAATTAAAAAATAATAATCAAAAAATTAAAAAGTAAAAAACTCAAAAATATTTCATGTAAAGCAGCCAAGTGGCAAGGCACATCCAACATTCCATTTCATTTTACCCTAGTAATTGTTCTTACCTTATTCAAAGGAGGATTTCTGACAATGTTCTCCAGATCTATCTTAAATACAGGGGAGCTAGGCCAGGAGCTGAAACCACTATCCTCACTCCCATCATCATCTAGGAGATCGTTAAGAAGATCATCTTGATCATCTACAGCATTTTTTTCATCCTTTTCATCACCGAGAACATCATCTAGCTCAACAACAACATCAACACCATCTTGAAGTTTAGGTTGAGAAGGTGATGAAATATCTATTTCTTCAATATCATCCTCCTAAAATAAGATTAAAAATAAGCAAAAAATTCATGAAGAGTGAAAGGAAAATTAATTTTCAAAATTAATTTAAAATCCTGTTTGAAAAGAAACATTCCCCAAAAATAATCTAAAATCCTAAGGTTCAGCAGAAACTGAAATAGAAACCTTATCTAAGAAAAATTACGTAAAACTCGAATTATTATCTAGTTACAAAAGATTGTAAATCTGACGCTTAAAAACGTTCGAACCAATTTGACCAGTTTTGCTTGTCATACGCAGATTTGGTTTGTGCTTCATTTTATCTTAATCTATAAAATGTTTGGTTATTAACTNTACCGTTCTCATTTATCTGGTAACCTGCATTACGCTTCAATCAGTGACTCTATGTTCTTCTTCTAGAGGAGTACGGGACTCACCCCCTGGCTTAACAAAAATTCAGACCCCCCCCGCAGCCTTTTAGTGTTAAATAAAGGTTACCTGAATATCAGGTAGAACTTGACCCCTTGGTTTCTGCAGCTCCTGGTTGGTGTCACTAGTCTCTGATAGTTTAAAATAGCTCCTGATTCCCTTTACTGGAGATCCCGCCACCGATCCTCGTTTAGCCACAGCGTTGGAAGAAACGGCGGAGCGTGTTTGCAGGTTAATACTCAGCTCTTCCGCCCTGGCGGAGAGGGCGGATGGGTTGGAGATCAAATCAAGAATATTCTTGTAAGTTCTACTAACATTACTCTCTCCTACTAAATATCTAAAAAAAGTTATTTTTTGAAGAAATAAAATGCAAAATCTTTTATTTACTTTAATACTTAAGAGACTCTCCCCCTTTTAAAAAACTACTAATCCCAATATTTGTACCCCATACATTGGAGTCCTTTTAAGCAAATATACCATTATTGGCTAAAGGAAAGGGTGGGGATATTATGAAAAAAAATCACTTCTAAAAATTATTGGTATGTTGTGAATTTTTCTCTAAATACCTATTCTGATCTCCAGTTTGCCAGAGGGAATACTCGGTTAAATCAAGTACAGGACCATTCTCAATATTCTCCTAGAAGAGAAAACACTATAAGGAGAATGCCGACATAAGTTAAAGAGACCCTTCATTTAAAAGAAATGTTTAAATTTAAGTCTTTATCGGCTTGAATAACTAATATTTAATAGTCTAAAACTCTAAAAGTCCGAAAATCTAGAATCAAAAAATAAAAAATCTAAAAATTTAAAAATCTTAATCCAACCTGAACCTGGGAGTAAAGGGAATACTCTCCAGTCCATAGTTCCCGTGGAGCAGGCAATCTTTTCACAGAATCTGAATATTTTTTTAATTAAAGGGACTGTAAACGTAATTTTAATTGACCCTTCTTTGGTAGAAAAGCAAAGTCCGATTCACAACGATACCCTTGCATTCGATATCCATGTTTTTGTTTGTGAAAACTTTTTATTTTAATCTGCGGTTTCTCTACAATGGAAAAATCATCACAACTTTTCAAGCCAGAAAACGACATTATGATCCACAAAAGTTTGTGTGGTAGAACATCTTCTAACTGTAACTGTAGTTTATTTGTAAACTGTACTAACCTGTAAAATTACAATGTTCGGACCATCTGGTCTGATCATTCTCATTCAAGAATCCACAATTTTTTCTAAACAATTATTATTAAAGATAGCGTTTACAAGAGGCACGGGGGGGGGTCTTCAGCCTGACCCCCCCCCCTTGATATGTCAAAAAATAAAGCCACACAATATCTTGTATACACCCTGATTACACGCTATCAAAATGTGTTTGGTAGATCGCGACGACTACCCGAGTAGGCCGGCCATTAGCTGCCCATGTATTAGACTGGCCCCAAAAGTAGTATGGTAAAGCGTAAAGAGAACAAAAGGAAACTTCATGTTTAGAAAACTTCTTTTTGACGGAGGAATGGCCGCCGCAGAATATAAAAAGTATAAAAAAGGGGAAAAGTCGGCTTGAGGTTTTTAAATTTTTAAAAATTAATAAAACTAAGAATTCTTCGCCCACGTTTACATCTTCATAATCAAAATGTGCCCTTTTTAAAAAAAAATCTCTTAAAAAATTAAAATTCACTAAATATACTTTAAAATATTATGTCGTCCGTGATTTCATCACAAAGATGTGTGTCACCTGAACACATCATATCGGTTGACCGGCTGTAAACTCTTCATTATTCCTTGACCTTGGCGGTCATTCTTCCCTTGACCTCGACCTTTAAACTCCCCAGTTATCATCTTCATCTAAACAAATCAAGCTTTTAAAAGCAGTAGAAATGTTCAATACTTTGAAAAAGTTATGTTTAGTGACAATTTTCGAAAGTTAAGTACAAGAACTAATAAAAATTGAACTCGAAGTTGCAACCCAAACTTAAAGGGACTGTTAACGTAATTTCAAGTAACCCTCCATTCAAAGATAACAATGCCCGGCGTACAGCAGTTCCAATCCCTGAAAAATCTTTAATCTGATCAAAAATGTGAAGAATAACGTCGACAAAGCTTTCAAGGATACTGTTGCTATCTTTAAATGGAGGGTCCAAACACAAAATATATTAATGGTTAAAATAATATATTTCTACTTAAAAAAATTTACTAAACTAATAAAAAAATTATATTTGATTTTAATTACCTGATGACAGACTGGTTCCAGGCCTATGGGAACCATGCGGGGAGCATTCTGAAGAAAAAAATTCAAATAATTTAAATAGTTTAAATAGTTTAATTTATAAAGTATACAGTAATAAAGTATGCCGAAAAATTATAGTTGATAGGGATTCAAGTCTTAATAAATAACAGAGAGGACGTGCACTGCATGTTCCCCTAAAATCTGAAAATCTAAATTATTGACTTTTTTGCCCCATCCCCTAAAATAAAAACAACTTTGAAAAAAAGGTATAAGATGGTCAAACACTCTTTTTATTCGATTTAAAGATCAAATCAAATCAGACCACACTCCAAAATTGAGATGACTTTTCTAAATCAAAAATGAAGAGGCTAAAAGAAGGTACACAAAAACAAACAACGGGTTAAGGGAGGTTTGCTTGATTAAAAATAAAAAAATCATCTTAAATACTTTCCTGTAGTTCTGAAAAGAACATTAAAAAATACGGAAAATATTTTCCTAGGAGAATAGTAACTAGTAAGCTTATTGGCGGAAAAACTGTGAATAGAACGGAATTCCGAGTATGTTAATCAGAACAACTATATTCAAGTTCAACAACAACTTTTCTTTAAATTGTTTAGGGCTCATTTGAGATAAATAAAACTTTTTGAAGATCTGTAAATCCTGAGTTTAAGCCCACGTTCAAAATCGTACTTTTGGGTGGATACGTTTTCCGAATCGTTTTTTAAATTACTAAGTAACGACGACGAAAAATAAAACAACGTAAGAGCCTGCACTGATAAAAGAAATTCTATCGTTGTGCAGTGTGCTCGACATATGGAAATTGACTGAAGACCGTTCTACCTATCTAACAGTCTGAGAGAATTGGTTAACATTGATTTCTCCTTATTAACTGAATATTTTGCTGTCTGTTTCTAATTGGTTTTAGGAGTTTTACTGCTAGTGAGAATACATGTAAATGTTACGACTACGAGGGAAATTAAGAAAATAGTCTTTTCTCCAAATTGTTAAAGATAACGTATTAACAAACTAATTAGTTAATGAATAAAAATAAAATATTCCAATAAGTGAACTATCCCTTTAAAATATAGAATACCTGGTACAGCATATGCACAAGCTTATCCATTTCTAGAATAGCTTTGTTAATCGTCTTCTTACTGATCAAGCACTGATTATATTTACGTTCCTAAACATAAGTTTTTGTCTTACAATTACTGAGTCCCGCTTTTAAATATTTAGTTTTTAGACTCTCCACAAAAATATGAGATGTGAATTCTATTTCAAAATTGCATGCTGGACTGACACGTTTGCTTTTATTATTATTACATTATACAAAATCTGAACAGAGATAAAAAACGAAAACGATTTTTTAACACGATTAGAAAATCGTTTTTCTTTTTTAATTATTTTCATCACAGAAAAATAGTTCGCATTATGTAATTAAAGTAAACTTTTCGAAGACAAATTTTGTGATTTGATTAATAACTCACATTTTTGCAAAACACTTATAGCGCTAAAAACTCTATCACACTCTATCAAATAAAAGGCTTCCTTTATACCTATATTGACATATACTGAAAGTACGCTACTGTATTAATAAATAGATTTTTTGTTAAAATTTATCTATGTTACTTTGTTAAATTTGATTGAGTAAGATTATCTACGCGAAGCGGTAAACTTTTTTTTACAATTTTCCCCTTAACGGTAATCATGGACAATGGACATGGAGGATGGAGATCAAGTTTCTAAACGGGGATGTTTATGTCTCCAAGATTATAAGGGGGGGGGGGGGTAATTAACCCCAAGATTCTAATGGGGGGTATTTACCCCAGGGATTCTAAGGGGGGGGGGTATGCAACCCAAATAACCCTCCTTATATACGTCAGTTACTGCTGGGGTAATTTTAAATGACCCTCCATTGAAAGAGTTCTAATTTAGTAATAATTGGAGGGAATTGTTACAAATTAAGCTAGAAAAACGACAAGATCTGCCACATTAATGATCAAATGAAGGTTGAAAGAGAACCGCTGTGAATCGGGCATACCCTGCTTAAATAAAATGTAACTCGAAATAACATTTAGCTACCTCTATACCCTGAGTAACAAGAACCACAATCCGTCCTTCTCTTTTCCTTCCAGTCCGACCCATTCTTTGAACCAACCTTAGAAACAATTAAATTTTATATTTTTTTTTCTTTACTATTTTTTTAAAATTTTTTTTTTATATAGAACAATATGGTTTAACCTCCAACTTGATAAGAAACTTGAATACTTCAAACAGCACAATGTGGTTTGACCTCCTAACTTATAGGTGACTTGGACACGTCAAACAGCACAATATTGTTGACCTCCTACCTAATTGGTGACTTTGAAACGTCAAATAGCACAATATGGTTGACCTCCTACCTAATAAGTGACTTGGATACGTCAAATAGCCCAATATGGTTGATCTCCTACCTAATAAGTGACTTGGATACGTCAAATAGCACAATATGGTTGACCTCCTACCTAATAGGTGACTTGGATACGTCAAATAGCACAATATGGTTTGATCTCCTACCTTATAGGTGACTTGGATACGTCAAATACCACAATATGGTTGATCTCCTACCTAATAAGTGACTTGGATACGTCAAATAGCACAATATGATTGACCTCCTACCTAATAGGTGACTTGGATACGTCAAATAGCACAATATGGTTGACCTCCTACCTAATAGGTGACTTGGATACGTCAAATAGCACAATGAGGTCGACTTCCCCAATATCCAGGCCCTCTTCTCCAACACAAGTTGCTACTAGGGTATTGTATCCTCCACTTCGGAATCTAAAAGATAAAAAAAATACAGAAATATATGCTTCCAGAGCGATTTCGGTTAAATATATCAAATACTATAGAGAACTTGTGAACTTGTATGTATGCATAAATGATATTTTTTCTGAAGAAAAAACAATTTTATGTGGTGTTCCCCAGGGAAGTCTTCTTAGGCCCCTACTTTTTCTCATATACATAAAAGATTTGCCGTTAGCAACGTCTTTTTTTACTAATCTTTTTTCCGACGACACTAGTTTTTTAAAATCATCTCCAAATATCGAAACTTTAGTTATTGATGCCAGCTTTGAACTGAAAAAGGCAGCTGCATGGGTACAGGCAAACCGTTTAACATTAAATGTTTCCATAACAAAGATTATGATATTTAGGAATAGAAATATTCATTTTGATCCTGAAAACTGCCAATAAAAAATTGGAAATGTGATTCTAGAAAGAGAAGGAATTGACTGTGCTTGAAATTTGTTGGCCGTAAAAAATGCGGAAAATCAAATCGTTGCAAAAAAGGGCAATTAGAGCAGTAAATAATAGTCCATTTAAGGCACATTCAGATCCAATATTTTTCAGATTAGAACTTCTAAATCTTGATGATACATATACACTAGGTGTTCTATCTTTTATGGCATAAATGCTTTTATGAACCTTCCAACTTCCTTCCATGATATGTTTAATTCTTTAGCTGAACCAAATAGATCAATATCATATAAACGTGAGCGGGTTTTCTTTGCTACGCAAGAATGTTTTCGCTCCGCTTTATTTCCAAAATTATGGAATTCGATTGAATTAGAGCATAAAGAAACTAAATCTGCAAAATCGTTTAAAAGAAAAGTCGCCCAGAACTATTTAGATAGTTATGCAAGTTATATCTGTAAAAAAAAATGTGTTTCATGTGGATAAACTTAATCTTTAATATCTTCTTCACCCTGTAGTTTATAAACATGATTCTAATAATATATGTTAACCTCTGTTCCAACCCTACCGCTGAGTACCCTCCCTTTACCTTATACTTCTTCACCACCTCCTTACCTTTTCCTGATTTATCATCATTGTTATGTTTAAAATGTACGCTGCACAGTGTACACCCATGTATTTATCTATATACAATTCTCATTCTATCATGGGCCAACCAATTAAAACAACCTACTCTGGTTAGGCGGGTCCCAACTACATAATAAATTGTGATTTTTTTATTTGTATTATCTCGTGCAATTTGTAGTTGAATAGAAATATGAATAAAATATGAAACTTTGTAAAAATTGTCTATTTTTTACATTTTTAGATACAAACAATTCCCAACATATTTTGCATCCGTTTTTTGTAAATACACACATATGAAGGTAAAGTAGCTTGCCATGAAATACACTTATAAGTCCTTTTATTTAAATTTTGGTATTATTATTATTATCTGTATAATAATTAATTACCTGCTAATAACCTCAATTTGTTCCTTCTGTGTTAATCCCTTCTTTCCTTGAGCACCGGCCTACAGTGGTAGGCGATTATATCAATATAATAAAGACGACTTTTTATTTAAGTTCTAATTGTTTTAACAAGCTTTTTTCGAATTGCAAGATAACAAGTAGTTAAAGAGAAGCTTTGTTAATTGACAGCTTCTCTTTGTTTTCATGTATTTAAATCAGAAATCATCTTCTAATATTGATATAATCGCCTACCACCGTAGTATATGAGAAAATACAGTGATTACTAGAAAACAGTGGAATACATGTCTCTAGGGATTTAGAAATTTGAACAGGTTTATTTTTTGAAATGTGCACTGAATATTTTCAAACATATGCAAGTTATAACAATTACATATTAAAATATCCTGAGAGACATTCCTTGGTTGAAAGAAAATGCAAAAAGGACAATTATTCCATATTCTGTTTATTACTACTGTATAAGATTTGGTTTCCCTGACCTACATAGATTGAAGGACGGTGTTCACTGTTCATGTATAAAATGATGATACAAACTTCGATTATGAAAATTATTTAATAATAGCCTGGGAACCGGCGCTGCCCAGTTTACTCATAGCTACTCCCACCGTTTACCCGCACAGAAACGATTTTACCAGGAAACTAAATTTTCACAATAAAAGTCCAATCTCAAAATCTTAGAATCCCCAAAAACAAACTAAGAACATTTCCGTGGTACTACCGAGTTCCCCTATAAAATTTTTACGTAAATCGGTCCAGGGGTTCCTGAGTTATGATCGGACGGACAAACAAACAGAAATCACAAATAGATATATATAAATTGTTAAAATTATGTTTAAAAGTCAATGTAAGAAAACGCTTAACATTCCAAAATGAATAACAATATGAGAAAAGATTAAGAGATTTAAAATTAAAAGTTAGAATGGTAAAAATAATAAAGATCATATTAGAATAATAAAATAAAGAAAATATGACGGAGACAATAGAAAAGATAAAATCATGATGATATGATGATGATGAAAAAGTGTAAAGTTTTAGATAAACACTTGATAAAGATGATGGATGACAAATATGATGAATTATCTGTATATGACAAGGATGACAAAGAAAGAGTATATTAAATTGAACCAGTACCTGTCCGACAAATGACATAGGTTTGATGATAGGTGAATACTCGGCCAAACAAGCAACTACTTCTGTTACAGAATCTCTTAGCAAGAGATATCAACGTTTGTTTAAATCAAAACATAATTTGTTTAATAAAATTCACATTAACTCAACTGATTGTGCAAAAGCAAAGGCAAAAATAACTTTCAAGTAAAATCTAAGAGTGTAACGGTTGAAAAATATTTTTGTTTGAATCCTACAGGGTTGCCACCCACAAAGACGATTGTAGGAAAATGTGTAGTCCCTTTTCTTGCATTCAAGGTTCCTTGTAGGCCAAAAATGTGCTTTATATTTTGGTAAATGATCAAAATACTCAATTGAATGCAGAAACCAAAAATTTAAGCTTCAAATCCTCATACTTTTAGAGTTTTAAGTCGTCTTTACTGTCTCACATCCTTTATGGTAGACCCTGTATAATCTGCATATTGTTGATATCCTGCCTGTACTGGCTGAAGATCATAACCCTAGTCTCCATGTTCTTCTCCTTGAAGCTGTTGAAGTGCTCCAGAACAACCTTCAACAAGCAGATTTAAATATTGTTAGTGGTTACGATTATCACCTGATGTGACGTGTATTTCTCACTCTATATCAAATTTAACCCTGAACAAAAGATATTTAACAGAATAAATTAAAACTTAATCAGAAAAACAATATTTTTTGGTTATTTCTTAGTTATTGCCCAAAGTGTCATTTCTGCGCATTTCTACTGAAGAAAAATAAAAAAATAAATATTGTAATGAACACTTTAAAACATTTAACAACAAATAAATCTTGATTTTTAATTAGAAAATGAACAGGACATTGCTTTTTTAACATGAAGAGGAACATGAAGAGGAGGAACACTTAAATTTACGCTTACATCCCTTTAAAACAAATTATTTTTACCTCAATTAGCTTTTCTATCTTGGGATGACTTGTTTTTGTTTTTGTTTGAGTCTGAGCTTGAGTAGTTTGACTCAAATGTATCCTAGACTGGTTCAATCGGCTGTTTGTAGCATCTCCACTAAATGTATTTATTTGTCATGCCTGCTTGTTAATACGAATGTTTCCCATGGAGCTACTTCTCCAGACTCCCACCAATCTATCTTATACTAATTAAGTAAACAGACCAGAAACTAGTTTCTACATAAATAAACAGATAAAACAGACCAGAAACTAGTTTCTATATAAATAAACAGATAAAACAGACCAGAAACTATATAAATAAACAGATAAAACAGATCAGAAACTAGTTTCTAAAAAAATAAACAAACAATTAAAACAGATCAAAAACTAGTTTCTACATAAATAAACAGATAAAACAGACCAGAAACTAGTTTCTATATAAATAAACAGATAAAACAGACCAGAAACTAATTTCTACGTAAATATACAATTAAAACAGATCAGAAACTAGTTTCTAAAAAAATAAACAAACAATTAAAACAGATCAAAAACTAGTTTCTACATGAACAAACAATTGAAACAGACCAGAAACTAGTTTCTACAATAGTAAACGGATAAAACAGATCAGAAACTAGTTTTTATATAAATATATAATTAAAACAGATCAGAAACTAGTTTTTATTTAAATAAATAATTAAAACAGATCAGAAAATAGTTTCTACATGAACAAACAATTAAAACAGATCAGAAACTAGTTTCTACATGAACAAAGAATTAAAACAGATCAGAAACTAGTTTCTATATAAACAAACAATTAAAACAGATAAGAAACTAGTTTCTATATAAATAAACAATTAAAACAGATAAGAAACTAGTTTCTATATAAATAAACAAACAATTAATACAGAACAGAAACTAGTTTCTACATAAAAAAATATTAAAACAACTCAGAACCCAGTTTTTATATAAACAATTAATTCAGAACTAGTTTCTATTTAAACAAAAAACTTAAAAAGCTGAGGAACTAGTTTATGTTTAAACAAACAATTAAAACTGATTAGGAACTAGGTTATAAGTAGACAAACAATTAAGGCCGCTAAGAAACTAGTTTCAGTGTTATTAAAAATTTAGACCGCTGAATTTTCAAATTGTAAATGGTTCAAAAGCCGCTCATATAAAAGACGACTTTACCTGAATTTTTCTGCTAGGTTTGCCATGAGATCCCTCCAGACTGGAATCTTATCTAATCCGGTCCGGATTCTTTTAGAAGAGTAATCTGCCTCCTCCTGGAAGTTCAAACATTTAAAACATTCCTAAGAGGATATTGTCTAGCAGAGAATAAAACTTGATATTTGACATAAATACTTGGGAAATTGATCTAAAATTTGAAATTTAAAAAAATCCAAGATGTCAGGTCCAAGCCTAACTATTCTAACATTAAAAAACTAGTATCAACTCATCAAAACATTTTCCAATTAAATTTTAGATCTGTGGTTTTAAGAATGCGGAAACCTGAATTTCATTATACCAATTGCTCAACCATCATATAGATCTAACCCTTGTATAGATTTATTTATATATATATATATATTTATCGAACTAGACTAGACTCGTGGTGCAATGAAAGTCAGACAGGTACATTCACAGAGAGGGGAGTGTATACCTATTACCTAGTGTTGTTAATCTTTTTGGGTCGTGTTTGAAAATTTTTATGTTAAAGTTTACATATCCTAAAAAAATGAAAAAAAAATCCAAAAAATTTAAAAAATGTTAGTTTTTGCATCGTTTTTGGGTCATTTTTTACATATAACTTATGCCAGGGAAAAAGTTCGACAAAGTGTAACAAAAGCAAATGTTAAGAAAAACAAGGAAAAACAAATTTTCTTGCAATTTACCAAATTTTGACCTTGATAGAAAAAATAGAAAAAAACGAGGCAACCCGAACCAACTGAAGGCACATGTATTGTATCCTATAACAATGTATGTATAATCATACCATGCAAATTTGAGTTTACGATCAGCGAGTTTTTTTTATCTGAGATCAAATATCACAATGATTATAGACTGTCGAATTATGCCCCCTACCCCCTCATAGCTGGTGACCATGAATACCTTCTTGTTGAAGAAGTTGTAGAACGGTCTCATCCCGTGTTGGAGCAGGAGTTCGTATCCATGGTAGAGGGACATAGCGGAGGCGTAGTCACCCTCAACCACACCCTTCACCTGAGCGGTCAACCCAGGGGGAGGATTCTGCCTCCATTCATCACGTGACCTTGAAAATACCAATCAAAACTAGGATGGATAGACAGGTAGACAGAAAGAAAGATATAGATAGATAGATAGATACCTGATTCACAACGTTACCCTTTAAACATTTATTTGATTAATAAATCAATATTAATTTGATTTAACGTGAAAATGAGTGTATATAAAAATATAAGTCAAAAATGCATAAAAGATTGAATTTGGAAAGGAGTAGATGTAAACTGGATAACTAGACCAATAAATCAACGTATTTGATCAATGGTTTAACGTGAAAATGAGTGGATATTAATATATGAGTAAAAATGCATAAAAGATTAAATTTGGAAAGGAGTAGATGTATACTGGATATCTAGACCAATTAATCAACGTATTTGATCAATGGTTTATTTACGCAGAGGAAAAATTGTTGAGGCTGGATTTCTGATCCTCGATCTAACCATTTATCACGATCCGTATTATCCTAAATCAGGTGAGGATAAAATCGCTGATGTGTGAAATATACCTTAAACACCAATTTAAGGATTTAGAAACATTGACAACAAAGCTGTTCAAAGATGTCCAAGAGTGACTGTTTGCTTAATTGAAATCTATATTTAAAATAAAGTTCTTTGCTCAAAGATATTTATATATTTATATATTTATTTATTTGTTAGCTATAGCTGGCCAAAGCTGAACCAATTGGCTAAAAAACTTGAGGGAACACATTGGTTCCCTGGGGGTATTATAGGCTATACGATTTTTTCCCCTTCCAAAATTTATCTTTTTAAATTCAACATTTTTTTTAATTGAATTTTTTTCACGGGCAACGCCGGGAACTTCAGCTAGTATTAAATAAAGCTCTTATCTAAGTGATGATTAAGTTCACCAAAACTAGTAGTGAAAAGCGACATTTTCTAAAGGTTGAAAACGTAATTATCCCTAAACCGTTTTTATCCACGTGATCTCCGTGATCCTTGTCGTATTTAAAGACGACTATTGAGTTAATGTCAGTTTTCTCATTAATATTTAACTCAGCTCTTTTCATCGGGTTCTAGGATTTTTTAAATTAAAGATTGAATTAAATTATAAGTTTAAAAATAAAAAAAGATGAAAAGGATTTAAAAGATCTTAAAATATAATTTTTCCTTTAATAAAATTTTTAGAAATTAATAAAACTGCTTGAAAATAACAAAAGGGAAAATAAGATGTCAAAGGAAGTTAGAAAAAGTATATGAATTGATATGATCTAACAGAAAAAAAATGTTATTAAGAATTAAAATACTAACGTACATCTCTTCATTCATGGATTCTGTGTCGGTCTTTTAAAAAATAGATGTTCGATCATTAACAATTTCTGAGATATTTGCTAATTTTTTTCCTGGAACTAATGAACATAAAGAGATGATCTAAGATTACCAACATTATGTGATTTAGTCCAGACAATAAGAAGTTTTCCCATTGAACTCGCAATTTTAACCTCTCTGAATCCAAGTTGCAATACGTCAACCGAAAAAATTGAAAATAATACTATTTTGAATAAAAATAAGCGGGAAAGGGAGAAGAAATATATTCATCAGCTGTATCCAGATCCGGATCTATTCTGTACAAGACAGATTCAGGAAACGGATATGCATCAGAAGAAAAATGCTCTCCAGTTGGATGTTTAACCTGACCACTAAATGTGTTCTAGTAAAATTACCTGAGAATTGAGAACTTCGAGTACTGTGCCGGATTATGGCCCTGGCGAAGAGCTCCATGGTTAGCTAGACGTTTAGTATAGATTTCAAGAACAGAGAGCAGACCTTCCTTCATTCCGGTCAACTCAGCTCCCATGGGAACTACAATCTAAACAATCAACGGTCAACTCAGCTCCCATGGGAACTACAATCTAAACGATCAAAGGTCAACTCAGCTCCCATGGGAGCTACAATCTAAACAATCAAAGGTCAACTCAGCTCCCATGGGAACTACAATCTAAACAATCAAAGGTCAACTCAGCTCAAATGGGAACTACAATCTAAACAATCAAAGGTCAACTCAGCTCCCATGGGAACTACAGTCTAAACAATCAAAGGTCAACTAAGCTCCCATGGGAACTAAAATCTAAACAATCAAAGGTCAACTCAGCTCCCATGGGAACTACAATCTTAACAGTCAAAGGTCAACTCAGCTCCCATGGGAACTACAATCTAAACAATCAAAGGTCAACTCAGCTCCCATGGGAACTACAATCTAAGCAATAAACGGTCAACTCAGCTCCCATGGGAACTAAAATCTAAGCAATAAACGGTCAACTCAGCTCCCATGGGAACACGTGTTTATGAGTACTCAGGACCAATAGAATAGCAAAGGCGTCGAGATCTATTTATCTATCTGTCTAGTCAATTCTTAAAATCCAATTAGAGATCTATATGTAAATTAGCGGCTTAGACTACTTCTTCACTTATATCCAACTTCCGGTGACATTACAGTTTTAATGCAGATTTTTCCCCCCGCAAATTTTAGAAAATATGTTTAGGTCTAAATTGACAGATCTCTTCTGTTTCCGTCATGAAGAAATTCATTGATTTTTCAATTTTCGTGTAGATTTTTCAGTAAATATTAGGGAACCCTTTACATATAAAGTTGGTATTTAATGATTAAAATTAGACATTATTATCTCCTTAGAAGGCGCTTATTCATTTGGAGAAACTCTTCTGTTTTGCCATATAAAGTCTGTATTTGTACTGTACAGTGTACAGTATGCTTTAACTGCATTAATGTCACCACGGTATTTAAAAAGAACAGGAGTTTACAGTGTACATAGTTGAAATAATCTCTAGTGCACTCTAAGTCGCACAAGAGAAGTATTTCAAGTATTAAACCTCTTATATTTTTTTATAAATAATTACTGCCTTGGATAAGCAAATCCTGGAGCGTAATTTTTTTGCATTATATGTTGAACTCATGAAATTCAATGAAAGGTCACTCAAAAACAGTCTTAGAAAGATAAAGCTCATTTTCCCACTTCCTTTCGATAAACAAGAAATTATTTTAGTTTTTCCAAATTCGTAGACTCAAAAGTTAAACATATGGCAAACATGGAGGCTCATTAACTTGCCTTATCTACTCTTCGCTCGTTAGTGTAGGGAACTATATCTGGAGACTCCTCATGACGGAGTTCTATATGTGAGATAAACAGGTTTTGCAGTACACCTCGTACTGCAGCTAGATCATTACCAGGCGTAGCAGACAGGGCAACAATACGAACCACAGCCTGCGAGAACATTATTTATTAAATATTCGCTAGAACACAAATCTGTCTTCACAATGATCGAACCAAATCAAACGTGGGGGCGACATGGTTTCAATGAGCTTAAAATAAAAAATAGTACAAAAAAGGGCATTTACACAGTTAAATACTCTTAAGGGGGACAGGAAACAAGGGATAAACACCAGTTAAATATATAATTAAACGTTTAACCCAGATACCTAAAGTGTTAACAATAAAAAACCTAGAGATGTCTCCTTCTCCTTACCTGACTCCTGTTTAACTCCTTGGCGACCTGACAGTAAGCATATTCCCCCTGGGCCTTGTGTGCCTCATCTACTATCAGGAGTTTAACCTCCCTCGCAGGAAACAGTCCTCGGGATAGGTCATTACTCATAACCTTAAAGGGACTGTATGCGTATTTTCAAATGATAATCAATTTAAAGAGATTAACCCCGATTTACAACAGTAAACTATATATCTGCAAACAGACATCTTAGCTTTTCTTTCCGAAAACTGATAATGTTTAAGTGACTTAAGGATTTATCAGCAAAAACAACTTCTCTTCTGGATAGAAAAGTGACGATATGTAAGGCTAAAAACCTGTAACTCTTAAAATGAAAGATTAATTTAAGATAAGTCGACAATTGGTAATAACATTATTGTATCATGTTTTTTTAATATACAATTTATACATTTTGCGAACAACACGCCAAAACGAATCAATGAAAGCAGTCCACACCAAATCTAACAAAAAAGCTAATTATTCCCTTTATTCTCCGTTTCTTTAAATTCCTATATTTTTGCAACCTGAGGTTGTAGACCTTTTATTTTTAAAATTGCAAAAATGTAGTGATTAATTAGATAATCATAATTTGAGGTAAAAAATCAGTTTCTTTTATCAAATAAACTTTCGAAGAAAAGCCAAATCAAACTTTATTAACTTGACCAACCTGATTCTTGAAAAAAATCAAACCAAATCTGTTAAAGAAGCTCAAGGGTTTTAGAAAGAAACCCAGACTCATGAAACCGAACCTGTGGAGTAAGAAAGAAAACTCGTTTAGATTTCCATCCTTTCTCCCTGTGAGATACAGACACTGATCCTGTCATCTCCATAGTATCATCCTGAAATATAATTATGCGAATAGACAGCTATTAAAAGTTGCACCAATTTGAAGTGTCACATAACTTTCATTTTATCTCACTAACTAACTTATACTTTTGTTGTAGCCCTAGACAATGACATGTACATGCATTTTTTAAAGAAGAAATTGGCAAAATTCTCATCTAAAGCTGACAATCTTTGGATCGCTGGTGTATGGGAGGTATTTATAATTTCTCATAATTTTTCTGTGCAACATTTAAAACAAACATTAACTATAATTTTATTTTAATTAAGTTTTTAAATTACTCCAAGGACCTCTACAGTCTATAGACTTTAATGACCTAAAAGATGGTGCAGCTGAACATGTTTTGAAATAGGACGTTTTTTTTCTCATTTTCTCCTTTTTTTCATTCCATCAAATATATGTACGACATGTAGATGTTTAAATCATTACAGTCGTCATTGAAATAAAGCCTTAATATGAATATGAATATGATTGTGAAATGGATTTTGAGGGAAATATAACAAAAAATCAGCTAGGTTTTAGTACCATTTAATTTCCAAAAGAAAATCAAGTAAATAGGCGGGTATTCTTCCTAAATAATATATAAACAGACTAAGAAATTCAAAGTTTAACTAAAGTTACCTGAGGTATACCCATTATGTTGAAGCAAGCTTCTATTTGTTGAGCAACCAGTGGTTTAGTAGGAGCCATAAATACTATTTTCCCCTAGATAAATATTATATTGCTGAAGTAGAAACCAAAACAGAAGATTAAATGTCGCCTTCAACCTGTCTAAGTCTAGTTATGATAAAATGTGTAAGTTTTTTTCTAAAAATGTGCTCTGAGAAAAGTTCTACTTCAAGCTATTTATCAAATCTAGTCCGAGAACATATATCAGGATAATAAGAAATAACAAAATCCTTAATCAAATTTCGAAAAATTGAAAGAACAAAAACTGCCATTATTCCAGAGTTTATGGTTTCTTTCTGTAATAAAACTAAATATTTTCTGTTGTTTAATATGGTACCACCCACTACCCTTTTAGTGTTTGCTTTACTAATCATCTATTATGATACATCTATTTTGGATGTTTTATCCATTTTCTATAAGAATTCAGGTAAATAATATCTAAAACTTCCTAAACAATAATTTGTATAGATAAGACTAAACCATGAAAAATATTGTTTTGTATTTGGGTAGAAGTATTAACACATTCATAAGAACAAGTCGTCTGCCCCCCCCCCCCCCCAAGATATATTGAATATAATAACTAAGCAACTTTGCATATTTACAAAACGGGGGCCAGAGGGGGGGGGGGAAAGAATGATTACCTGTGGATACCATCTATAGAAGTTATACATCACTACTGCAGCGATAAATGTTTTACCTAAATATTACAATTGAACAATAAAAAGCTAAAAGGAATTGAGTCTTTGCCACAAAACCAAAATTTATGATTCTTTTGATATTTCAAACTTGATCTAACAGAATTCATAGAATTCATAGAATTCATTTGTTTTTAATCTTTGTGAAGAAACAATCTCAAGAACTGACGAGGGTCAACCCAGACCGAAATATATTTTCAATAAATGTGGAACTAACATCTACTTTTTTACTCTACAGAGGTTTGGTCCATCGCCATCACTGAATTTTAAATTCATAGTTAGAAACAAGGTACTAATGCAAGGAAAGTTAGTTGCGGTCGCTTATACTCTGCGTACAAATTGAAACCAGTTTTCTCTGGGCGGACTTTGTAAACAAGAAAAGATGCATCAGTGTTCGTTTAGTATCCGAAGAGGTTAAAAGCAATTAATTTTGTTATTCTTGAAAATTCACATAATAGCTTCCTATGACCAGAATATTCCATTATTATTTTTGTGAAAATGGATTCCATGTCAGGCTGTGACATCCGTCTTGTGTTTACTTTTCCGCCCAAAGACAGTACACTGCAGTACAAAAAATGCGTACACTTCTGAAATAACTTTCCTTGCATTTGTACCTTGGTAAGAAATATCTAAGGTCTACGAAATTGAGTTGCAGAAATAACGCGAGTAAAAATCTGAGTTTGTGGCAGAAGAACAAAAGAATCAAGATCATACGGAATTACGGAATTTACAACCAAGAATAAGGATGTCATAACATTAGCAAAGATTGTATGCTTGAAAAACGTACAACTGGATACTTTAGTTTAAGGATAATTACCAAGTCCAGTGGGCAGGCAGACCAATGTATTCTTGAATAAACAGGATTGAACGATATCATACTGGTAGGACCTAAACACATTCAGGATAAAGACTTGTTTTTAGATCATAGTTGAGAAGAACCAATGTGTGAAGAATTAATGCTAGATAAGTGAATGATATATTTTACTGAGTATCTAAGGTATAACATACAACTTTAAGAGACGGGGTTAGCTTTGATTTTTATCTTTAAAATTAAAATGGAAAAAGTTAATAAAAATAAAAATAGGACACCAAAAAAATATTAATTATTCCTCTATGATTAACAACAAATTTGTAAAAGGTAAGTTTTTTTCTAAAATACAAATACAAATGTTTTAACCTGAAGGATTTATTAGTAGGATAAATCCATGTGGCGCCGGCGCTGACATCAAAGCCAGGTAAGCTTTCAAGTGCTGTGGTGCCTGTGCTGGGTTTACCAAAGCTCGTACTGGCGCCTGCAGGAGCATGAGAAGGTCCAGCTTTGTTTTGTTCTAAGATGGATTCATTTACAACTCGAGCAAACTCATCATCATCATCATCAAACTCATCTTTATCATCCTCCTTATCAGTTTTAATCTAAACAGAAGTTTTGTTGTGAATCTCGGAATCAATTTATACATACCTGCTCATTAATTTCATTGCTTTTTTACATCTGTCATAGCCTGTTGGGATAAATATAATTAAAGAATCAAGCATTTATCCTCGTAGTTAAGTGTCGACATTGGATATCGAGATCAAGATGGTGCATTTTAAAAAGCATAAATGGCGCCTCAGGGAAATTTTTTAAACTGGGTAATGGTATGGTAGCAATAGAAAAAAAAGTCGGGTTTGATAAATTGTCAGTACAGGAGCAAATTCATTTCCTATATTTTTTTTGGGGGGGGGGGGAGAATTTGTGAAATTTTTAAGTAGGTTTGACTGTTTGGAAAAAGTATTGAGTAATAAGCATTCTTTAATCACATTTGTTATGAAGTTGTGCGCGGAGCGCTAAAAAAATTTAACATGTTTTTTAGCTGCATTTTAAATAACTATTGGGGGAAATTATATATGAAAAGCTCTCTGATTTTATATATGTAGTTACGTGGATAAGTAGAGGTAAAGAGCTCCACCCCTTCCCTTCCCTATATTCCACTTTCCTTCACTTCTTTATCTACCAACCTTCCATAGATTCCCTATCTACCCTTCCTTCCTTTTACAACCTCCTTCTACTTCCCTTTCCTGTCCCTTCCGTAGTTCCCTATAATTCTCTTTCCCTCCCAACCTTCCCCGTCCTTACTTTTCCTCTTCCCTACCTATCTCCTTCCCTTTTCTCCACAGTTACTCTTCCCCTTTTCTTTTACTTTTTTTCTTCCTTTTATTTTCCCCCTACCTTTTTCCGTTTTTTTCTTCTCACCTTTCTTTTCCCTTTTCCTTTGTCTGTGCAAAATTTCCTTTTAAAATTGTTTTTCTCTGTAGATTTCTGCAGGGGAGCCATCGAAGGAAATGGACAAAATCTATCTCTGCCCAAAATGAACAACCACAAATTTTTGAACCTTTGTGAATCTGACATTACACTTTTTAAATAAAAGGTCTTTTTTATTTTGCTTCAACGGTCCCTTTAAACTTATTTTTAAAAAAGTTTACCTGACTGGCCTTGTTTCCTTCATATCCCCAGGTTTGAAAAAGAGTTGTTTGCCTGCCCTGGCTCGGCTTATATAGCGCTGAAAAACCCTTGGATTTATCCGTCATTATTCTTGAACAAACCAAATCATCTGAAATAATAATTACAATAAATAACTTTATTTAATCTGATCTATAATATATCACAATAGATTTGTTTGGAGATCAGTTGGTGAAAACAAAAATTTTACTATCAAGGGATTTTTGACATCCAAACTTAATCACAAACTTTTTGATCAATTTAAACCAATGACTAGAAATTTAGGAATTGGACTAAGACTCAAATTTCAACAATTTCGTGAATTTTTCAAATATTTCAAATAAAATATTGAATAAAATATTGAATAAAAATCAAATCAACACTTTAGAAAAGATGATCTGGATATTTATGCTTGATATCTCTAATATATTCAGTATTTGCTAAATACTCTGCAGCTGCTAATGTATCAACAGGTAGTTCATCATAAGCTGCTCTGGGTCTGGAAGCATCAATTCCACGATAAATGCTTGGAGCAGTAGAACCAGGAGCATCTAGGGGAGCAGACGGGAAACATTGTAAGAAATCCGAGTGTTGAGATTTGACATTGAAGCGAGCTGGATTAGAGTAGAGATAAAGTCGTTTTCTTCTACTCGGAGAAAAACTAAAAATAGGATCATCATCAATAGGAGCAGCTTTTATGTCTGGTAAACCCGAACCCTTACTCTGATTTGTCCAGATTTGTTGATTAAGGTGATGTAGAATTCTCTTAGATATATTCTCTTGATCAAGGCCTCTAGGCCTAAGATCACTTCCTAGATCTAGAAAACTAGACGTAAGATCATTTTCTTGATCACTGTCCCTGGACATGAAACCGTCAGGGTATCTTGGCATCAGATCATTTTCTATATCAAGATAGTTCGATTTTTCTTGATCAAGGGCTCTTGGACGTTTCTCTATTTCTCTGTATCTTGATTGCAGATGGTTGTCTTGATTGAAATATGGTGAAATTATATCAAGTTCTTGAGGCTGGTATCTGCGTCTAGTAACCTCCTCTGAATTCAAGAAACGTGGTCTTTCTTTGCTTAGAACATTGTCTTGGTCCGGGTATTTCAGTGTTATGTTAATTGCAGGGTTCTCATAGCTTGACCTGGCCGCGTTCTCTTGGTCGTTACAGTATGTTTGATGATTGTATCTTGTAAAGAAATCGTTCTTTTGAACCTCAAATCTGGGTCCAACACTCAGCTTTTGGTCCCTGTTGCCTGGCCTTAATCCAATTTCGTAAAGATTAAATCTCGGCATGATATCAGCATCTCCATCGTTGTACCTTGGCCTAAAACCAAGTTCAATATCCTTGAATCTTGGTTTCATGTCAAGTTTTTTATCATATGTTGGCCTAACATTAAGTCCTTGATCATTGTATTTTGACCTAACATTAAGTTCTTGATCATTGTATCTTGTTCTGATTTCAAGCTCTTGATCAATGTATCTTGGTCCGACATTAAGTTCTTGATCTTTGTATCTTGGTCTGACATCAAGTTCTTGATCTTTGTATCTTGGTCTGACATCAAGTTCTTGATCTTTGTATCTTGGTCTGACATCAAGTTCTTGATCTTTGTATCTTGGTCTGATTTCAAGTTCTTGATCTTTGAATCTTGGTCCGACTTCAACTTCTTGATCCTTGTATCTTGGCTTGGCATTAAGTTCTTGATCTTTGTATCTTGGTCTATTTTCAACTTTTTGATCCTTGTATCTTGGTCTGACATCAAGATCTTGATTCTCGTATCTTGGTCTGAATTCAACTTCTTGATCCCTGTATTTTGATCTGTAGAGATCCGAATCAGGAAACATATCAGGAATAATTTCATTGTTTACTTCTAATGCTCTGAGTTCTTTGTTTTCCCGTCTGGGTTTCCCCTAAAACAAAAATCGATTTAAAAAGTGAAAAAAGTTATATGTTGTTTTACAATTGAATCTATTTAATCTAACAATTCAATTAAAACAATAATGGGTTAAACTCTTATAAGTTCAAGCTCCCTAAAATCAAATGCGCTTTTTACCGCTCGAACCCCCCACCCCCTCCCCACCTCCCCAGGTACCTCAGATATTTGCAATTTCAGAGGATACACCTATTTTAACCAATACTCATGCAATGCTGACCTTGTTGATAATTCTATCTAGCTCCAACAACGGATTGCTCAGCTGCCTGCTGTTCTGAATCTAAATTCACGTAAAAATTGACGCTTTTTTTCGGAAAAATCTTATTTCCTTCTAGACCGTTTTCTCGAATTCTGACATTGACTCGCTTACAATGTTAAAAATAAGACCATTCATATATTGAAACATAAGATAAAAGAAATTATTTCTGTAATTTTACTGAAACTTTGAAATTTGTATGAAATCTTATGTTCACCTTTTCCTGATTGCTAGTAGCAGTTTCGACTCCAAATCTAGGTTTTTCATTTCTTTGAGTAGTTATGCTGCTTCTAGAAAATATATATTTAATTTAATACGAGAGCATTTGTGTTGGGGGNGTTATTAAAACCCCCTTTTTTAAAAGCATTTTGATACCTTTTTAATTATGTAATCTATTCGATCATATACACACTTCAATATTACAAGTATATAGATTATTACAAGTATATAGATTATTACAAGTATATAGATTATTTATGTAAATTTCTGAAGTGGACTCATCAGACACTCCCTATTAATACTACGTGGGGGGGGGGGCCGGGGGCACGTCCTTCCCCTCGTACTTCATGGTCACGGATATATATCTATTTTTAACTTTGATTATTTATGTTTAAGTTTTACATTATTTTTAAATATTTATATGATATCAGATGAAAATATTTTGAAATTTCTATATTTCTAGTAATAAATCTAAATATATATATTACTTTGCTGGTCTGTTTGTCTGTTTGCTTGTAACTGAAAAACGTCAAATCGACTGAACTGATCGGGCCTAACTATGTGTGGGACCTCACATGACCCCAGGAAGGTTAATGGATGCTCAACATTTCAGAAAGATGTCAATTTTCGTAAAATTTTGAAAAACCGCAAAAAAAATTGTAAATCCGCAAAGTTTTTATTTTGTTTTATCGAAGAGAAAATTCAGAAAGATTGAGCAACAATTAAAAGTTTTAAAAAATCCCCTGATCGCATTCATTTAAGAACGAATCACTAAACTTAAATAATCACTAACTAAAGAAATAATCACTAAACTTAAATTGTTTTATCACAAAATACATATATTTGCCTATTCTTTTTCTGCTTTTTCTTAGTTTTCTTGGATTAGAAAATATCTCAAGATTGTCATCAGAAACAGGGGCGCGAAGCGTCAAGGTTTTATTATCAATTGCTTTTTGCATTAGATCTGATAGACAAATTAGAAAAGTTAGATTGGTGAACAAGTTACCTTAAGCAGGCCTTAAGTCCACTGTAAGGATCCTGACTAGGTATATATTCATCAATATCACAAGACCAGAGAAGTTTGAACGGAGGACTTGTCTTCTCAGCCTTAAACAAAACAAGGAACAATTCCCCATTTTCTATTAAACTAAATTTTGTATTTAAAATGATTAAGGGGACTGACTGCCAGGGAAATTTCAAGTAAACTTCCATTTAAAGAGGGACATCATGGATTCACAACGTTACTCCTGAAACCTTTGACTGATCAGTGATCAAGGATGACAAACTTTTCCTAATTTATATAAAAGAAAAGCTTTTTAATGTTTTTTAATTTAAAGGATATTAATATTCAATTTAAAGAAAGGGCGGAATATAATATTCACATTTAAATTATTGAAAACCGCGTTGGATTTAGAATATGCTAGATTTTTCAGAAATTTAACTGACGTCATCCTTGTTGAGTTCCCACAGTAAGGTAGCGTACACTCCAATTTTAGGGCTTTTTACAGAGCATTAATGAGATAAATACATTGAGATCTCTGTCCTCGATGATTAAGGTTTAAAGGGTACCATTGTCTCTCTTTACATGAAATTACTCTTAGTCCCATATTATCAAAAATTTGAAGGGTTTTAAGGGCCCAATTATCTTGCTTATAGAATGTTAATAATACCTTGAGTAAGATTTGGTTAACAACAATTTTGGGCCGAGCACAGCGGCAAGGAAAGGCTGTAAAGGGCCGATCATTGTGGCTAGGAAATGCTACAAAGTGCCGAGCGCTGCGGCCGTGTAAAATTAGTCAATAGTAATAACTTGTTACAGCATTTTAGGGAACACTATTCACAGTTTACAAAATAAGTTATTGCTTCAGATAATTATCTTGATAATGAAGAAAAGTAGGTTGTTTGATTCAAAATAATGAATTTAGATTACAGTTCAGTTATTGAATGTTATTCTTGCATTTCTATACATTTTGTTCCATCATTTTAAGACGTAATTTTAATCCCTGTTTCTGGGGTCCAATATCTAGTTCAATGAAATGGAATTGATATATTTTATAAATTCAGTGCACAAACTTTATTTTGCCTTTGAGTGTAATCAGAAAAGAAGAATATTTTACAAGAAAGCAATTTACATGAATAATAATATAATTTAGTCTTATCAGGGAAAAAATGTAATAATTACATTTTTAGATTTTTACATTTTTTTCTTCCAGACAAAGATCTATACAATGTAACCCATAAATACTAGGAATAGGAAGACAGCTTTAATACTTAAATTTTAAATAATCCCACGAACACGAACAACAGCCATTGCGCAGTCTACACTAGGGTACCACAAAAAAGACCAAGTTGGAATATTTGTATGATTGAGACCGGAATGAAGTGACACAAAGTCATACATTACATATTCAGGGAAAAAAATTGAGATCGAACCACTTTTACCGTCTGTTATACTCTTCAGAAATATGCACGTAGACACAGTGCGCTTCAAGAACCTCTATGAGATAAGAAAAATCCCATGTAACTTTTTTTTAGATTCTGAAAAAGCTCATCAAGATGAACATTTTGCGAACTTTTTCCTAGGACGAATTTTCCTGCATTTTTCATATTTGCAAAGTAATGTTTTGTTGACACTTTTCAGCTCTTTATATAGAAACTTACTTTTAACATTTTGGAAAAAAACCCGTATTTAGATGTAGAATTTACTTTAAGATATTCTAATCCTTTATATACCCCATACTCCAGACCTTTCGCCTCATCATTTAATCTAGACCTTTCCTTATCCCTTATTCTAATCCTTTATATACTCAATACTCCTTTCCCCATATCATTTACTTTAGACCTTTCCCCTTATCATTTACTCTAGACCTTACCCCTTATCATTTACTCTAGACCTTTTCCCCTATCATTTACTTTAGACCTTTTCCCTTATTTTTTACTCTAGACCTTTCCCCTGATAATTTACTGTAGACCTTCCCCTTATCATTTTCTATAGACCTTTCCTATTATCATTTACTCTAGACCTGTCCCCTGATCATTTACTATAGGCCTTTCCCCTGATCATTAACTATAGACCTTTTCCCTGATCATTTACTATATACCTTCCCCTTATCATTTACTCTAGAACTTTCCCCTGATCATTTACTATAGGCCTTTCCCCTTATCCTATACTCTAGTCCTTTCCATACCCTTTACTAAAGACTAATCACCTTATCCTTTTCTTATCTCTTAGAGGCTTTTTCAAGCACACTGTGAAGGCTCAAAAAAATATTTCTTGAATTTATCATTCCTTCGTAATTGTCTAAAAAGATTAAATCCATTGAAATTTTGGAAAAATTTACAAATTGACTGAATTAGGCCAAAAAAAACCGCAAAAAATGAGAGGAGAAACAAGTAAATTAGGATGAGAATGAGAGGAGAAGCAAGTAAATTAGGATGAGAATGAGAGAAGAAGCAAGTAAATTAGGATGAGAATGAGAGGAGAAACAAGTAAATTAGGATGCGAATGAGAGGAGAAGCAAGTAAATTAGGATTAGAATGAGAGGAGATGCAAGTAAATTAGGATGAGAATGAGAGGAGAAGCAAGTAAATTAGTATGAGAATGAGAGGAGAAACAAGTAAATTAGGATGAGAATGATAGGAGAAACAGGATAAATACACATTTAAAATCTAAAAATATATAATTATGGCATTTAGTTTTTTACTTATTTTCATTGGGATGGGTTTCCTTGTTTGTTTAAGCTTTTTAAAAACTCATTATTTAGCAAAAAACAATATTCTCAAAAAATTATGAATGATTTTTGATGGTCAATTGAATCAACAATCAACCTAATATTATTTAGAATGCAGAAAACTAACTTCATTTTGACGAGATTCTTGTTGGAAAATGTTCATGCAATATTTGCTAAACTTAGTCAAAAAAAAGTGTATTTCCAGGCTAAAAATCCGTACAATTAGAAAAAAAATCTGTAGAAACGGTACAATCCGTGCAATTTTAGAGTTAAAAAACCGTACAATCCGTACATTTTGGCCACTTTGTAAAATGTAATCTTCCAATTTCACAGTTATTTGGGTTTCAATATTAACATGTGTGAGGATAATATTGAATAATTACCTGCTTTTTCTTGGCTATTTTTTCTTGGACAAATTCTTCACCCAAGTCTGTTGTAACGAAATAAAGATGTTTTAGTTTAAGGAAAAAATGGGGGTAAAAGTGAGAATAAACTCTTTTATAATCCACTTTTGAAAACAGTAATTATTTTTTTAAATCCAACAATGAAGACATGAAAATTCGCAAATTTACGAATTAGATGGCTCGCAAATAGATGAAAAACAAAAAGCTTAGATAACGTTTCTTTTTCTATTTTCCTTGTGATCCCGTCCCCTCGACTATTTTAGTTATGCTCTGCTCTGTTTCTTTCTTTCTATCATCTCCTTTTACATCCTTCAAGTCATTTCCGCTCTTCTCTCCGACGTCCATGTTGGTGTCGCCATTTTTTCCGCTCAATTCTTCGGTATTTTGCTTATTCCTCTTATCTCTGTTTTCCTCTCCGACTATTTCTTTGTTCTCTCCAACTATTCCAGGTAATTCATCATTTTGTCTAGTCTTTTCAGGACTTAACTTCCTGAAAATTCAAACAAATGCCGTAACGTGGTCAGCATATACATCAATACAAATCGTTTACTGAAAAGGCGATTTAATACAGCGGCCGACTTATATTTCTATACAGTGTCAAGTACAGAAATGCTACAAGAGTGGTTAGTGTATATACCAATGAAATACCAGTTACTGAAATAGTATAATATGTATATGTATTGTATTATATCATCATTACAGTATATAACCGACACTGTATTTGTAAATATGCTGACCACTGTTTTAGCCGCCTGATATTGCACACACAAAAATTAAGTCATTTTCAATATTGCGCTTGTGGAACTTTTGTCCTATTTTGACTTTAAACTTAAACAACTTCCATAAAATTTCAATCTTCTTTCTTTTTTCTGTTTCTTTACTACCAACGTTTTCTATTTCTTCCAATTTGTCCTATAACTTTTTATCTAATATGTAATATGTTATTTTCAATTCTAAATATATTTTCTTTTCAAATTGTAATTTTTTTAATTATATTTTCTTTTCCTTTCCTTTCTATCCTTTTTTCTTTTAAGAAAAATAACTAGGTTTTTAAAATCAAATTTTTTCTTCAAAGAATTTGCATGATAAAGTTTAAAGGCAGTTTGGTCTTTTCCTATCCTGCTCAATTCATCGTACTTCATCAGAACCCCCCTCCCCCCTCACACGCTCCTAAAATGACCTACCTTGATTTCTCCGGGATAATGGCCGTTTCTACATTCTTTTTTGACAGGCTTAGAGGTTTGCTGGCCGATTTTCCACCCTGCTTCACTCGTCTCATACTTATCATGTTGCCCTCAGGACCATCTAGATAAATTTAGGTAAAGGTAAAATGTGTTATCTACCTTAATTAATATAATATTGTTGGATTTTTAAAAAATTCGAAATTGAAATGAATAGTCTAGGGAACATACTGTATTAATGTACTCTACTGCACATAATTTCTGAAAATTTACATAATTTGTACACTTTGAACTCCCTTTCAGGCTGAAAGGGACTGACAAAATTCATACCGAGAGATTCTTGAAATTCCCCTCTAATATATATTCTATTCTCTATGGCAGTAACTAACCTGGGAATTTGTCTGAATTGAACAATTTTCTTTTTGCTCCTTTATTAAGTTTAGCAGTTCTCTCTGTATCCTCCTCCTCTCTTTTATTCAAAGATTCAATAGTATGATTCTCTTCTTCAAAATCTTATCAATTGATTATAAAATCTTTTCAAATAGCTTTTAATAAATTCAATCAGCGGACAAGGAATATGATAAAGGACCGCAAACCAGTTGCCTACCGCCCTCAGAAGAGAATGGAACTCTCTTATCGCGGTCCTGGCTTTACAGTTTGGTGGAGCGCTGAGTTTAGTTGCGCATCTTGTATCCCACAGGGGAAATAGGGAAAATACATAGAATAAAACAAGATTTCATCTTCAGTCTGGTGTAACTGAAAGAAGGAGTCAAATCCCCATTTTGCAAAAGGCATGCAGTTATGGGTTTCCTTATTGCCCCTTAACTCCGAAATAGTATAATAGACGGAACACAGGGAACAATCCCCTATACCCTTCCTCCTACAAACCTCCTTATCTCTCTCCTACCTGCTCCACAACTTGATGTCACAAGAACTATTTGGAGAGTCCTCAAAGCGTAGAAACAAGAAACAAGAAGAAAAAAGAAAATCGAACAGGAAAAGGAAAAAAATGGAAGGGAATCTCTAATGTCAAGCTGCAAACTGTCATATCTTCAAACAGCAAATGTAGACAACATTATGGAGAGGAAGGAGACGTCCTCTCCCCCCTTCTAATTATTCTACTGTAAGTAAAAATCCTAGAAAAATTTTGCTAAGATTGCATAACATATGTGCAAACATTCCAGAGTCAAGAAAAAAGAAAAGCAAACCAGCTTAGCACATATCAAAAAAAGAGTTCAGAAAAAAGAAAAACCCTTTAAAAATAGTTCTTTCTTGTAGAGTGGCGTCCTACAATGATATCCAAAAAAATAATTCTTTTATTTTTTCTCAAAATTAGCAAAAATATGATTGAAAGATGTGAGAAGAACAAGAAAAGAAACGCCAAAATGATTCCATCTGATATTATTTAAATTTTTAAAGAATAATGTAAAATTTTAAATTCAAAATAAACTATTAAAGTTAAAAATAGGACCGCAAACATATAAAAGCTACATTCACAACAGTACCCTATATACCTTTTCTTAAGTAAAAGGAGAAAGACAACAACATTTTTCTATTTGAAAAAAAATTCTATTTCCTTCACTTATGTTTTGTGAATCTGCTATTTAAAACTTTAATGTACATTAAAAATACCTTTAAATGAAAAAACTTCAAAATGTGAAGATCTTAATATATTTATTTTCATAATAAGATTTCCTTGGGTTCTTTTCCCGTGAGTTGAGTAATCAATTGGTTCCAAATCTTCGTTCAAGTCTCCCGACCTGTTTCCACTGTTCAAGTCTCCAGTCCTCTCCGCCATTTTTTCTGAAGCATCAGGTTCTCTTTCTTCTACATCCTCATAGAAGTTACAAGTTTCTACCAAAACAGCAATATCAAAAATTGTTTTTTATTTTTATTAATGCAAGACAAAAAGTAATAATAAACCGAAAATTTATGAATAAAGGGAATGAATCAGATTAAATTTAAGGAGTACTAGCTTGGGAATCCAGCAATGCCCAGGTTCTAAAAGTTATTACCACAGTTTAACCACACTTAAAACAATTTTACCGGAACACTAATTTTTTGCTATCAAAGTCTTCCCACTCAACTTAGAATCTCAAAACCAAGCTAATAACATTCCCGTGGGTCTCCCAAATTTGAGGCAAATTGGTCCAGGGGTTCTTGAGTTATGATCGGACAAACAAACAAACAGAGGTTACAACTTTATATATATAGATGATAAAATTAATATTTAATAAACATGATAACATTTCACTAAAAATTTATAAATAAAGTTGTAATGCTGTTCCTTTGCTCACGGATGTTGCTCGATCCTTTCTCCTCATTCTGCTCACACCTTCTCCGTTCTCTCCTTTATCTTTATCTCTTCTCCTCATTCTGCTCACACTTTCTTCTCCGTTCTTTCCTTTACCTTTATCTTCATCTATCTCAAGCATTTGATTCAAAATATTTAGAGGATTCTGGTGGCCTTGACTGTTCATGCTAAAATTACACTTAGCTGTAAACTTATAAATGAATCCTTTAATTGCAGAAAATAAAATCGCTCACTCCTCAACGGTTAATAGATTTTAGCAATAAGTAATTGGATGGAGACTGAGAGTTGAGTTTAAATCATCCCGGTTATTAAAAACGCTCTAGCTTAGATTAATCAAAATACAAAAATAACAATTTAGAAAAATTGACAAAATAGTTATTATCTTACAATTCTAGGGTGTGGTTCACTTTGCATCAAAATAACTAGACATCAATTTTGAATCAATTAATTTAAAAGTTTCAGGGTAGAGGCAAGCCCTTTCATTCTAGGCTTCTGCCACTTGAATCTTTTTTACCACTTAAAGACTTTATTTAAAACAGTGAACGCAATTTAACCAGCATATAGCGACATAATTAGGTCGTCATTTAAGTCTTATTCTTAATGATAACCCTGTACCTAAGGATAGTATTGACATCACCCTTAAGAAGAGCATCATGTTCAAGAACAGCACTCTCTCGGTTCAATTTATCTACATCAGGTATTAATTAGAAAATATTTTATTTTTCAAAAAGATTTATAGCCAGGTTTAGATGTTAGATTTTCGAGATCCAGATGTTGGTCAAAATTTCCAATGACTATTTTTTCCTGTTCAAGAAGTACTAGCTGGTTACTAGAAAAGAAGCTGTTAAATGTTGCTTTAGTGAAATTTTAGCCTAGAAATGACCATGGCCAGAGGTCATGAGAGTTGCCAAAAAATTTGAGGCCTAACGTTTCAGTCGTTTTGACGTTTATGAGATACAAACAAACACAAAAATATAATGTATAAAAAACCTTTATTTCAAATTCGTGATTGTATGATATTAAAACAAAGTGTTTATTTTAGATTATTTTCCTTAACTTTACATCCTTGATTTTTAGGGACAACACATTTTTTCAATTGTAGCCTACATTTTTGTGAAAAAATTGTAAAAACCGCCAAATTTCGTGGAACCTAAAATGACCAAGGTTTATGACAAAATTTAAAAATAAAACTTTGATTTTCATCAATTTTAAAGTTTACTAATACCAGCAACTTTCTCGCAGGGAAAGCAACATCAAAAAATCCAAAACGTTTAGAGGAAAGGAATCCGAGTACTTTTAGAATTTGAAATGTTATACCAATATGCCAAAAACTTACATTTTTTAGGTTTCTTGGGAAACGACATAATTAATTACCTTTGCTCATGGGCTTTCCACATCTTCCTTGTCCAATCATTGAGTGCTTCAGTCGATACGGGAGTGTTATCCTATACAGTGCACATTTTACTATAGTGTACAGTGTACATACAATGCACACTGTACAAGATACATTGTTCAGTATGTACAGTATACACTATACATAGTGTGAAAAGTATTCTTCTGTTAATAATTATCCCTTCGGTCAGGAGCGATTACAAGAATTGGTGTGCGGTCATAATTAATTTACGATCTAGCCGGCCTTAATATATGAATTGTACAATAACATAAGTTTTTAAATCTTTAATGCATACTGTAAAGCAACATCGTGCACATTTTTTACGGCCCAGCATAATAATATAAATATCCTGTGAAAGTTTTTATGTAGAAAATTCAATTCAATTCAATCATACATAGAACATAAAACATAGTCTTGTTCATTTAATATCTGCAAAATATGTTATGTGAACACTGTAATGAGGTCGGATGAGTCGGATCTTACAAACAGTGAGGAGTAGTTTAACTACTTCTCTAAGTTTAAAAATAGTCGATTAATTTCTATGACAATATAAATGAAATTTTTTTTACATTACAGTTAAAGTTTTGCTTTCAAATATATGTACTTTATTGTATAGCTAATACGTAATATAAAATGTAAATATATTAAAACCCAAGTTACCTTTCGGGTCCAATATTATTCCCTCTCAACTTATACCCCAGTTCTCGTGCCCTAGCCAGTTTATTGGGTAGATTTAGAGGGTTTTAGATATCAAAAATTAAATAACTACGCAGAAAAAAAGGAGGACATATTTTCAGACCGAGGTTTCAGTTAAAAATTAAGAAAATTCAAAACTGTGTACTACGATAAGCAAGTTTATTCTTGTCTTAAGTATTTAGGTCACCCAATTGGTAAAAAAGACGATAGAAGAAATACAGCGTTTAGAGAATTTATTATTATTGAGAAAAAATGAAAAATATCCTTTACTAGATAACCTAGTAAAAAATCCCACTAAAAACTGGAGAATTGGGCGTTGAAATTGAAATTTAGTAAATATATTTTGAAAAATAAGAAGTAGTCTCTTTAAACGATGAAAATAATGTCATACATTAAATGCTTTTAAAAAGTTAAATCGACTGGCAGCAACCTATCCCTGATAAGCTCTTTACAGAGTACAGGCCGGAACAACTTCCGGTTTTCTTTCTTTTCTGCTTCCGCCTCAGCATCCTTGATGAACCGTTTAGCTGCCTTCACACCATGCCTAGATTCAGTCAAGTTCCATTCTACATTTTGTTCAGAAATCTTTACTTTTGTTAAAAATTATAATTTAATAAGAAGAAACTCCTTAGTTCATGCCTAATTCCACGCTTTTTGGGACTTAAGTCCATCTGAAAACATAAAATACTAGAGACTGTTTTATTACGAGCAAATGTTTTATTACGAGATTTGAACAGCAACCAAAACAAAAACATGATGTATTGTACACTGTGCACTCTGTACACTGTACAAAATAATATTTACAGTTGAATTCATGTAACATGTCTACTCAATACAGAGAACACAGATAAAAATACTAAATTTTTCTACATATTATTACAAAATAATCGAAAATAAATTTGATCTTCTCAAATAAAAGTTTTTTTTCCATTTTCTTGGAAAATGGTGGATTTCACAGATTCTTGAACTCGTGGATTTCTTAGAATTTAGATACTCAGATTTTCTTCATTTTTGGTGAATTTAGTCTCATACATTACATGTCGAACACCTTCTTTGCCTTCCTAACCCGGCCGGACTGTGATACTCCCTTCATGTAGTCCGGGGTCTCCTCCTACAAAAATAATAATTAAATATATTTTTTTTTTGGAAACAAGTATTTAATAAAAAAGACGGGAATGAGTTCAGCTGACATGAATGCTATGAACTAAACGAAGAACATGATTTCAAATAAAACCATCAAAATTCAGGGGTGAATTTTATTAAAGAATAATTATGAAGATCTGAGGGAAAAATAAAAATTTGAACAACAAAATGCAAATTTTCTAATTCTTATTCATACATTCCCCCCAAAACTCATTGTTTGTCCCAATTGAGCGAGTAATCCACTAAAAAAATTAAATACAAAACTTCTGCGGGAAAAATGTTCATTAATATGGGGGGAGAGGGATTTTTCAAGAAAATATACACCCGTTTGAAAATTTTCAGATTGAAATATAGGTTAAGTTTGCATAACAATAATGCTAATTATGCTCCAATCACAAAGATATCTAAAATATGTTAACGTTTTAGTTTAGTTTAAGAATTATTTTAGTTCCATGCAGAAAGTTGTATATTAAAGTGGCAAGCTTTACAATATGAACAATATACAAAAGACATATATTGCAATTCTAGTTTTACAACGTCAACTGACGAGGATAAAAAAGATTTAGATTAATCCCTAAAAAATGCATGCAATGAGACTAATTACGAAGATAAATCGCTATTTTAAGTTCCAAGTCTCAGCGTCTCAAAGTATAGATCAAAAGTCTTTAAATTTAATTGTCGAAATACATTATTAATATCTAAATATATAGAATTTTAATCTCTGTTTGTATGTCCTATCATAACTTATTAACCCTTCGACCGATTTGCCTCAAAATTTGATTGCGGAACTCGGGAGAACTAAAGAGCCAAAGTTGAGTGGATTGCCTTTCATAGCAAAAACTAAGTTTCCCGGTAAAATCGACTAAGTGCGGGTAAACGGTGGGAGTAACTATGAGTTTCCTGGGCAAAGCTGGGTTTCCCAGCTAGTATTATTATATTACTCAACTAGGTTAATGCTAAGTTTTTGTAGAAGTGGCTTACTGGTCTTTAAGTAGGACGCTTAAAAAAACAAATTGGTCATTAGACAAATCTTAATAAACTCTTAAAAAAGCGGCCTCTAAATACAAAAAATAGAAATTTATCAAAAAATCCATCTCCCAGAATCTGGACCTGGTTCTCATCCTGGCTGTTCTCCCCGTTCATGTGCACCTTGGCGTGCTTCTTAAACATGACCTAGAACCAGGCACGAGTAGAGTGCGCAATGTAAAAAAACTCAGAAATCTAATCTTAAATAAACCAAAAAAACATTTTTTACATATTTTTTAAATCCCGAAATTAAATTTAAATCCGAACGTACGCAATTAAGAGATGATGCATATAATGCTTTAATGCAACGTTGTGTTATCTAAATTTGACTAAAACTGTCCTTTCAAACAATATTAGAAATAAAATATTTACAGAATTGACCGAGAAACCTATCCCAAAAGTTTAGCCTCAACTATTGTTTGATTTGTGCAAATTAATCGTATAACATGTCCCACCTGAATAGTTGTTTAATTAACTACTTCTCTAAGTNCGGTTTGCCACACCATTTACATATAAAAGGATATTCATCACTAAACTCAGCAGTATTCTTAGTTAGATCAGAGGAGACTGAATTTAAAGAATTTGAGCAGAGTCTAACATTTGAAACGCGGCTCAAACATGGCTTTTTTTTAATTTAAAATTATATAAAGTTTTTAATAATTTGAGCCGGCGCTCAATTAGAACCGGTTTTCGGCCGTTCAGCAACGCAGTAAAAATTCTGCCTGAGTAAATATATTTCCTCAAAAGACAAAAAAACCGGGAGAAAACAAAGGTTTTAAACCCCCCTTCACCCTCTATTTGCTTGAACAGAAAGTAGTTTTCTAAGGGGGGGGTAGGGGGGGGTTAAAAAACAACAACAACTTTTAAATGGAAGCTCTATTTTTGAAAACCCTTTAAAAATTGCTTTCCTATGTATCTTCATGTGGTTTAGTAGAGTAGTTTTTCGAACAAATGCTGTTTAACAGATTTCACATGCAAAGACTTCCTTTTACATAACATAAATGGTTTACGTAAGCGTATTTTTCTACTTTAAGTTCTACGATAAAATATAGAAAAAAGATAGATAAAGAAGAATTCTAATCTACACATTACACAAAAATGTTTTCAAATTACAGCAAACTTCACTAAAGTTTGGGGAGCATATTTTCTAAAATTAATTCCTTATAAATTTAATGTTGAGGCACATTAAAATCGCATTAAAAGGTGAATTGGCAAGAGGACGAATAATTTTTAAATATAGATCTCACTACTATATGATGGTACAAACAATAACAAATTTTTCATAAGTCTCTATCTAGCAAACGCAGAAAGTCCTAAAAGTCACGTTACAAGCCGAAGCGGAAAACTTTTGATTATCATAGATAGATAAAATCGGTGAAAACTCTTGTCTCTCATTGGCCATCAGGGTTGGCCAATGAGAATGAGATGGACGAAAAAAAACATTCGAATGGATTTAAATAAGCCCCGCAATAGGAAAATCAACTAATGATTTTGAACTAAATTCTACTTTTTTCACAGCTGCGATAAAATAGGAGAATATTTCTTGGAAAATATTTACCCCTGAATTTGATTTCTATGATTTTGAAAGAGAGTATTTTACCTTGTACTCGGGACTAGAATTAATCTTCGTCCGCTTAGATTTACTTTCCTCTTCTTCCCTTTTCCTTTTCTCAGGGTTCTTAGGGGTCTTAGGGGTCCCAGAACTAGAATAAATAATGAAATATACTTAACTTTCATTTAGTTTTGTATTGGATACTCTTAATCCTGATCGCTTAATCTAAATATCCACTGTGGACAATTTAATTTTGAGGATCAATGCTCGATATCACTTCAATTAAGTTACTCATCAAAACTTCCTTCAACCACTGACTAGATACAACTACCATGCAGCCGATGCAGGGTATCAAATAAAATTAATTTGCATATTAACAAAAGATCGTGATCAAGCATTAATCTCGATATCCACAGTCAAGTTCTCAGCTCAGAGCTGAACACTTCAGAATTGTGGATATTGAGATCAATACTTGATCTCCTCTTTTCGTTAATCTCATTTTTAGGTGGTATTCAGAAGTGTATACAATACAACCAATAGAGTGACGTATGCAGAATCCTGAACGGCCAATCAGAAACCGGGAAATTTGAAATTTTACGCCACATTTAATGAGAGAAACTCTCAAATGTCAGAATATGGTCCGGTAGGAAACTCCTAAAAGCTGATTAAGCAGGAAAAGTGTCCACATGGGAAATTCTGATTAAGTGATCAAATCCAATTCTTAATTTCCCAGTTCAGATTGGACCAGGCCTGAAATACTGTTAAAACGTTTCCATTATTTATTCGAAAAAGGGGATAAAATTTAATGAATAGCAAAACTGTATCCAAGAACTTACTTCTTTATTAGTTTAGGCACTTAATTAGTTTATGCAGATTGTTAAATGGTTCGCATTTAGATATATTAAAATGTATTGTTAGGTTTTATTCTTTAAACAATTTTCTTTTTCTTTAATGGTCCGTCTTGAAAATATCTTAGATAACTTACATTTTAAAACTGGAGGAGGTAGGTTTAGGTAAAATTTTAGACAATTTCATCGGACTTCGTTCTCCAGTCTTCTCCTTCTCCTCATCCTCGGCCTCCTCAAGGTCGAGGTCAAGGTCAAGGTCAAGGTCGAGGGAGGTCAGGTGAGAGAGATCCTCCTGCTCTTTCTTAGGTCGACCTCGATTCTTCTTGAAGCTAGAAATGGCGGTACTACTGAAAAATAGATTTAACTTAATAAAAAAATCTTATTCAAAATTAAACACAAAAACTGTTAACGACATTAAATATTGGTGTGGATATTATAACAGAGATGTCTTCAGATTTCTAGGAGGAAGACAAAAAAGTAAAAATATTCAATAAAAAGTTGTTGACGGAGAAAACTTACTTTGGAGAATCCAGGGTGGCATCAAGAACCCGGGGAACTATAGGCTTTTTCTTTAAACTAGGTGTGGGTAGGAATCTGAAGAAAAAATATATAAAAATAAATAAAATTCAAAGCTAACGGAAAAAAGGTAAAATTTTTAATCATTCTCCACCACTCGATTGGTTGTCCCAGTAACAAGAATGAGTTCAAATAGAAAAGTTCCTAACTGCGAGAATTTTGTTTGTGTGTTCTAATTTTCAATCCAGGCCAAATCAACTACATGATTGGATCAATAACAGAAATAAACCTACTCAGCATGCATTTCATAAATTACAAGTAAACCAACCAGAAATGGTTAAAAATTTATATAGTTTCATTGTATTGTTTAATCTTGACCTCTCTGGAAATCTCGAGAAAAAATTTCAATCTGTTTACTTTGTAAGCTGTTGAGGTGTAGGAGTAGTTTTAGTAGATGTAGTTGCATCATTTGCAGGAGTTGGAAGGACAGGGATACTTGATCCATCTTCAAGATCAGTTTCATCCTAGACAGTAGATAGATAAATATATATTTATCACTGAAGCACATAATTCTACATAAACAAATACTTTAATAACGAAATATGCCGAGCAACATTGGCCGCCTTCAATGGCAAATCCTGAAGTTATTGTAGGACACATTTTTACACCATAACAATTGGAGGTGTTTCGTCCAATATGTGGGAAGACAGTAATAGGAAGGAGACTGATCAATTTCAAACCACTAGCTTGGTTATTTGGCTCTAACCAAAATATAAATGGAAATTAGATCGTAGTTCAATTGCAAATCAGTTTAGGGCTTTTTTTCTCCAAGATTTACTTCAATAACTTAATTAAACTGAAACATTGCGGTAATTCGATTTATTAAGAATGTAACAAGGCTGTTAATTATTAATTAGTTACCTTGAATAGTTGGACAGTAGCAGGTTTGATTTCAGATTCAACTTGACTAATATCAAGAGAGCTGGAGATCTTAACCTCCTCCTCTTCTTCTCCGCCCTCAGCCACCTCCTCATCATCCTCCTCAAACAACTTCTTCATCTCTCCCTCCAGCTTATCCTCCGCAGCCTTGTCCTCATCCGCCTTCAGCTTAACCGCCTTTTCTTCTTCCGCCTTCAGCATGTTCGCCTTTTCTACCTCCGTCTTTAACTTATCCGCCTTCTCTTCTTCAGCCTTAAGCTTATTTGCCGTCTTTACTTTCGTCTTTTCTTGCTGAACCTTCTCCTGGTTCGAAGATGCCTTCTCCTCAGGTTTAATATCAGCTCTTGACATCTCAACCTTTTCTCCGACATTGGTCACAATGGTTCCTGAAATAATCAAAAAAATTGAATCAGAAATAAAATGAAAATTTCTGGTTGACTCTGAAACTAGCATTGAAATCAAATCAAGCATTTAGAAAATTTTAACAAATTAAAATGAAGAAACATAAAATATCATGAGAACTTCATTTATTAGTTTACAATCATGAACTGAACATTTCAGAATTAAATTACCTTTAGGAAGATTATATAAATCATTGAGCTTGTTGTTCTGAGAGCACTTTAGGGAGTTGTCCGTGAACTCGTCCTGAAGGGTATACATCTCGTCCTTCTCCTCGTCCTTGTTTACAGGATCAGAGTTACTGATAAAGTTGGCGATATCCTCAAGAGTCTCAGCATCTTCATCGTCGTCGTCGATCTCGATCACCTTGTCGGTGGATTTAGACGAATCGGCCGTCTTGTTTTCGGCGGCGGCTTTGGAGGCTTGAAGCGCCGCTCTCATTGCGGCGATTTTTTCCTGGCTTGATTCCGGTTTATCTGAGCGAAACAGTTTCTCCTGAACGGAGTTCTGCTTCAAAGATCTAAACAAATAGATTTATTATATTTAATTACCGTTAATTTTTACGGTAATTAGGGATAAAAAAACATTTACCAACGGTTTTCTTTACAATATAATATTAATCATGGGTACATGTAGCAATAAAAAAGATAGTCTTAAATTTGTAATGACTTAAATGATTTTTAGCGATATAAAGCGAAATATAGATATTCTTCTATATTAAGCATTACATTAATTACAAATATTAAAATAATCGGTATATTTTTTAGTTTTGTTTTTGTTTTTATGGTTTTGGCCATAATGTAACATTGAAGTTTTTACTAAATGAATTTACTTGATAGATGAAATGTTTTCGTGTATAGAAATGCTTGGTCTAATAGGAGAACTAATGCTTGTTGGATCCCTCACAGGAATTATTCGTCTGCACATGAGATTTCATTTTTATTTTATAAGAATATTAAAGGAACTGTAGGCGTATTTTCAAGAAACACTCAACTGAAAGAGATGCATAAGAGGTTTACAGTGGTATAAAGGCCAATTCACATAATTACTGTGTTATTTTTTCCATGGAAATGAAATATTGATATTCCATTGTTTTCCTTTACTTTTTGGAATAGAACCAGTTCGAACCAAGAATTGAGCTGAGATAGCTAGAGTAAAAAAATGAAGTTATATTTCGTTTTGAATAGTATAAATGAAACCGTTCCTATTGGCTGTTATCTTGACAAGCTTCTGTGAGGGAGGAGTGGGTCGAACTGTATTCTGTACCAAGTTGCTGGTGGGAGTAGGTCCCTTCATGCCCAGTATACCCCTACTGAGGGGGGTTGGAGCCCCTTGCGCCCCCCTACCCATAATCTTGTTAGGCTGAGGACGAGGGGGCACAGGTTTGGGGATAGATGGTCGAACCGTGACCGGTGTTATCTGAAGCTTTGGCGGAGGGGTTTTGGGTTTCGGAGGTCGGAGGGTAACTTTAACTTCGATCTGGGGGAGTTTAGATGCGCTCACATTCTGAAATGGTTTTATCAGTTATTTGGGGCACAACAACTACTGGAACCCATTTATTTGTGCATTATTTAAAATACATTGGTTTCATTTATACTTCTGAGGTTCTAAGACCGAACAGCCTTTTTTAAAAGCTCATTAAAACATGGACTCCCACGAACTCGCTTATTATCCCAGACTGAAAAATAAAAACTTTAAAATGGGGAGCCGTCAAAAGCCATGGTAATATTACAAATGCAATCATTTTCTCTGGATGGATTTCCCTGACATCCCCAAGATAAAAGCCGGGGGGTGTACATTTTCTGGAAAAATGATGGAACCCCCCCCCCCCTCTTTGGAAAATAATTTTTTTCCCTCGGATCTATTTCATGGTTTTTTTGGCAAAATAAATTATTTCTGGGTAAAAATTATCAAACATTTTGGCTTCCTGAATCCCGATCTGGATCCGCAAAAACATACAGATCCACGGATCCGGATCCAAGGGGCAAAATATCAACCAAAAACTGCAAACAAAAATATTTTGTTCTCAAAACCCAAATCTGAACTGTTGAAACAAAGAGAGAGGATCAAAAATGTTCCTTATCTCTGAATGGTTCCAAAAGTGTTAATTTAGCATAAAAATACCAGGAGAAGAAGAAGAAAAATACCAGAAGAAGAAGAAAAATACCAGAAGAAGAAGAAAAATAGTTTGAAAATTTCCTTGTTCTTTAAAAAAAACAGTTATCTTTTTATGTTCATGACCTGGGTCCTGGATCCAGATCCATTTTTTCTCACTTCCTATAATACACTGAACAACTTTTAATTATATCTACCTTAACTAAGAAGCCGGCTCTAGCGGTCACACAGTCAGGATCTGACCAGGCTCTGTTACTCACCTGGACAAACCAATTTATCAATTTATTGTCATCGGATTTAAATCCAAAGTTCAGATTTAAGAGAATAAGTTCAACTAGGTCTGTCTGGTTCAATAACTTGTCTAGCACATCAGGGATCAAATTAAACGAACGCCGGAACTTTACGAGTGTTGTTGTTGTTGTTTTAGTCTTAACATTTGTGTAAAGTTTAATGAAAGAACAAGAAGACAGTGATAACATAACCAAAAGAAATAATAATTAAGGAAAAACAATGACATCCACCAAAAAATAAATTGTCATTCGTGAAAACCAATCCATTCAGTATCAAGGCCTTGCCTTTAAGATTGTCTCAGAGAGTACTAGTTCAAGATGAAAAAAGTGGTTTAACCAAGTCGAAGCAATTCAAATGAAAATTGAGACGGAATTAAAAGAATTTGACTGAACTAAAACTGAAATATGACAACTGGCGCCACCCCACTCATAGAACCTTATCTAGGTTCTACTCACGGCTGCTGTCTCATCTCCTCCAACCCTCCAGGATGGCACCACTATATGTCTTTAAATTGTGATCTTTGCATTGTCCATGTCTCTTGTCCTTTCTTGTGTCATATCTATAGTGGTGTTTATATTCCAGATAAATGCCAAGAAGATCCTAAAGGCCTTCCTGTGTTATTATTGAATTGATTCCTGGATTCCGGATTGTGGATCCATCTCTCTCTCTCGATCTCCTGGATACCGATCCTGAGCGTTCTCGTTCTCCTGCAGTCCAAGACAGACCAGGCGGTTCATCTACTCCTTTCCTCCTTCTCTGTTCCTTTCCTAGACGTAGTCAGGCGACCCTCGCCTGGACGGAACTAGGAGGACCACTCAGACCGGAGCAGATACACAGGTGTGTTACTTGCGTGGGCTGTATTACGCTTGATTCACTTCTCACAGAGGTTTCAGGGTGGTAGCGTGCACCAGCCTCATGCTTAAGATGTAAAATGCAAAATGGACATTAATTAATTAATTAAACTATGAAGCGAACCAAGCATTGTTTAGCCGTGTCAGTTTTAGGTTCTTTAGGAATACATACAGAAAGTAGGATTTGACTATAGGTTCAATGATAATAATAATGACGTTTAACTTACCGCTAGTAGGTGGGATTTGAGCTGTTGAACTAAAATATTGTTGTAGTCCAATATACTAGCGGAGGCAGCAACCTACAAATTAAAATCAAATTGAATGAATTTTCTTCAAAAGGGAATATTCTAAAAAAAGATTGATTCTTTGTAAAATATTTCCCGTCCTTTTCAATTTCTGTCAAAAAGTAAATTTAAAAATCTCAAAAAACCCAATTGTAAAAAAAGTTTATAGGTATGAAACTTATTAAATCCGGCAAGATGTTCGACTCAATTGACAGCCATCAGATGTGTTTAATCTTTTTGTGAATTTTTTATTTTTGTTTTCAGATTTTGACATCATATTTCAATTTAAAAAAAAGTTTTCAATGATTTATTGTTAATTAAACCCACTGTTTATAAAACTTGAAGGGTGAGAAGATATTATTTTAAGTGGCCCTATGCAAGGAATTAGAATTTAACAACTTTCAAGCTAGAACAACGATGTTATCTTACAAATTATTGATCAGATAAAGATGTCAATGGTATCGTTGTGAATCAGGCATAACCTTGTTTTTTCAGATTTATAAGAGAAAGAAACATTAATCAGTCAATCATCCGGTATCGTTGTTAGTCAGGCATGTCCATTTTTAAATGGAGGGTCACTTGAAATAACGCCTACAGTCTCTTTTCTTTACCTCTGAGACAGTTTGTATTTTCTCCACTCCGTCGGCTGAGATCCATTTCTTAGATTGATTTGACAGAACCAATCGGTGTCCTGAAAAATAAACATAAAAAATCGTTGTCCTGGAAATAAAACATAAAATTCTGTAAAATCAAATAAAATCAAGAAGCTAGACTTTGTCCATGAACTCAGGGCTAATCATGTTTGAACTATTAATAAAATGATTCTTGTTGGCAAACTACAATAGCCTTTTTAAAAGTCTACAAAAACTCTACTAATTGTCTAATTAATCTGACCTGTATTTCTTTCTATTCCTAGCAGAAGACAAGATTCCCCCCTTCCACCAATTTTCTCAGGTTCACTGGGTACACACAACGAGAGAATAGTTTCACAACAATTCTCACACAAGGATACTCCTTCCTTGTTCTTTATTGCAGCTGTCAAACGGAAATCCGGGAAACTGAAAAAAAAAGAAAAAAGGTCAATAAAACCCATTTTAAGTATTTTTTTTTACAAAAATGTAAAATTTGTCGTTTTCGTTTTTCTTTGTTGTTTATGGCAATTTATTATGTTGTTTATGGCAGTTAATTACTGATGCATCGAAAGACCCGTAGCTGGGGGGGCACAGGTGCACGTACCCCCCCCCCCCTTTAACTCCCTTTAACAATATCCGAGACAAAAAAAAACATTAAAAATGAAAATAAAGGAAACGAAGAGTGAAAGAAAGAATGAAAAAAGAGGAGAAAACTCACATGAAATCTAATATTATGTGTTAAGGGTTATTTCTTCTTCAAATTAAAAAAAAATTGAGTGCCATCTGTAATAAATTATTTGGGAAATTTTATTTCTATCCTGTCTTTTGAGAAGCTTATTCTTTTCGCTTCTTTAATTAGTTTAATGATTATAAAGCATCGTACAAATCAAATCAAATCAGACTCTCCTTGTCCTTCCAATCCCCAAACTTGAAGTGAATAATACTAAATTATGTCTGGAGAAAGGTCTTACAGCTTGTTATCAGTATGGTTCTATATTTGCCTTGATTTTGGTATTTTCCCGGATTTGTATGTCATTATAAGCTTTATGATAGTTAAGGATAAGGTTCGTTTGAACTTTTGAAGTAATTAGTTAAACCACTACAGCGGACAACCGACATTGTGCCAGAATCCCAATATCAGCCAATAGCTAGAGTCTAAGCCCATTCGCTTCTATAGTAGACTCCGACCAGCGACTGCCCTCTTGTTTTCGATGGAGGATAAGTATTATAAGATATAGCGTTTGCTAATGAAGCAAAAAGTAGCATGGAGACAAATTGAAATTGTATATGAAATATGGCCAAGTTTGGGAAAAGCTGTTAATACTAATCCTAAAGCATGCAGGGGAGTTTTTTTTCGAATTTCAGTTTTAGGAAAACTGAAGATTTTCATGATTAAGCTTTTCTTGATCTTAACAGGCATTTTCAATTTACATCTTTTACGTACTCTCCCTAGTATTGGCTATTCGCGTTTCAAAAATTTTAAGTTATACATTTATTTTAAGTTTATCTTACATCTCAGCATCTTATACCTCCAGTTTATTTTTGTTTTGGTGTAAACAGCTTCAATAGAACTTAAGGGAAAGATAACAAAATGCATAACAGACAAAATATCTATTTTAATGAACTATAATGTGTACAAGTTAAAAATCTAGTGTTTTAATCTTTAGTCAATAATATTTACCCTTTTTGAGTTTTTCATGTAAATAAATGGATCATTTACAAATTGCAACATCTTTTGGACGTTGTAAGACAACAAACACAGTTGTCATACCAATATTTAAAGAAAATAAAGAAAACAAAAAAAACCTGAATTTGGAACAAAGACGACATTCTGAATAGTAGTCCAACAGCCGGGTGTTGCAGCCTGAAGCTCCATAAAGACTGATGACAGAGTTACACTAAAAACAAATAATTAAGTATCACAAGTAAATATTTCTTTACTGCTTCACTAAAGAGTTAATGGTTCTTTGACCTTAAAAAACGGACTTCGTTAAATTATTCTTTCATTCCTAGTCACTGTAGTGAATATATATATATGTGTTGTTTTCATGGACCGACTTATTTGGAACCGGTTTTGTCCACCTTGTCTAGAAATCGGTTTATCATGTATACTTATTCTAAGAACCGGTTTATTTGTTCACTTGGTCCGGTTACCGGTTTATTTTGTTAATCTGGTTTAGGAACGGTTTTATTATGGTTACATAGTCTTAAAACCAGTTTATTCTGTTTACCTGGTCTAAGAACCGGTTTACGTCTACATTAAAACCCATATCCACCGCTCCAGATTCTGCAGGGTTGATGTCTAAGAACATGTATCGACCTCTTAACATCACGTGACCTGAATTATTAATTCTATTTAGTAGTGCACAGATATAGTTTGCATAATGGAAGTTTGATAAAATTCTTGTTAAAAAATCAAACAAAATCATATTTCTTAACCTCCTCCCACTCACCACCCCCAAAGCTTTCCTAAGTCAGTCTAGGTTTTTATTAACAAAAAATGGAAGAAATCTATATTTGATCAATTTTCGTTACGAGGATTATTCGAGGATGATATCTGCAAGTGTAAAACCTGCCGCGGCCATGATGAGTCATTGAAGAAATTCTAAAATCTACAAAATTAAGAACCACCCCCCCCCCTCCCCCGGGCACAGGAAATGGAACTTGTTGTTCAGTACAGATGGAGCCTGTCACACCTCCAAGTGAACACTATACAACTGTATAACAACCTAAATAAGTGGAACCCAAATCAAGGATATGGTCCCAGGAGAGGATTGAAGTCCAATATGTTCCCTGAGGGTGGTAGATCGACTCAAGCTAATTAACACTGAGATGTGCAGTAAAAGTGCGTATATTTTTTTCTATATTTTTACAATCTTAAATCTTTTAAGTATGTAATAAAATATTATTTGTTCAGATTGAACATTCAAAGATTTCTGCGTATAATTTTGCAATATAATCTTGTTGAAAAAGGTTCCAAAATCACTCTGTATTTTAGCTTAATCTAGATTTTACAGCAAGAAACCGCATCTTTGGCAACCCAAGTTAGGTTAACCCTTTTTAACTGTGATGATACACTACAGATATAAATATTAAACATTTGCTATTCGTACTTACATAAAGATGGCTTACCTTTTTTGTCTAGTTTTATTTTGCTCTTGATCCCTTCAATAGTTTTGTACAATTCCTTCTGTATACTGACTTCAGCTCCTGTTCCACAAGGAACAATCTAGATTACAATGGTTTAAATATTTTAAATCATTGAAAATTTTCCCCAATAAGTCAGGAGTATTCAATTCAACTTCTAGTAAAAATATATTCCCCTGCTATAAGTGAAGTTTAAGTGCACGGAGCGGATTTTTTAAAATCTTTTTTTCCTCGTTAAATTGGGAGAACATTTTTTTATGGGAATTTAAATTTGTGGGATACCATGCTAGATTATTCAAATATACTTTTACAGAGAAACACAACTAGGATTCCATTGTAATTATACACGAGATATTATTAAAATATACTTTTACAGAGCAACAAAACTAGGATTCAATTGTATTTATACACGAGATATTATTAAAATATACTTTTACAGTGCAACAAAACTAGGATTCAATTGTAATTATACATGAAATATTATTAAAATAAGGTTTTTTCTTCTAACACAATGAAAATATAATATTTTACCTTTCTGTCCAATGATAAATTAATTCTCCTATTAGACCCATCACCCTCCACGTGGGCAGTAAACTCGTATTTTAAACTGAACAAAAACAAATTCTTTATTTAAAAAATATAATCTGGGAAAGGAATTCTTATGTTAGTTTTCTCCCAAAAATGAAAATACAACGTAAGATACTAGTTCAGTTTTTTTCTACAAACAAAAATTCCTCCGATAGGAAATTTAAATAAACATTGCAAAATCGATATTTGAATGAAATGAACGCCTTTTCTTTATTCAAACTAAATAGTTAGAGCTAAAAACTTTAGATTGGTGAATATCGAGATTAATGCTTGATCCGCTTTTTTTCTTATCTCCAGATTAAAAATTGCTTGTTCTCCTCTTGTAACTAATCTCCAGATTAAATAATGCTTGTTCTCCTCTTGTAACTAATCTCCAGATTAACTAACCATTCGGGATTAAGGATATGCCATTCTAAAGTATCAGCTCAGTGATGAGAACTTTTGTGTTTTGAATCTCCGAATCAAGCATTAATCTCTGTGTTATTCAGATCTACAGATTAATTTAATTCAAGGACGATATCCCTTGGTAGTTAAACCCTGCAATAACAAGCATTAATCCTCAATTTATAAGTGCCCATATTGAATATCGATATCAAACGTTCAATCAAGAATTGGATACATATATGATACGATTGTCAATATTTCTTTCTCGCTTATCCTCGATCATTTTTCTTGGAAATAGAGTAAGTCATTAAAAATAGAAACTAGACGCAAAAATGGAGGATTTTAAAATTCTAATTGATGTTGACGGTGACCATTATGACCGTAGGACCGGGGCTGTTAATTTACCTGAAGACCTCGTTGGTAGCAGCAGTCATTATTACCGCTAATAAACTGTCTGTATGTGGAACAATATGCTCTAATACTACTCCTAAATAAATAAATAAATAAATAAAAGATCAACCATCATTCCGTGGAAATCAAGGCCGAGACCCCATCAAAAATAACCACCAAAGGGTGGAAATTAAACAAAAGCGAACATGTAATGTAATGACATATACAAACATACCAGGATCCATAATTTGGGATATTTTTTAGCTTAAAAAAATATGAAAAATAATTTCCTGTTAAAATAAAATTTCCCGGCAAATAAGACTTGAATGGAAAGTATCAGAAGTCCAGTAAGATGAATTTACAGAACATGTTAATTTTCAATGATGCGCCCCAAGCCCCAGAATGCTGTCCAAAGGATCCGGATCTGTTGGATCAGCAATATTTTGGCTCTCCGAATCCACGGATCCAGATTCAAAGAGCAACAAATCAACCAAAGCTTGCTTTAAAAATGTTGCTCTCAAAACACAAATAAGAAATTGATAAAAACTTCCTAATGTCTGAATGAAACCTTAAGTTTCAGCATAGAAAAGTTTCATTTTTAAAACTTTCAAAAAATTAGTTAATGTTTAGGACCTGGATCCGGATCCATTTTATTCAGGATACAGGATCCGGATGTAAATAAGATGGATCCTACGCACTGTACATAACCCTCTGAAGTGTAGTTTACCTATAGCCATATCTACAAGATGTGTATCAGCTTTCGCCACCCCGTGTTCTAATCTTGTCAAATCTATGGCAAACTTACACTGATCACACACAAACCTAAAACAAATAAATTAAATATGAAATTAAAAAAAACGATTAAACCCATCGCGCCCAATTTTTTACGGCAATTTTTCTGCCCCCTGCACCACCCCGCCGCAGCCGCGGGCTTCAGAAGCCTGTAAAATAGACCTGCGAATTTTGGGCAAAAATATGATTCTAAAAGGGGGGCAAAAATATTAGTCTCACAACACACCCTTGAAATTTTGCATTTTTCGCTTACTTCATTTTCGGGAAAATGTGCGAAATTTAGCGATAAAGTTAGCGAACATAAACAAAAATTTTCGCATTTTTGCGCGAAAGTTTTCGTTCGCTAGAGACCCTAATCTAAGCTCAGAAAATATGCCAATAACAGTGACAAAAAGTATAAAACATCACACACAAAAATACCAATGCAAAGAAAATGCAACAAACAAAAAACATTCATAGTAGCAACAAATTCAATTCAACTTCTAGCTTTGATAACAAAATTAGTGCTTAGGATCCATTTAATTTTGATGCGGATCCGAATCCTGGATCCGCAATGAAAAAAAATGGATCCAGATCCAGGTCATTTCTTTAAGATTTACTGAATATTTTCAAATTTTTTGTTTCATTTTTTTTCCGCTTAATTTTATCCCAAAACTTCAGAAATGAGGAAATTTTTATAATCCCTCTTTTTCCAAAAGTTCAGATTTGTGTTTTAGGAGTAAAAAAGTTTTTTTGCAGCTTTTGGTTGATATTTCACCCCTTGGATCCGGATCCGTGGATCCGCATATTTTTGCGGATCCGAATCCAGGAAGCCAAAATCTTGCGGATCCAACGTTTCCGGATCCGGATCCTAAGCACTGAACAAAATTGTAAAAAACTGCCAAAAAAAAAAGAAAATCTGACACATAAGGAAAGAACTACACCCGCCACAAAATTCCGATATGAAACCCTGAGTTGGTTATAATATAAATGGATAGTCCTGACATGTTTATTTACCTTATTGATGGCCCTGACATGTCAATATTCTTGTTCTCTTGAAGATTAAGACCCTTGATGGGAAGGGATTGGTTCCCAGTATGAAGAGGGCGGGCAGGTACAACAGTATGAATAGTGTTGGTAGCAGAGTACAGGCTTCCTCCCTCCTGAATGACGATCAATGTCAGAATTTTTTTTTAAAGGAAATAGAACAATAAAAATGTGGGAATTAGTATTTCAACCATTCAATTTTCAAATCATTCAATAGCTTCTTGACCTATGGTGGGTACGCCAACACAATTCCTTCTCAGCCAAGGCTTTTCAGTCTGGCATAGTTTAAGCCTAACTACTAATTGTTGGTTTTATTAACCTGAACCTTCTAATTTGAAAAAAATGTTTTATAGAGTATTTGAAGCTTTCATTTAAAGAAAATTATTTCAACACTTTTAATTTTGTGAATTTTTTAATAAGAATTAATAACATATTAAACTTATGAAAATCCATGTTTCAAAATTTTTTATAGTTGTTTTTCCAAAAAGTCCCTCCTAGCTGTTACATTTGTACCAACCTGTACTGTATAAAGAAGATTGAAGTTTCCACTGCATATTGCAGAGCTAGAGGAAAGAAGAACCCTGAAAACAAATAAAATAAATCCGGACTATTCAAAATTTAGTTTTAAGACCAGACAATGCCCCTCAAAGTTGCAATTAAATATGCTTCTAATTTTACCAACCTATAACTCGAATTTACCAGATGATGTTTTAAGTATTGATTTAATTTGGGGTTTGATCAGGATACTCGGTCAAAAAGCTAAAAGTAGTCTAATAAAAGTCTGGTACGTAAGTCTTTTTTTAACTTTTGATAAGAGACTTCAATACTAACAGTACCATACAAGGATTAATATTGAAGTTCTTTTGATTCTCAAGCTACAAGCTCGGAGCGCAAAACTTTTAAATAGGATAACGCTTAGCTTCAGTGCTTAAAATCTTTGTCCAATGCACCGCTAAATCCTGAGAGTTGCCTTTGTAACAATAATAAGGTATCAAATATCCAAGGTTGAAAACGCGACAAGTCATCGGTATAGCCATTGGATCCTAAGCACTACTATTTCTAATTAAAAGAAGCTTGCCTAAGAACTCCACAGAGCTGTTCCATGTGGTGAAGCTGGAACATTTTCAACTGTTTATCGAATGAGTTTTCCCGCATTACCACGTTCACAAACTGCTTCTGACAATTGGCGCACACAGCTAGCATCTCCTGTATTGGTAATATATTTTATTTAACAAATTTGATCTTCAGACAGCTCAAAAATGCAAATAACTTCACTAAACTGGACTAAAATAATCATATTATCTTCATAAGTGTAAACTAGCCGCTGCCTTACACAAATAAGACATAAGAAAAATATGACTAACTTTAAGACAAATTGAGAGAAAATCAGTTTTGCCGGAGAGTGTGGGGATAATAAGTCAACATATACACCCCTGTATTTTACACAAAACAACTGGAAAACGGTAGAGTTTACGATGTAAATGCAATGTCTTAGTCGATAAAATTAAAAAGAAAATAAATTACAGAAAATTCAATAAAAAATAAAATTTCTTTGGTTTCGGGAGCACATTTTGAAAACACATTAATAAAAATAAAAAACAAAAACAACTTACGTTCTCACTGTAGAGCTGGATAAGGGAGGTGCTGTTAACTTTGAAGAGAGCGCAGTAGGTTAGGTTCTGGGCTCGGCAAACGGAGCACTTAGTCATCGCGGAATTAGAAACCTAAAATTAAAACTGAATTTTGAAATTGTGTTGACTAGGTTTTCCTATAATAAACCTGGCAATTGCATAATTGCATAGCAAAAGCCAAATAGTAATTAACTAACTAACGGTTCTTGCAAACAAATAGATTTCGTAACAAGAAGACTTGAATGAAAATTGTCTGTAAAAAAATTTGCATATCAGTAGCTAGGGATGGTCCAGGTCCAACAGTTTCCTGGTATAAATATATTTTGAGAAACCCAGGAAAATCAATCAATCGTTCAATTATCGTTTAATCGCCATACCAATCAATCAAATCCGACTTTATTTACCTGTAAAAACCCTCTGGAATCAAAGTTTTCTCTAAAGCAGTCAACTGTAGCCTGAAGTTTTCTGTACACATCATATTCATTAATTATTAATTTTGTTTAATTATTTGTAGTGAAGATAAATTTTGGAAAGTTGGGGAAAATTTATTAGTTCTCATCCCCTCTTTTTTCATACCGTGTTTTCGGAAAATTTCATCATTTGAACATTAAACTTTAAAACAGCTCACTTCAAATAAATATGTTGGATATTATACAAAATTGCGGATTAATAAACAAAATGGCGAATTTGAATCAAAATGGCGAATTTTAAACAAAATGGCGAATTTTAAACAAAATGGCGGATAAAGAATATGTTCCTGGAGCAGTTGAAGTCTGAAGCAAACTTTGTGCAGGGAAGGAATCTCATATCCTGGTGCTCAGTCTCACCACACGAATCACAATCACTGAACAAAATTTTCAGAATAAAAACAATGGAAACTAGGAACGATAAAATTACTAAAGGAATGAAACGATTAATTTTTTCCAAAAGCTTGGCAAGCCTCATTGTTTAATCCCACTTAAATTCTGTAAATTTTTTTTTAAATGATTTATTTTAAATTCAACAACGGACAATTCATTTTGAAGCGATAAAAACATCTGAATCTAATAATGCGATTTCTCCTAGACAAAGAGCTTGATAATGGCTTCTGTTTGTTTAAATTTAAAATAATCTTCGGACAAAGGAAGACACGGGTTAGTTCCTTCTTAAAGGATTAACAATAAAAAAGTTTAGACCTATAATATATTAAATGAAATCTCTACCTTGGTTTCTTGATTTCCAATTCAAAACTGGATGCACAGTATGCCCCTGCAGCCAGTAGTAAACAAGGAACAATGTGTCCTAGATAAAAAAGTTGTACGTTGTACATTGCACAATGTATCGTAAATGGCCAGTTTTTTTAGACTTAAAATTTGTCTTAAAAAGGTGTTGTTCTCTTAAATTCATTGTTTCATCGACAAAGCTGAACCAAAATACTATAAATATATATTTGATTTGGACAATCACTATCTGAATCACTATCTGGACTTTGTTAAACCCAGATTAATTAAAATGTAAGCTCAAAACAGTGTCATAATTTTGAAAATTTTCATTTGCATAAATAAAAATTGTTGTAAAATTCAAAGAAAATGGCNACTCGAAAAATCTCCTGGATTTCTATAAATCGTATTTTATACCGTGGTGTGGCGTAAGATGTCTCTGATAGTCCTCGGCCGTGTAGGGGGAGGCACAGAACAGGCAGATCAAGGAGTTCCCCCTGGATAAATAGATAGATAGATATATGAGTAGATAGATAGATAGATGGGTATTGTGTAGATAGATGCATAGATAGTTGAGTAGATAGATAGTTAGATATATAGATTAGATAGATAGATGGGAAAATAGTTGGTAGATGGGTGGATAGATAAGAAATATTCTATGAGGTTCTTTCAAAGTTGGCGTTCCGGCTCGTGAGCATTGCAAAGTGCTAATTTATGCTCGCGCTGGTGGCCCCATGGGACATGACAAGAGTCCCAGGTGATTTTGTATATAAAAACCGTAGTTACCTGGGCCTGGCTCCATATGGACCAGATACTCCAGGTTGAACGGCAGCTATATGAGTTGCCAACTGTATGGCCAAATCAACTCCGGGATTATCAACAGAATACCAGGTTCCTGTTCTCCTGAACAATTTTTATCATTATATAACATCACACAAAGTTTTTAGAGAGCAATATGATATTGTTCTAGTCTTGTAGAACAATACACAATAAACATCATTAGAAAACAATAAACATAATTAAAAACAAAACAAAAAACATCGTTAGAGAGCTATCAGCATCGCTATAAAAACAATGAACATCGTTTAAGAACATTTACATCTTTTAATGAACATCGTAAAAGAATATAATTAGATAGTTAACCTGCAAATGAGGCCGTGTGAGACAGTAACCTCACAAAATTCTGCTGATCTACCCGTCACAGCAACCTTTAATCCTCGAGAGAAATTCTGGATATTAACAATCCGTTCAAACACTTTTTTCCTATGATATCTAGTTCTGCTACTACTTGCACAGGGGTGTACATTTTCCTACACNTTCCCCCGAACTTAGGTGTTTTAAGTAAATAAAAAAAATTGTGAACAGTTGGAGAATGTTTTTTTTCCCCTTAAAAATACAGCCATGTCTCCTTTAAAAATCACTTCTACCCAAGTACCCGAATAAGAGAATTACTGGATTGACATCAGGGTAATAAAAGAGCTGGGGGGGATGACATTATTTCAAAACCTACCAAAAACATTTTGTACCCCTTGGGAATAGTAAAGAGGTGTTCTAAATCAAAGATAGCAAATGTACTAAATTGTCTGTTTTCTATATTGAAACGTCTGGTTTCCTTAAGAATGTTTCCATAGAAAGCTGTGTGTAGTTCTTCGCGGGCCACTGGTAGGATATGGTTCAATATATTCTCCCAGGTTTGAGAGTTTAACACTGAAAATAGGTTTCATGAAAATATATTTAAAAATTTAGAAAAAAGACGAGAAGAAACAAAAACAAGAACTTTTTCTGTTATTATATTTCGACATTTCTATGATGTCCTCGTCAGTACTAAAACAAAAGCAATATCAAATAAGATAAGGAAGAAAAGAACAAAAGAACAAAAACAAAATGAAAGAAGGACAATAAGAACAAAAATTTGAGAAAGGGTGAAGATGGAATAAACAATTACAAAAATAATACGAGTTACCTGATTTAAAGTTGGTGCAGTAGGAACACTTAACAATTACTTTAGGGTCTCCTTCAGTCTCCCCAATCTATACAATTAGTAGTTGTTTACAAGGATCAATCACAATTCTCAAAGGAATCCATTTTTTTTACTTCATTATTTTATCAATTGTTTTTAAAACATTCTTTCTTTTCATAAAAGCTAGAAAGACGAAAAGCATCTTTTTGATCAAAACCCAATAAGATTGAAGAAAAATTGAACCTAGAAGTTCTTAAGATAAAAATTCGATTTATTTCTCGGTGGTCTTGACAAAGTTATGTTAAAAAAAGATAGAAAGGTGNGGTGAAATTTCCTAGGATTTTACCCAATGAATAGTTATACCTGGTTTACAATATCCTCCAGAGATAGGTTCTCTGGTATTGTATCTCCTGTTATCATCTCTGAAATATCCTGTTCCTGGTTCAATATCTGTTGTTGTTGCTGAAGCTGCTGTTGTTGCTGATGCTTCTGCTGTTGAGAAACAGCTGGAGCTGCCGCTTTTAACTCCTGTCTTACAACCTTAACCAGTAGAAATAAGGTTTATTCAAAAACAAATCAGAATTTTTACAACTGAAAAAATTAAACAATTTTGAAAATTTCCGAAAAAAATCTTATAATTTAATCCTAATACAGACCAAAAATAGTAAGTCTTTACTCCTAATAATTGCAACCATTTCCGAAAGTCATTTAATAATTAACGGTTTTTTATATTACTCGTTAACTTCCGTTTTTCTCGTAAAAATTCAAACGAATTCAAAATTCACTGATATTTTCTATTTGCGATTAATAGCGTTAAAACATAAAAATGTAGGACCATGTCTAGAGGGGCGAACGTTGTAATGTCTTGTTACTCTTAAAGGATTGGAAGTCGTAATACGATTTACAAAGATACACTTAAAACCAAGTTTGAAAGATCTAGTCTTTTTTCCTCCAACGAATACTGCAATTGAAAATAGTCAATTTCCAAAAAGAAAAATATGAAAGTACCGCATTCATTCATTCTTTAAAGATTTCAACAATACCCTTGTAAATCGGACTTGGCACTTTATAAATGCAATTGCATGCATATACAGCCCCTTCAATTCAATTCAAGGATACGTTAACTTAAAGAAACTAACCTGCTGATTTTGAACATTCCTATACTGTGTTTTAGTCTGTGTTATAGTTCGAACAGGTTCAAGAGCTCTCTGCTGAATAGGTTTAGGAGCAGCTGGTTTAGGTTTAGCTTTCTTAGCTCCGTACTTGTGCTGCGTAATCTTGATCGTCTTCTTCCCCTTGTGGTTGGGGTCGTTGGAGATGTTCTTGATCAGGGTGTTGATGAGAGTGTTCTGCAGTTATATATGTTAAACCAAATATTTTTATAGAAGTCTTACAAAGAAAAATCTTTTAAAAATATTAGTTTCAAAATCTGGGTTTAGCATCCAGTTTTTATAAAAAAAAAAGTATGCATTTAACACAACTTTTATATATTAAGAATGAGGATCTATGTGCACAAAAAAAAACATTCAAAACACGATGGTCCAAAAAAATGTACGAAAAACATTCCTGATCTAAACTTTTTGAACAAATCATCATGTAGGTCTGGGAGTATCCATTCTCACTGGTTACGGTGTAGGTCACCTTCTGCTGATCAGGACCAATCGTTACCTCTAAAGCGAAGAAAACAATTCATTAGAATAAATTAAAACTTTATGTAAAGGCAAAAAAAGCTTTTTATTCAACATTCTTTTCAAATTGAAGTCACATTCTTAACGAGGGGACAAATCACAAACCAGGGGACAAATCACAAACCGGGGACAAATCACAAACCAGGGTACAAATCACAAACCAGGGGATAAATCACAAACCGGATACAAATCACAAACCGGGTACAAATCACAAACCGGGTACAAATCACAAACCGGGTACAAATCACAAACCAGGGGACAAATCACAAACCAGGGTACAAATCACAAACCAGGGTACAAATCACAAACCGGGTACAAATCACAAACCAAGGGACAAATCACAAACCAGCGGACAAATCACAAACCATTATATATTTTGGTCGATGGTTATTTTTTGAATTAAGGTTTTTAAATTTTCAAACGGAATTTTCTGGCCTGCGAAACCAGGAATATTTTTATTGTTTAATGTTCAAGGCTCATATTTTTAGTCACTGACAGTTCAAAGATCCTAAGAGACTTTTGATACCCAAAATTTCATTTATCCCCCCCCCCCCAAAAAAAAAACGTTTAAGTTCTCCTTTTCATACAAATAAAAATTTTTAAATAGTAATTTTAATACCTGATGATGAACCGGCAATACGTTTTTGTGTTTTCTGAACCGGTTTCCTTTGAACTTGTTTAGAGCTGCTCCCATATGTAGCAGCGCTGTTAAAGGTCAGCTTCTGAAACTTCTGCTGTTGCTGTTGTTGTTGTTGTTGTTGCTGTTGGCCACCAGTTGAATATCTAAAAACATTCCAGATTAAATAAAAATTAGGTTTTTGGGAAAAAGCATGAACAGTCTATTTATAATCAGAAAGGGTGCTTCTCGCCAGAGTGTTGAATACAAGGCCAGTGTCTAGGTAAACATGGCTCAGATTTGGCTAGTTTTCATCATGTAGAAAAAGTAGAAAAAGTAGATTGTTTTTGTTTTTATATAAAAGGTATATTTTTACTTAAAATAAGGGGTAAGTATTTTCAAGAATACAAAAAGACATGATTTTAATTACCTGGGCTGGAAGGTATGTTTGGCCTTATCATCCTGGAAATCGTAAGCTCTACTCTGAAGAGGGAGGGCAGGTCGAATATCATTCATTCCCTGCTACATTGTACAATATTAGCATTGATATTATTATGGTCATTTGTATTATTATTATCATTATCATTAGTCATTCTCATTAAAAGAAAATTAACGTAAATACTCTTAACGAACTTGTCCGAAAAAAAACCCTGAAAAGATCTAAAGTACTTCATATAGATTTTTCAAAGCAAATTTTAATTTACAAAATACTGATCTGTAATCAGACAAAGTTTAAAAAAGAATATCATAAATCGTTCAATGCATTTTGTAATCAAAAGCTAAGTAGGAATTACGGTGACGAATCTAATGTTTCTTTGACTGCAGACATGATTTAACGTTATTTATAGAATATTCAATATCCGATGCACAACGGTACACTTTAAACAATGGTTAAATCAAATATGACGCAATTTTCCCGAGTTTTATAGAATATCCGATGCACAACGGAACACTTTAAACAATGGTTTAATCAAATATGACGCAATTTTCCTGAGTTTTATAGAATATCCGATGCACAACGGTACACTTTAAACAATGGTTTAATCAAATATGACGCAATTTTCCTGAGTTTTATTTCTGATATTTATGACTTTCAAATATAGTATCTTTATAAACATGACTTGCGGAATCAACACGTCTAAAGATGTTTACTGTTGTGAATCGGACGAGCCACTCTATTGGTACCTGATGTGCTGAGCTGGGAAGATCAATACTGGATTGTGAAGAAGGAAGCTGGAATCCTAGTTCTTCAGCTCCAAGTCCAGCAGCAGCTACTGCTGCAGCCACAAGATTGTTCTTAGGCTAAACAAAAACCAGTCAGTCAGTCAGTCAGTCAGTCAGTCAGTCAGTCAGTCAGTCAGTCAGTCAGTCAGTCAGTCAGTCAGTCAGTCAGTCAGTCAGTCAGTCAGTCAGTCAGTCAGTCAGTCAGTCAGTCAGTCAGTCAGTCAGTCAGTCAGTCAGTCAGTCAGTCAGTCAGTCAGTCAGTCAGTCAGTCAGTCAGTCAGTCAGTCAGTCAGTCAGTCAGTCAGTCAGTCAGTCAGTCAGTCAGTCAGTCAGTCAGTCAGTCAGTCAGTCAGTCAGTCAGTCAGTCAGTCAGTCAGTCAGTCAGTCAGTCAGTCAGTCAGTCAGTCAGTCAGTCAGTCAGTCAGTCAGTCAGTCAGTCAGTCAGTCAGTCAGTCAGTCAGTCAGTCAGTCAGTCAGTCAGTCAGTCAGTCAGTCAGTCAGTCAGTCAGTCAGTCAGTCAGTCAGTCAGTCAGTCAGTCAGTCAGTCAGTCAGTCAGTCAGTCAGTCAGTCAGTCAGTCAGTCAGTCAGTCAGTCAGTCAGTCAGTCAGTCAGTCAGTCAGTCAGTCAGTCAGTCAGTCAGTCAGTCAGTCAGTCAGTCAGTCAGTCAGTCAGTCAGTCAGTCAGTCAGTCAGTCAGTCAGTCAGTCAGTCAGTCAGTCAGTCAGTCAGTCAGTCAGTCAGTCAGTCAGTCAGTCAGTCAGTCAGTCAGTCAGTCAGTCAGTCAGTCAGTCAGTCAGTCAGTCAGTCAGTCAGTCAGTCAGTCAGTCAGTCAGTCAGTCAGTCAGTCAGTCAGTCAGTCAGTCAGTCAGTCAGTCAGTCAGTCAGTCAGTCAGTCAGTCAGTCAGTCAGTCAGTCAGTCAGTCAGTCAGTCAGTCAGTCAGTCAGTCAGTCAGTCAGTCANATACTTGTTCAGATTTCCCATTAAATTAAAGGCACTAAAAACTCCCCCCTGAATTCAATTTTACCAACTATATGATTGTTAAACCTGATGGTTCAAACCTTTGAGATTTCCAACATTGATATGTGATCTAACAAAATTCAAAATTCGACATATCTAATGTCTATCCTCGGATTGCCAAGATATAGCAATCGTAACATTATTTGAGACAATTAATCAGTTCCTTTACATTTTTGGTTATTTTAAAAGGGAGAAAAAACGCACGTGAGATTCATCAACAAAATTATTTAGATCAATGAAATGATAATTGAGCGATGACCGAATAACCGTAATCTTATCTGCTGGTTAAAGAGAATATTCAGTGTAAGGAGTAAGGACCATTCTAATGATTTTAATTTTAAACAATGGGATTTCTGATTTTCAATTAGGTTAATCTTATTTAAATAGAGTCTATTCCATGAACTAATGGATCATTAAATGATCAGTATGTGGAAACCTACCCATTGTGATCCCTGCCTCCTGTAACAGTATCTGTGCTGCAGGATCATTAGGATCAAGGTACAGTACTTCACCATTGTCATCAGGCAGCTGGAGTCCTATCAGGTTCCCTGAACATATAAATATTGTAGGATTAGGATCAGTGGATAAATAATTAGGTTCCCTGAACATATGAATATTCTAGGATTAGGATCAGTGGATAAATAATTAGGTTCCCTGAACATATAAAACGTCCAGGATTAGGATCAGTGGATAAATAATTAGAATCCCTGAACATATGAATATTTTAGGATAAGTATCAGTGGATAAATAATTAGGTTCCCTGAACATATAAATATTTTAGGATTAGGATCAGTGGATAAATAATTAGGTTCCATGACCATATAAATAGTCTAGAATTAGGATCAGTGGATAAATAATTAGGTTCCCTGACCATATAAATATTCTAGGATTAGGATCAGTGGATAAATAATTAGGTTCCCTGAACATATAAATACTTTTAGGTTTCATGAAAATGTCTGATTTTAACGTGTAGTGAACAAGCTAGGAACAACCCATATGAATTATTACCTTTAAATAGACTTTAAGAAACAGTCCAAGTGTTGTACAATTTCGAACAAGCTAAGGTTTGAGGACAAAGCGAGACAATTTTTAATAGTTTTTCATTATTTTTCATTCTTTCCGATTAAAAAAGAAACGCATTAAACTGAGGAAATTCCGCTCCCTGGATTACCTGAAGGAGTTGGTGTTTGCTGCTCCTGCGGCTGCTCATGCTGCTGCTCATCCTCTGTCATGATGCTCCCAGGAGGCGCAAGGACAGTGCCGTCAGCAGCAACTAGGCTTCCGTCCTCTGTAATCATGCTTCCCTCCGGGGCATTCAGAACACCGTCCTCGGAGGTCAGTAATCCTGAAGGAAAGTGGGACTCCGATGAGGACATCATGGTTGTGTTTGAAGTGGTCATAATAGTTCCTCCGACAGCGGAAACCATTATACCTCCCTCCGGCATTGCCAGAGTCGCAGGTTCAGTCAACGACTCGCTGACATAAATTCCTGAGGTCAGTCCGGCGTCAGTTGTCGGCAAAATACTGCCGTTGGCGATGCTAACCGGTCTTCCATCTTCGCTTGTCAACAGAGTACCGTCGGCGGTTACTAAATTCCCGTCGGCGTTTGCCATGATTGTCCCTTCTGGAGCAGACACAATAGTTCCGTCTGTTGTTGTATAAACCGTCTGACCCGGAGCAGCGATACTCCCATAGGTGGAGAATGCGGTCTGGTCGCAGGTTGAGAGAATATGTTCCTCCTCCTGCACACCCTTCTCCCCTTCAACTTCAATACCGGACACACCTTCAAGTTTCAACTGTTCAACTGTTGGTAGTGCACCACCAGCATCTTTAGAGTAGAGTTGATTATCTCCAGAGCCTAGTAATTGTTCACTGGTGTAGATTTGACCGTCAGCGGTTACATACTCTCCGTTTCTTTCCGTAAGAACATTACCATCAGAGGTCATTAATTGACCGGTAGTTGGGATAGAAACACATTCAGATTTTACAAGCTGTCCCTCAGATGTTACCAAATGTGATTCTGGTGTTACCAGTTGTCCTTCGGACGTGACAAGCTGTCCATCGGATGTCATCAATTGTCCTTCGGATGTGACGAGTTGTCCTTCGGATGTGACAAGTTGTCCTTCGGACGTCACCAACTGTCCTTCGGATGTCACCAACTGTCCTTCAGATGTCACTAACTGTCCTCCGGACGTTACAAGCTGCCCTTCAGAGGTTACAAGCTGTCCTTCGGACGTCACAAGCTGTCCTACAGACGTCACAAGATGTCCTTCGGATGTTACAAGTTGTCCTTCTGAGTTCACTAGCTGTCCCCCTGTGGTCAAAAGTTCTCCTTCAGAAGTAACCATATGTCCCTCCGACGTTACCATTTGTTCAGGCGAAACAATCTGTCCTTCTGACGTTACTATTTGACCTTCTGACGTCATTAACTGTCCATCTGAATTAATAATCTGTCCTTCAGAGGTCACAAGTTGTCCTTCAGCGTTGATCAATTGTCCATGTTGATTAACCAGCTGTCCACTAGCTGTGACAAACTGTCCATCAGGTGTAGCATAGATATGCTGATCACCATCTTCACCATCAATACCCTCCTGATCATGCATCAGCTGGTATCCTCCCTCCCCGGCCAACACGCTCTCCTGCATCAGAAGTGATGCGTCCTGGGTCATGATGAGAGATCCGTCCTCTCCAGTAACAACTGAACCAGGGGGAGCTAGGATAGTTCCGTCTGCAGCTACTATACTTCCATCCTCCTGAACTGTACTTCCTTCAGGGACCTAGAAACAGAAACGTAGAGTTTATACAAGTACTTTAAATTTATTATGATAATTTATTAAGATAATATTTCTACCTGAATAATTCCTTCCTCTTCCTGCTGCTGTAGAATTCCTCCTTCCTCCTCATTCTCATTCATCAGAACCTGGAGAAATAACAATTACAGAATTGGTACTCCCTTGGTGCCGGAAAGGCTTATGGGAGACCGCAAAAATATTTGGGTACGATTTACAAAAATCCAGAGTACCATGAGAAGTTGCACCAATGTTCAAAGTTTTTGCCCCTGATTTTACTTCATTATCCAACTCAAACTTTTTTGTAGCTCTAGACATGTACATTTAAGAACCGAAACTCACTTGTTTTTAGCTTGAATATTCAAGATGAAGTTGAACCAATTCGTAGGTATTTTTGCTTGAGAGTTGTCAACATTTGGATCATTGTGAATTAGTTTAGTTGTTTTAACATTTGCCTTGAAGAACGTGACTATGGTCCATGAGTACACAATAGTTTTACAAAATAGTTTTTATGACTAATTTTTAAGTGGAAGGCAAGGATCTTTTTTCCAAACCACCCAATTAGCAAATTAAAGCTTTATAAATAGGGTTTCCATCGAAACTACCCTTACTACCCCAACAACCGTCTATATTTCAGAGAGACCCCACCCCCACCCTTGCAGGTGAATCTGATGGCAACTACCCTTACTACCCCAACTACCGTCTGTTTTTTAGAGAGACCCCCACCCCACTCTTGAAGCAGAATCTGATGGTAGTTAGGGTAGTTGGGTTTAACTACCCTTACTACCCCAACTACCTTCTATATTTCAGAGAGACCCCCCCCCCACCCTTGAAGGAGAATCTGATGAACACTAACAGAATTGGGAATTTTCTTTTTTTGGCCCTGCCCCCCCCCCCTCCCCTCCTCTGAGCCCCTCCCAAACCAAATAATAAACTAGGATGAAGTCATGATTAAAGAATTGTGTAAATGTGATGGAATTTTATTCCTTAACTTGCATAAATCACTTTTCAATGTTATTTATACTTTCAACAGAAAAAATCTTGATTCTTCACGAAAAACAAACCCTTGAAACATTATTAAAATGTATTCTGATCTAACCTGATCATTATCTCCTCTATTAATCCCTGTATTCTGAACTAACCTGATTATTATCTCCTATATTAATCCCTGCTTGAGCGAGAAGAGCTGCTGCCTCGGGTCCGGATAGAACCATTTGCTCGCCGTCGGCACCCGTCACATACACCTATACGAGTAGTGTTGATAATAGTTTTTGTTCGGTTTTTTAAACTTTCATTAAAACGTGCAACATTTCAAAACTGAAAGGTCGCTATGACTAAACATTGAAATATTCTCATCCTTAATAAAATAAATGGAAAGACGGTCCAAAATCGATCGTTATGACACGTTTGTTTTTGGATCGTTATAGTTGGTTCGTTGCCTATAATTTCCTTATCAGTTAAATTTGACACAACGCTTTAAGGCAAATGTTTTGAATAAACAATTTATACAACATTTGCTATTCTAACACTAAAAAAATATTGACACATATCTAATCAGAAACAAGCCAACTTTATGCAAAACACTACAGTACATACACACATGTACGGGACATTATTTAGAACCAGGAATAGAACAGAGAAAATATGTTTTTATTCACTGAAATAAAGTGGGAAAATAAATGATTTATAAATGGAACCTATTACAATTTTTGGTTAAAATAAATCAACAAGTATATTCCTAAAGAACGATTTTTGGACCCTTTAGGATTAGGATCAGTGNCCCCCTAGCCTGTCCTAGCCGCAGCGCTCGGCCCAGAAAGTGTCTTAATTGACCTAACCCGTGGCCGCAGCGCTCGGCCCCCTACCCTGTCCTAACCGCAGCGCTCAGCCCAGAGAGTGTCTTAACCTAACCTAACCCTAAATAATACTAAATAAATACTAATTTGGTCATGAACAAAATTGCTAGGAGAGGGGGGGGGGTCCAAAAATCGTCCACTAGGACAGGCCCAACAAGTATAAAAAAAGATTTAACCAGATACCCATGTTTAAAATATACTCCCCCTTTTTCTGCACGAATTCCTTCAGAAGCCTTTTTCCGAATTAATTCACATAAGAAGATAAATCACAATAATTTTTAAAAACTTTATAAGATAGCATCTTTATGCATTTGGGGGGACCACAACCGGGTCCTTCCAAGAGAACAAGTACGGTAAATTGGTCGATCATGCTCTTTAATAAAATTATAATTATAAAAATCACCACATTACCTGTTGTCCGTCCATCTTTGATAACCTGTATCAACTATATTCTTTCAGGATAAAGTTGAATCATAATCACAAGTCAAGTTTCTGAAACAAAAATCACGTTTTCGGCACAATTAACTTTTCCGCCAATTAACATTAAATAACGTGTGCTTGAATTTTTTATATAATTAAAAACATTTCTTACAGCTAAATTGACGTCCAGAAATCTATTAAATAAACATAACTTATTATTAATCGCAAACCTGACAAAATATTTTGAATTGACTGAAACAAGTTTGGTTTGGATTGTTTCAGTTTAGGGCCGACGCCAAGGAAGCAATTTCGTCTCTACGCATGCGCAGGTTCCGCTCACAAATAAAATATTACCGCCAAAATTGCACTTGGCCATTTCACAGAAACGCTCACAAATATATTATAAATATTACACAAATTTAAAAAGAAAGAAATAATAATGGTGTTATGCAGTTTAGGGGCGTGTACAGATCGTACAGACAACCAAGGGGGTTGTGGAGGAATTGTGGCAGCCAGAGGCGTACGAGGGCTTTTGCTTAGGTGGGGGGGCACAAGGTACCCCCCTTGGCAACATTGTGCCCCCCCCTAAAAACACCTTTTTTGAAAAATGATACCTTTTTTAAATTTTTTTTTGCCCCCCACCTGGACTTGTTTTGTTCACCATAAAAATACACCTAAAAGACTACATTTATGGGTGGTTACTAACCAGCTTATAGAGTCTTAAAATTATATTCCTTTGCTTGAAAAACTAACTTTTTAACTTTATAAATTTATCACTTAACTCCATCACAGCTAACTAAATCAATAATCACAACATCATTAAAAATTATATTTTTACTTTAATAAACGAAATTTCTTCTGAAATTTTTAGATATATATACATAATTCACCAACTCTTTTAATTGCTACAATTTTCTGGGATTTGCTTGCACAAACATTTCAATAATTTTTTCAGTAGAGAGCTCATGCAGACAGCCTTATAGGCCTATAAGGCTGTCTGCATGAGCTCTCCGGGTGTAAAGCTATAAGTGCAAGATCGTTAAGTCTGCTCTCCGTCATCCCAGCAAGAAAAAATACAACGAACGGAGGAAAAAAGGTGCACCTTTAATCATGTCGCGGAAAGTTCTTTAAAAGTATTATATATTTAAAGAGCTTCCCATGACTTAAAAAATTTTGCAATTGTTACAGGTCAGGCAGATCTCATCATGTAGAAACTTTCTGAACAAATTGTGCAGCATGCTTGCACCTTGAAGAATTGATTTATAAATGACTAAGATTTGACAAATGAGCGTTTTTAATCATCATTTTTATATAACTCATGTATAAAAATACATGTTGTCTTATCACTGGACTTTCTGAAACTGGCAGTCGAAACCCCGCTTGACCTACCCCACAACCATGTCATGTGATTATCTCTCCTTAAAAAAGGAATTCCGACGGAGGTCCTCTTTTGGAGAATTCTCCACAAACGGAGGGAATGAGGAGGATTCTCCACAAGAGGAGGAAATTAGGAGAACCATCCGTTTTTGGTGGAAGAAAGGAGTACTCCACTTGAGGAGTAACAGTGGAGCTCTCCTCAAAAGGAAAATTCCTCCGGAATTCTGTTTTTGGTTGGACTCTACAAGAGGAGGAAATGAGGAGGTTTCTCCATTTTCGGTGGATAAAAGGAGTCCTCCTCTTGAGGAAGAGAAGAGGAATTAGCGGAGTAGGCTTTCTTGCTGGGATAGTACATCTTGTGGAATGAAGAATTCTTTTTAGAAGGCTAAAACTTTTCTCTCCTTGTATTAACAGTGAATTTAGACAAATCCTTAGTCTTTGTCATTGTCAGGTGTTACTTTTTAAACGTAGTTTCCTTTTAATTTTGTATTTTCCAGGGGGGCAGTGCCCTGCCTGGAACTCCCGGGGGCGCAATAGGACTACTGCCCCCCCCCCTAGGTACGCCACTGTGCCTGGCCTGAGGAAGGGAAATGCAAGCAGATGTAATATTAAAAGAGCCTCCCCCATGGGTGCCCCCCTTCAGCCTCTCAGGGGGGGCACGCGTAGAGGGGGGCGGGCCCCCCCCCCTCGTACGCCCCTGGTGGCAGCCCTTAACATTTTTAGATTTTCTCTTTTTATCGATGGTTTATAGTATCGGTTTGCCAAAACTCCAAAGAAAATTCGAGTTTTTGCAACAAACTAAAGAATTTTAATTCCTACATCTTTGCAACCTGATGATGTAAACCTATAATATTTCAAACTTATGTTATTAGATCTAACAAAATTCAAAATTTGAAACAACAAATGTCTAGGACTTCGGGTAGCAAAGATATACACGAATTAAATTATAATTAAGCCTAAGTAATTTCCTTTCCATTAAAAATCGTTAACATGTTTATCAAATTGGATTTACGGCACTTAATTGCCGTCACCAAATTGCAAAAAAAAATCTGTAAAAGTGAATTAAGAAATGGGTCTGTTTACAATGCACTGGAGCAATCATGGACAAAGTCAAATTGAGTCTAAAAGTCGTTTTTATATTTAAGAGTTTTCTGATTCTCACTGTATTCTGCAATCATGAATCAATTGCAACTATTATAAACCTTCAGTTAAAAAAATGATGTTGCTTTAAAACTTGTATATTAAAATAACTTAAATTGATTAGAAACAAACGTAAATATTTAAGCACAAATAAAAACTGGATATAAATTAATTTTCACTAGGTTTCTTATTTTTACAGATTGCTTCTAGAGTCTTTTGAGATCTGAAATTATTTGAAATTGTTGGAGTGAACTGTTTTAAAATCTTTTTAGGATTTCTTTTCTAATCACTGCAAACATATATAGATTCAGCCTGCTTATAAAAGTCTCCTCAATTTTTTAGACAGGGTCGACTTTGTAGTGTCGCAAGGCCTTGGGCTGGGCTTTTTAGCACTGTAAAACACTTCTTGTTAGCTTTGGTTTCTAAGAAGTAATTGGCAAAATTCTCATAGATTTTTTGCTTGAGACCTTGAAACCTCTAAATAACAGTGCGCACTGCAGTCTTTATATAGACGGCCATGTTGTCTGAACTTCATTCTGTATTCTGGTTCCAGATTTCCCAGTTCTATCTGAATAAAAAATCGACGAAAAAATAGAAAAGAAAAGAGAAGGAAAGAATGAATGGATGAAAGAAGAGAAAGAAAGAAAATTATTTAGAAGAGGAAAGAAGTTAAGTGAACATCAACTTTTCCGAAAAAAGTAAGAAAAAATAGTTTTATTAAATAACGAAAAATTTATTGAACAAAGTATTTTACTGAATGAGCGATTATATTAAATACGGGACGTTCAGTTTAAAAACTATCATAATAAATCGTAATTTTGAAAACAAACTAATTAAAATTTTTTTGAATGATTTAAAAGATTAACAAAATGGCTTGTTCACGAATGATAAACGAACAAAATTTAAAGTTGAACAACCCCATTTCTATCTATAACTAATATATATTCATCAGAAAGGCCTTTAAAGGGACTGTACAAGCTAATTCAAGTGACCCTTTATCTGATCAATAATGTGCACGAAGATTGTTATTTTCAAGTTAAAAGTTGAATTCACACAATTTCCCAGTATTGTTTCTGTATCAAGAAATCCGCAAGTCACTTTAAGAGAGAAACCACAATTGAAAATAATCAACTTTTCAAAGAGGATTTAATTAAACATGTTTTCCAAGTTTTTTTTCGTACAATTTGTAAACTTTAGACACTGGCAAAAAACGACATGAAAACGAACCTTAAACAATAGTTTTTAATCATTTTTCATTTTTTTTTATTGTTTTAGGATTAAGATATTTGGGGTCCATCTTAGAATACAATTTTTGGACCCCCCCCCACACACACACACAAAATTTAGGCCTAATTGGTTCAGCCGTTTTGACGTTTATTGGATACAAACAAACACCTACCATCAAAGATATGTATATTTGGATGAAAAAAAGATCATGAATTAACAGGATGCTATACTTAAGAGTAAATCTATTATTTTTTTATATTATCTGATTGAACACATGTGAATAAGTATATATAAAAGAATTCATTAAAATATTAACATATGAATTATGGAACTAAAGGACAAAAAGGAAAATTATATTTTATATTAAATCTGTTCTAAGGAGTTCTGCCCCTATTGAACAATTTTACTGTTTTATTGTATAACAATAACATATACAATGAGAACCAGTGGAATAGGAAGACGACATGAAAGCAATCTTTAAGCGTATTTGACGTTGTTACAAAGCAAATAGATGTACTTTACCTATATGTGGATTTAAATCCTTTAATAAGTAAAATGGAATTGTGTACGCTGCTCAATCGTGTAGTCTCCGGATTATCTAAAATAATTTTTTGAGTCGGAAAGTCGTCTTACTATTCCACAGTTTAATGGTTTTCACGGTATTTATTTGTGTTTGTCTGATAATTACAATGCCTGTTGATGCCTTTCTCATGTATATAATTATACTGAAGTGCACATATTCCACAAAGTATGAAAAGTATCATCATTTTAAAACATTAACGCGTTTGTTTATATATAGCTTCTTTAAAAAGAAATTAATTGGTAAAAATCTCAAAATATCAAAATGTGTAAATAGTTATGTACAATGATAACCAGAAAACTCTGGAATAGGAAGTCGACTTTTAGACTCAAGTTATGTCTTTAAATAGTCCAATGAACATGTGTCACAACAATTGTGCAGTGTAAACAGACCCATTTCACATAATAAGTGTCGATCTAATAATTTACTGTAAAGCTATTTGCTTTGTAACAACATCAAATGCACTTCACTATCGCTTTAATGTCGTCTTCTTATTTCTCAGTTTTCTGGTTATCACTGTGGTTCTTGTTAATTCTAGATTATATGCTCGCGAAATAAATCAGGAAATAAAATTAGCACGTGCAAAACATCCCACGATATGATTGTTTGGTATTTGATGAAAACCTCGTGGGAACGTATATCTATAAATTAGCGTAGGCATGAGAATCATATAAATTAATTTAAAAATGTTTATTTTTTGACTAAAAAGCATAGATAAAGATAGATTGCACATAAGACGACATTTTTC